TTTTTCTTGCCCCCTGTTTCTCGTCCATTGAAGAGAAGACGACAAAGTTGGAGATATGAATATGTGCCGTACTGTTACTATGGAAGATGCTAATGCCGAAAGCCTAGTCCCTTCGAACCCGGCTTCGCTAACTAGCGCTCGTGGGGATGGGGGCGTGGGAGCTTTGTTTCGAACATATTTCACCTTCTTCCTTTTTTTTCCTTCCCCCTCTCCCCGAGTCGCCGTTTCGAGGGTAAGGCCCGGGTTGTCGGCTACATTGGAGTTGCAAAAGCCTGGTTTAAGCCTTCATGTTTGCCAGGCCAAGAATGGAGGAGACACCAACAAAAGGACCACGGTTGAGCTTTAGCCTCCAGCCGAAAGACCAAAGATAAAAAGACAAAAAGACAACATAAAAGGCAGCATAGAAAGCCAAGGATGGGAAGATCCTTCCCCGGACAAGGGGAGGCAAGGGCCCCTCCGGTGGTCGACCTTGGAAGTCGAACAAGATGAATAAATCGGAAGGCGGGTTGGCGTTGGATCGGGGCCTGCGCGCGGGGCTAGATCACTCGGAAAAGCAAAACACCCGCTGCAGCAGAGATCTCGAGGACAATCCCGGTGACAGCATGCTGCACCAAGCTCAATGCGCGTTCATCTCCACGGTGCCCCCCAAAAGGAGGGCTCTTCGTCACCGTACGGAGCTTATGCTACACTACACTACGTAAAACAGAATCGCCGTGCTTCCGCCAACGTCCGCCCACGGTGAAGCTCCCGAGCATATGCGTATGCAGCGCGGATTCCATGTACGCCGAGGCTGCGCAAAACCTCCGGCTGTGTCAGTTGTCGTTTGGTTTGCCCGGCGCTGCATATCTCGATCCTTGGTTAACCACCACATGGCTAAAATGTCATTGTGGATACGATGCCGCTGAACCGGAAGGTCCAAGGTCCACCAAGGGCGGGGGCTCATGGAAGCTGCACGAGAAAAGGAAGAAAGGGGGAAAAGGTAGTCCACAAGGCCCGAGGTCGTCTCTCGCCCCAAACAAGCATGGTTCCTGACAAAGATATATTGGGGGCCTTGTTGAGAATGTGGGCATTGCTCAAGAAATAGATGAAGTTTGCAATTATGTACGCCCAAGTCATATATATCCAACCCGCGATGAACTAATGAACTTCCTAATTTGGGACCTCTGCGCTGCACGGCCGAGCTCTTCTACCTGTATCTGCCGGCAATCGTTTCATTTGGGATGCTGGACTTTGCCCGTTGAGGTCGATTTTTCTTACAACCTCTGGTTTTCTGGTTCGCCTACCTGTCGGGCGGACAGCGGCGAGGCAACCGTGGCTCCAGAAGGGCAAGTGAGATGATGCAGCCAACAACCTTTTTTTTTTTTCTCTTTTTCATTTCGTCCCCCGAGCGCGCGCATGCGCGTGCAGGCAAGACAAACGATGGGAGCCTTTCGGCTGGGCCCGGGGCTGAGACGGGGGAGGAGATTGTGGTTCTGCATGGCCACCACCTCAACCCTTGGGTGATGGAAGAAAGATTGATGACTCTGACGACAGGAACTCGCAAGAAAAAGAAAAGAAAAGAAAGCAAAAACCGATGTAGTATACTTGTAGCTGGATCCGCTCCACGGTCGCCTCTGGCAGGGGAGGAACAGGTACAGATTGCGGACGAACTCTGGAGGAACCGAACGTCCTCTAACCATCGCTACCAAGACCTCTCATGGAGGTGGAAAGTGACAGGGTGCCGGATGACGGAGGCTGGGGCGAGGTAAAGAACTGTCCTGCATCATGATCATCTACTCGGGACGTCTATTGAGACGCCTTACTGCTTATTGCTCTCACACCGGGGTTAAGAAGAGACTCCTCAGAGGTCGCTCGCTAATACAGTAACAATACAAAACGGAAGTTTCTTCGCACTTTCCATCTCGAACAGAGACAGAGGGATTGATGCAAGGAGAAAGGGAATATCAAGAGCGGATAACGCCGCTAGCTTTTCGCAGCAGCCCAGAAGATGAGAGCAGTCGATGAGAGAGCCTGGATTTGGTCTTTTTAGTTTTACTTTTGGTTGTACAGGCGTCTAAAAGTCCTCTGGGGTCTGGCCGCAGCTCCAATCTTGGTTGGGAGAGTGGTGCTAGGGGTGGACCTTGGTGCAGCTCACGACTTGAGGAATCAGGACCGTCACGGGATTCGTAATCTATATGTCTGCTGAACGAATGCATGCCACTGAGTGAATAAAACAACGAAAGCCATTGCTCAGCCGTGTATTAGGACCTCAAACAAAGCAAAGAGTGGATGTGTTGAGTCCCAGCTGCCCTTTTCAGGCAGCTGGATATTTGGAAGCCCGATTCTTGGCCTTGCCTCCGCAAAGACCAGTGACAAGGTACAAGTCGGAAAAGCCGGTCCAAAACGAACCCAAATGAAGCTTAAACCGCGAATTTAGCATGTTACAGAATAGAGCCTGGAGGAGGGGAAAAGAGAAAAAGGAACGCCCCCTCCCCCAGCTAAGAACGAATGGATCTCGGCCGCAGGCTCGAGGGCGGGTTTTGCCCAGTTTTGAGTCGCTGGGTGCCAAAAGTCGAATTAACGCTCGGGCATGAATACAGGGTGCCGTAATTTGTGGCGTTCTTCCCAACTGCTTCTCGACTTGTTCTCGTCTCTTGATCTGCGCTCATCGATCTTGCTCATTGGTAGCGTAACGAAGAAAATGGTTCCATTCCGCGTCTAAGACGCCCCAGAGAGGGCCACGGTGAGCGACATGACCCAAGAGGAAAACGCCTCGGTCCTTGACCGCCCCTTGCCTCCTGCGCTGGGAGAGATTGATGCAATCTTCTTTTTTTTTTTTTTTGTGGTGAGTGATTGGGTTTCACACACGCTGGGCAAGGTAAGACGGTTTGATAAGACGACATTGGCTGTTCGTCCAGAGCCAAAGGGAGTGAAAGGCTGAGTCGATGCCGGTTGGGAAAATCCTCCTCGGAACACGCATCGATTGGGCAACCTGCGAGGGAAACTCTCTTGCAATTCAGCCAAGGGCGAGGGTGCGGAATCTTCCTCCACTCTACCCCCTGTCGTCTCGAATCGTCAAGGCTGCTGAAGCCCACCTTTTCTGTTTCTTTCTTTTTTTTTTCATGAGGTTCGCGACTTTTTACCCCGCCCTATCGCGTCTGACGCGTGTAAGAGAAGAACTTGAATCAGGGATACGTGATCAACTCTGCGACCGTGACATCCTATTCGTCCGGTGTTCGCGCCCCGGTGCGGGCTCTTCTATGCATAGCGTAACATTGGGCAATCTACTTTTATATTTCTCTTCAGTTTTTGGTTCTTTTTTCCCTTCTCTTCTCTTTTTCTTTTTCTTTTTCTTTTTCTTTTTCTCTTTTCCCCCTCCCTCTCCCTCCCTTGCAACTTGAGGTCTCTTTCCTTCTCGCTTCCTGCCTCTACCTTTCGAGTTTCAGACTTGGGAAACCGACATCTTTCTGTACAATGATACACGAAAGGACCCATGGATGTCTGTTGAGGGTGGCGCCAGGTATGTCCATAACGGGCATGGCTTGAGGGGTAGCAGGTCTCGAAAACTTGCATCGTCTTGCTCAACTCCCCAAGCTCGATAGAAGAAACCAAAGGGAGGGTGGCCAGATTTGATCGAATCGTCCCCACCTTAAGCTCGGTCAGGTCGTTGCTCCATTGAGTATATTTCACGAGTCCTGGATGATAATTCCTTGCTTTTTCGGGCCTCTACAAGGCTCAGCTCAACTTGGGCCGAGTCTTGCGCGCCCCTCGATCCACAACTGAGACGTATTTTCCAATTGTAACCTCAAGTGTTATTATTTCTCCCTCTTGAAGAATTCAAGTATTATCTCTTGGAACTTCCATTCGGCAAGGAACATTGAAAGCAGCGCAAGCAGGCTTTCTCGTCCTGCGGAGGCCCCATGCCTATCCATTCACCAATGAAACAGCCGGAGAGCTCAAAGCCCTCCAACTCCGTCAGCTTTGCTACCCCAGTTCCAAGGATATCCCTTAACCTGGCCTTGGAAATATCGGCTTTCGAGTAGGCCCGGGCAAGTACTCCGTCCACTGTGGTGAGATGGGGTTGCACTCCATTGTTTGCGTAGTACTTGGTAGTCGTCCTAATCTGGGACACCTCTCCTCCTGAAGCCAGTGACTCTGCGGGCTAACGGGCGAGAAGGGGCTCAGCACCTCCTTGTGAAAAGGCGTCGCCGATCAATTCGTTTCTGTGCAGCCCAGGGGTCCCCCATACCATTAATAGAGCCTATAACAGGCTCTTAATGCCACTGAATAAGTCTCGATTTGACCTGGTCTCCCGAGAAGAGTGGGACCTTCCAAAAGGGAGGCACGCTCGATCAAATTTTATCTCTGATCGTATTATTGACTTCACCGAGTCGGAAAAACCCGTATTACAAGGAGTCCTATCAGAGATACTCTTAGGACAAAACTGGGAACGTCGATAATACCGAAAGAATTTGGCGTTGCTGCTTTCAACTCCCAGAACCGTTGAAGTTCAACGGCATGGGGTGGCGCTAACTTGGGAAGCTTAGCCTCTGCAGCTGGATTTCGGCACCTGTCACGACCCGACAGACTGGTCCGTGCAAGGATCAACTTTTCCCCAGCATGCGGCCTCAGGACGTCAACGGAGACTGAACACTGCCCTCTATTGAGCCCCAAATTTTGGCGGACAGCCCCTGGGGTTCAGAACGGCTCAAGGGCCCCCTGGTGCCGGTGGCCCCTCCATTTTGATCACGTGATGGTGCCGAAATCCAGAGCCCCGCGGCCGATCGAGAGAATCTCGTGGGGTTTGTGAATTGATATTGAAGGAGCAAGGCGAGATATCAGAATCCCTACAATCGAACCCGGTCTGTCAATTCAAAGTTTTGTAAAGTTGTATCCGAATTGGTCCTAGGCCGGTCCATATTCTTGGCTGGGAAAAAGGCATCTCAACGCCACTGAGCTCGGGAACCCCTCATTACGTTCAGTTTATATCTTAGACCCTCCCGGTCTTTCTCAAAGTCATCATGGAGACGGAGATTCGAAGCGTCATTCCAAATATCGATCCGGTCATTTCGGAGTACTCCGTGGGCTTCCTCACTCATGCCTCAACCGTCTGGTCCGAGGAGGATGAGGCTACTGATTCCTCTCCTCTCGTGGATGCCGCGGAGGTCGTTGCGGAGCTTCTGATATCGGCTTCGGGACAATCTACCCCTGCCGTAGAAGCTAAGATCAAAGCCCTAGTCGATAAGTGGGTGGACAAGTATGCCGCGGCCAACGGAAGCGAGCGGCGTGGGCCCTCTACTGCTCGAAGACTCGACCAGACCATCCAGGTCAGCGCGCAGCGGAATATGTCTTCTACCCTCGCTGTTTCCACCGGCGGCGTTGATCTTGAGTCCGCCAATGCTCGAAAGGTCGAGTCTAAGGTGGATAGGAAGAAACTCGAAAAGGCCGAAAGGAAGATTGCGGCTAAGCAGCAAAAGAAGACGTTCAAGACTGTAGAGTACGAGGCTTCTCGACTCCTCAACCAGCCTGAGATGACGCAGTCTTACGAGGAGTTTTACATGGCCGTCAACCCTCTACAGTTGGGCTCAAGCCAGGGCGCGAGCAAGTCCAAGGACATCAAACTTGATAATATCGATGTCTCCATTGGTGGCCTTAGGATCCTCACAGATACAAACCTTACCCTCGCACACGGCCACAGGTATGGTCTTGTGGGTAACAACGGTATCGGTAAATCTACTTTGCTTCGTGCTCTGTCAAAGCGAGAGCTTCCGATTCCCACACACATTTCCATTCTTCACGTCGAGCAAGAGGTATGATCCTTGTCCAACTATGAATCTACACTAGGAGTCGCTCGTTGCTAACGAAATCTAGATTACTGGCGACGACACGCCGGCGCTCAAGCCGTGCTCGACGCCGATGTGTGGAGAAAGGTGCTGCTTCGAGAGCAAGGTGTAAGTTTTCAGTAGCCCGACTTCCCTCTCCTGCTTATATCACTTGCTTACGCTACTCTTGCTTTCTAGGAACTCAGTGGCCGTCTCGCCGAGATCGAGAAGGAGCGCGCGCCTTTGGCAGACACATCGACCGATGCTGCTAGGCTAGATCGGGACCGAGACACGCTGGATCAGAAGCTCGGCGACATCCAGGCAAAGCTCGCAGAGATGGAGTCGGACAAAGCGGAACCAAGGGCTGCCAGTATTCTTGCCGGTCTCGGTTTCTCTGCAGAGCGACAGCAATTTGCCACCAAGACCTTCTCTGGTGGTTGGAGGATGCGTTTGGCCCTGGCGAGAGCACTTTTCTGCGAACCCGATCTCCTCCTGCTCGACGAACCGTCCAACATGTTGGACGTCCCCTCGATTACCTTCCTGTCAAACTACCTTCAAACATACCCCAACACCGTCCTTGTCGTCAGTCACGACAGAGCATTCCTCAACGAAGTGGCTACCGACATTGTTCACCAACACTCGATGCGACTTGACTACTACAGGGGAGCTAACTTCGATACCTTCTACGCCACCAAGGAGGAGCGCAAGAAGTCCGCAAAGCGCGAATACGAGAAGCAAATGGCAGAGCGTGCTCATCTCCAGACGTTTATCGACAAGTTCAGGTACAATGCTGCCAAATCCTCGGAAGCCCAATCGCGTATCAAGAAACTTGAGCGTATGCCGGTTCTGGAGGCTCCCGAGACGGAATACAGCGTCCACTTCCAGTTCCCCGAGGTTGAAAAGCTATCTCCCCGATCGTACAAATGTCCGAGGTCACGTTTGGCTACTCAAAGGACAATATATTACTCAAGAATGTTGATTTGGACGTACAACTGGATTCGCGAATCGGTATCGTCGGTCCCAACGGCGCGGGTAAGACGACGGCGCTGAAGCTCTTGATCGGAAAGCTTTCGCCCCTCTCCGGACTCATGTCACAGCACTCTAGGCTGCGGATAGGGTTTTTCGCCCAGCACCACGTGGATGCCCTTGACTTGACTACGAGCGCGGTCTCCTTCATGGCCAAGACCTATCCCGGAAAGACGGACGAAGAATACCGAAGACAGCTTGGTGCGTTTGGCATCACCGGAACAACGGGTCTTCAGAAGATGGGCCTGCTTTCCGGAGGTCAAAAGTCGCGTGTTGCATTTGCATGCTTGGCTCTTACTAACCCCCACATCCTGGTTCTCGACGAACCTTCTAACCATCTGGATATTGAAGCTATGGACGCTCTCGCGGAAGCCCTAAAGAACTTCGAGGGTGGTGTGGTGATGGTTTCTCACGACGTAACATTGCTCCAGAACGTCTGCACGTCACTCTGGGTGTGCGACGATGGAACAATTGAACACTTCCCAGGAGACGTAAACGAGTACAAGAAGAGGATCACAGCGCAGGCGGATGCTGCGGGTGTTGTGAAGAAGCATTAGGGGATATGAGTGCATAGATGAATACAAAAGAATTGACATTCCTCTAGAGAGTTCTATCAACACAAAATCTCCAACTCTACGTGAGGTGTAGTAACACAAATGGCCCTCTTCCTCATATTTGCCTGCGGCAAGTGTAGAGGGCGTCTCCAACCTTGAAAAGATCACAGCGGCGTCAGGCGGATGACAATCGTAGCCTCTACCATCACCTTCTCAACTGGAGTATTAACCATTGGATCGAAGGGACAAGGGGAGTGAACCATCGCCGAGCAGATGTGAGAGGGACGTTCTTCCTTGATAAGAAAAGCTGGAAGCTCATCTCCCTGTCCCGCCTGTTGACCAGACATCTCCAGGGGGCCTGGAGAAGAAGATGGCCGCCAGCAGCTGTGCACAACTGTTCACCGCTCCCTGACCACCATTCCCCCACATTCAATGTTCCTCAGGGCCAGGGATCCGGGATGGCCAACCAATAGTGGGACGGAAAAGAGCGCTAGGTATTCTGATAGGCAGTGATCTTTCGAGAATTAAGATTGGTTGTAATAAATCAAAGGTGCCGATGGGTGAGTTGGTCTCTCTCAATCAGCGCACACGGATCGCTGTGTCCTGACACCTCAACGGGTACGTATTTCAATGCTCCCCACTGCTCGGGACGCCTCTCTCGGCCCCTTTTCCTTCATTCTGGTCCCACGAATTTCCCATGAATGTAATATGCCTTGTGTCAAGACGTGTCGTCCCGTGGCTTCCCGTGATGTTGAGGAGGATTGGCTGCCACGGGCTGGTTTCTGGCCAAGGCTGTCACCCTCAAACCCTTTTTTTCAGGTGAAATAAAAAAATCCCCCACTGGTCTTGGTTTGTTGGCAGGCCAGGGTTTCTCGCAGGGGACCGCCAGCGAACTGAGCAGGTGCCTGGCACAAGGGTTCAAGCTCCTTCTGTGCCAATTACGATGGAGATAGCGTGGGGCACGGGCCACGAGTAGTAAACAAGCGGGGTACCGGTGGGTACGGAGCTTTACGGGGACACCAGTGGGTTGGCATTGGGTGAGGTGGTTCGGGCAGCGTACCCAAAAGTGTCATTTTTGCTCGTCCCTCCCACGACGTCTGAGGGTGTCTTGCCTCGTGGTTGCATCCACTGATCTCGAATTTCGGCTTTGGGAGTGCCTCCCTCGCTCTTTCGAGGAGGCGGGGAGGAGGAGGAGGAGCCCGGCCATGGTTTCTTCAGACCTCGTTACTCTTCGAAGAGGGAAGGAGACCTTGAGAGCCGTATTCGATGATACATGTAGAGATAGAGAAGGAGAAGGGGAGAGGGAGAGCGGTCTATCGCCACATCTGCCGGTATCCCCTGACGCCTGCTCAAGGTACCAGATCAGTGACCTGAAGAGGATCCAGGGATCGCTGCTTCGAAAAAGTGTAATCTACTGGCTGAAATCCATGGCTGGATGAGGTGGTCGAGCTCACCAGTGGCTCCTAGGCTAGGCCCAAAGTCTTCAGTGCTCCATCAGTTGGACCTTCCCGGCCGCACACCCTCTTTTGATTTGCTCCAGGTACCTTACATAGCGTACCGTAACCCACAACTGGTTGACAAGCCCAGCACGCCCACAGCAGGTCCCTCCCCCCTTCTCCCCTCCCCTGTGGCGGTGAACAATTTCATCTTCAACCCCAAACAAAAAATCAACAAATTTCTACCCTCATCTCTAGACCTCCTGAAGCCAAACACACTCCTCCACCCTCCTCCCCCTTCTTCTCCCAACGACCATTCTGTCCGCCTTTCCCAAACCTCCCCAGGCGAACTCACCGCGAGAGCTGCATATCATCAGCTCCCATTCCTCCTTTCTTTGCACTCTTATCCAACACACCTTTGCTCTTCATAGGAGTAGGAACACAAAGAACCGCAAACATGCGCGAGATCGTAAGTCAAGTCTCCTTACCTCCCAGTCCTTGAACCCACGCCTTCGGAACCGAGGCCTATCTGTTGGCCTTCCCCCTCTTATCTTCATCCAATGTGTACCACGATATCTGCTTTTGGAGACTGCTGCAAGGGTTTCTTTTGCATTCAAGATTATCAGCCGATGTCTTGTGGGATCTGTGGTGCGGTGTTGTTGGGTGCGTATGCGACGCGTTGAAGCTTGCCTCCTTTCACCGGCTTCTGCACTTAACAACCCCGCCCACGAGACATCGAGACACGCAGCTTGAAGAAATGCAGCCTCACCCATCAAAACATCCAATCGTCAAAAATTTGATTGCTAACGTATTTTTCTTTTTTGCTTGTGGACAGGTCCATCTTCAAACCGGCCAGTGCGTAAGTGAAATCCCCCTCGACCCTTTTGGACCCCTTGTTGCTTCTCTACCCTTTTTGGGAGATGATCCTGTTTGCGGGGCTAACATTTTCCCCCTTTCCTAGGGAAACCAAATTGGTGCTGCCTTCTGGTGTGTAAACCCATCAACGAGACCCCGCGACCACGCACCGAATGCGATTACAATTATCATCGGAAAATTATGTTTAATCGACTGTTTACTTACGCATTTTTAGGCAAACCATTTCTGGCGAGCACGGTCTTGATAGCAATGGCGTGTATGGCTTCCATTCCCCCACCCGCCTTTTCCTCTACCGGACACATTGGGCTGCAATTTGTCCGTCTCTGTGATGTAAACTAATTTTTTCCCGACAATCTATAGTTACAACGGTACTTCAGAGCTCCAGCTCGAGCGTATGAGCGTCTACTTCAATGAGGTACGTTTTTTGCTGCCTATCACACGGCTGGGCGGGAAACCGCGCGAATGCAATGCCGGGCTACAGCCACCAATACCGCCTGCGAAATTTAGCTGACGTCTTACGTTGATCAATGACAGGCTTCCGGCAACAAGTACGTTCCTCGCGCCGTCCTCGTAGATCTTGAGCCTGGTACCATGGACGCCGTCCGTGCCGGCCCCTTCGGTCAGCTCTTCCGTCCCGACAACTTCGTTTTCGGTCAGTCCGGTGCTGGCAACAACTGGGCCAAGGGTCATTACACTGAGGGTGCCGAGCTTGTCGACCAGGTCCTCGACGTCGTCCGTCGCGAGGCGGAAGGCTGCGACTGCCTTCAGGGTTTCCAGATCACTCACTCTCTTGGTGGTGGTACCGGTGCCGGTATGGGTACTCTCTTGATCTCCAAGATTCGCGAGGAGTTCCCCGACAGGATGATGGCCACTTTCTCCGTCGTCCCCTCCCCCAAGGTCTCCGACACCGTCGTCGAGCCCTACAACGCCACTCTCTCCGTCCATCAGCTCGTTGAGAACTCCGATGAGACCTTCTGCATTGACAACGAGGCTCTCTACGATATTTGCATGCGCACCCTCAAGCTGTCTCACCCCTCGTACGGTGATCTCAACCACTTGATCTCTGTCGTCATGTCTGGTGTTACTACCTGTCTTCGCTTCCCTGGTCAGCTCAACTCTGACCTGCGAAAGATCGCCGTCAACATGGTTCCTTTCCCTCGTCTGCACTTCTTCATGGTTGGCTTCGCCCTCTTACTAGCCGTGGCGCCTACTCTTTCCGTGCCGTCAGCGTGCCCGAGTTGACCCAGCAGATGTTCGACCCCAAGAACATGATGGCTGCCTCTGACTTCCGTAACGGCCGATACCTCACCTGCTGTGCCATCTTGTGAGTCCCCTCTTCCCCCATGTCATTTTATTTACTTGGCTTTCCAGTCCCTATCCTTTGGCTGCTTGTTCTTTTTTTTTTTCTCAAGGCCGTCGTCTCCCTGTTCATTCAGTATGCTAACAGTTTTGTGTCTCGTAGCCGTGGTAAGCTCGCCATGAAGGAGGTCGAGGACCAGATGCGCAGCGTCCAGAGCAAGAACTCTTCGTACTTCGTTGAGTGGATCCCCAACAACGTGCAGACCGCCCTCTGCTCCATTCCTCCTCGTGGCCTCAAGATGTCGTCTACCTTCCTCGGAAACTCGACGGCGATCCAGGAGCTCTTCAAGCGTATCGGCGAGCAGTTCACCCTCATGTTCCGTCGCAAGGCTTTCTTGCATTGGTACACTGGTGAGGGTATGGACGAGATGGAGTTCACTGAGGCCGAGTCCAACATGAACGATCTCGTCTCCGAGTACCAGCAATACCAGGATGCTGGTATTGATGAGGAGGAGGAGGAGTACGAGGAGGAGGTTCCCTTGAGGAGGAGTAATTGAAACGTCACGCCCTACACAATGCTAACGCTATACCTTTTGTCCGCCGGAAGAAAAAAGTCCAGTCGTATTTCGCAGATTGCGGACTTTCTCCAGTTTTTGTTTTTCAGCTCAGTTTGGGGTTGTGGTAATTGCCGGAAAAAGGGGGTTCTAGATATACCTCGTGTGCGTGGTAGTGTCCGTCGTCGGCTTACGAATTTACTGCGTGATGCCTTTCAATACAAACCCATTCATCCCTGTAATTAGCAAGTCCATAGATTGGCCCGGCTTTCCATTCGCTTTTTTGTTGCTACGACTATAAACATATTCTAATTCTGCAATTTTTCTCTTCTTTCGCTCTTCGCCTGATTACAATATAATTACTAGCGGGGGTGCTGCTGGTTGCATCGGCCGAGCTTTCTGTGAGTTAATAAATGATACACCATCCGAAGATGTCGGTCGTGCCTTGCACCGGCTCGGTCAACGGCGTCCCGTGTGGGGCCAAACCCCTGGCGGACCTCTCGAGGTCGCGGTACTCCTTGATTGCCCCTGATGTGGTGTAAAGATAGTGCACAGTACAACTGCCATGCGTTAACTCGAAGCTTTTTTTCTTTGCTAGTACTCTCAGACAAAGTAGCCCAAGGAGTATAACGTGTTGGAACATGGAACAAAAAACCCTCTGAGGTGACGTGAAGTCCACCTGAATCACGTGAGGATGACTAAGCGGAACTGGCTTCGAACTTAGCTGACAAGCGCGGTTGGATCAACTGGACTGGAGCTTTCCGAATTGGCAGTCGATGAATGGTCAATTTTTCTTGAATTTTTCCTAGGAGGTCCAGAGCAGTGAGAATTCAAGATCGCGACAACACCATAAACCGCCGACACCAGGCCAGTCCCTTCCTCGAGAGCACAACAGGGTACCACCCACCGGAAGCTTCTGGAGAGGGCGCAAGGAGGGCTGAACGACACCGCTCTCTCACTATCATCCCCCTTTCCCCTTCCACTATAACAGAAGTACCGAGTTCGGCGCGAGAGCAATGTCGAGCCTATTTCCTAGCCGGACAGTGCTCGCGGCGCGAGGTGTCTTTACGAGCAGCGGCGCGGGCAGCGCGCGGGCGAGGCTAGCCGTCGCGACGGCGCCGGGCGTGCAGGGACAACAGGGAACCGCGTCGGGGCAGCTACGGACCCCCGTGGGTCAACGGCAGTTTTCGGCGACGACGGGGCTGCGGTCGAAGCTTGGCAGGACGCCCATCACGGTGCCGCCGGGTGTGGATGTCAAGGTTGGGGAGCCGTGGGTTAAGAAGGATCTGACGACGTATTTGAAGACTGTGAAGAAGACGGTAACGATTGAGGGACCTTTGGGTACGTTTCCCGCCCTCTTTTTTCTTTCTTTTATTCTTTCAACCCTCTTCCCTTGCTCTGCTTGGGTAATTCAGGAAGCTATGAAAAATGTGGGACATTGGTGGGCTAACGCAGCGGTGATGTTTTTCTGGTGTATAGGCAAGATTGAGTACGATGTGCCAGACTTTGTCAAAATCGAAATCGATCCGATAGAGCGGAAAGCGATGCTCAGCGTAGAGGATACGACCATCAAGCAGCAGCGCGAGATGTGGGGTGAGTTGAACACGAAACGGGTCCTTTTTTCTTCTTCTTCTTTTCCCGCCTACCCCGGGGCAGACCCTCTAGCTCCTTCGCTTGTTCCCACGTAGGTTAAGCTGCTAACTTTGGATTGGTGGGGTGACTTAGGCACGACATGGGCATACATCAACCGTCACATTGCAGGCGTATCCGAAGGGCACACGGCGGTGCTCCGTCTCGTGGGTATCGGCTACCGAGCGGCTGTCGAAGATCGACCCAAGGAAGCCAAATATCCGGGCCAGAAGACGCTGACGATGAAGCTCGGCTACACGCACCCGGTGGAGCTGGGCGTGCCCAAGGGCGTGACGGCGTCGACGCCGAATCCTACGAGAATCCTCCTGGAGGGCATCAACCGCGAGGAGGTCATGTCGTTTGCGGGCAAGATCCGGGAGTGGAGGAAGCCGGAACCATACAAGGGCAAGGGCGTGTTTATCAACGACGAGACGATCAAGTTGAAGCAGAAGAAGATCAAATAAACTGGCGGTCCTTTGTTTCCCCATGGTCTTGGGGTGGGCTGGTTCTTTGGGCGATGGGGGCAGAGACTTGGGGATATACATCGTTATATGACCTTGTCCTGGCTCCTTTCCCACCCAACTTGGCTCTGGTGTTCCTTTTTCTTCCCCTCTATCCCGCGAATAGTTACCGCTGGGAAAGAGGGAAAAGGCGGGGAGACAAGTCTGCAGAGGAAGGGGGGTGATGGTGAGGTGGTGCAGTGTGGACTATGGCGTGCTTGGCCTTGGAGGGGCTGAGAGGTGTGTACGTTTAGGGAAATGTATGTTCCAATCTACTCATAGATGTATGACTCTAGGCTCTGTATAGAACATTGAAAGACTTGCAATTACGGAAAAGATCCGAAAAGGCTCGAGAGAATCCCCTCTAAATTTGAAGATCCTCCCTTTGCGTGCTATGTATCATTTGATTGATGGATCGTTTCAAGTATAAGTAATTCGGAGGTGTTTTCCGGCGGATGCGTCTTTATTTTGGCTTGTTATTTTCTCTCAAATTAAGGAAAGAAAGGAGGAAGTTAGGCCCTGGAATATAAAGATATCTAGTGGCGATAGATCGATAGATGTGTGGTGACCTCCAGTACATCAAGCAATGCAATGCACCATTCGAGGTGTTCCGAAGGTTGTGCCTGCATGCGGTTCGGGCCCGTGTCGCGCGACAAGGCTGAACAAGGCTCGGAAATGTTCAATTTTTAGCTTCCTTTTCCCAACTATTTTTCCCACTCAATCCTTCAATGTTCTTTCACCCAACACAACACAACAACCCGAAAAAACACAAAGAGCCCACGAGATCAAAGCGAAAAAGGAATCCCTCTATTCTAGGATCCCGCGCTTCCACACATTACCATCCTAGCTCTTCGTTGTCGGGGATCCTAAGCTCTCTGCTATCGAGGAAAGCCCCTACGGAACGCGCCTGTTCTTTTTGAACACCAAGATCTACAAGGGGAAAAGAATCAAAAAAGATTCGTGCGCAGCCCACCCGAGGACACCCTCGTCCACGAGCCATCGGAACGAAACAAAAACAGGAAGCCCAAACAGGAAGAAGACACCAAGCCAAGACGACCACCTCCGTCCCGATCCAAGATGCCTCAGCTCCGCTCCCTCTACCGCTCCCTCCTCCGCGAACTACCCCCGCTCCCTGCTCACCACCCCGCGCTCCCCTCCACCACCGCCTCCGCGAAGCCTTTGCGCCCTCGTCGACGTCTTCGGCCCCCGACCGGGCCGCGTCCCGCCTGGACCCCCACCTCGCCGAGCAGCTCTCCGTCTACCTCCGCGCCCAGCGGACCTACGGACAGCTCCTGGAGCGTTACAACCCCGGCATGAACATGGAGCAGGACGAGAGGGTGCGCCTGACCGCCAGGAAGGTCGGCATGGACCTACCCGTCGAGTTTAACGTCGGGGGTCGGAGAGGTGATGCGGCTTAAGAAAAACCTGGAGAAGAACTAGAGAAGGAATGAGAAAACAAAATAATATGGGTGGGGGTTGACTTGCGAGCTTGACATTCGCCCATCGTGGAAGAGGCGGTGGGCCTTTTTCTCACACATGGCCTTGCCTTGTCTGCTCAGTGACGTGCTCTTCATGATCGCGGGTGAACGCTTAACATCTCGAGCGAATACACCAAAGCTACCCCATCCAGCAGCGAGATCTAGGTTCCGATATCACGAGCTTCGTTGCGGTGGGAAAGGGTCGCCCGGATACTTGTAATAAAAGTTTTATGTATAAAGTAAAAATATATATATCGGGAAACCCATCCCGTTTGCTTCCTGTATTCCAACCAGCAGTCATCTAGACAGAACATTCACTGAAAGCTATTGACATCCACCCCTGTGAGGCAAGGGTGTCTGGCAAGCCTTCGATCCCACACTGCCGCTGGCTTTTGCGTAGCTTTCCTCGGCATTACCGCCATTGAAAATCTTCTTTAACATTCCCATGGTGAGTTGCTTAGTTGCGTTAGTTGCTGGAGCCGACTTCGACTTCTTCTTTTTCTTTGTGGCAATGTAAGAGAGTGTTCATTTCCATTCTGAGATCTTCTATTGCAATGGCCATGTCCCAAAGTTGTAGCAAGTCCTCTCTTAAAGGGAATGAACCCAAGAAGGGAAGGAACCAAAAAGAAAAACCCCCAAAAAGGCGTTGGCCTGCCTCAAATATGTACAAGCAAATTAAATAGTAAACAGAAGCTATGAGACATGAACAACATTGAGATAGACTCCCAACATCCAGGGACTCCTTTGAAGAGGTCACAGCCGAGATCTAAGCCACCGGACACCGAGAAGGGTGTATCGGTCAAGAGCATAGGAAAAAGAAAAGTACAAATATAAAAGGAAGTGAACGCATCAGGGGTATCTTCGTTATTGATATCAGTCAGTTCCAAGGAGTGGTTGTTGAAGGATGCAGACCGGGAAGCCATGAAGGAAGACAGATAATAAGCAGAATAAGAAAAGTAAAATAGGAGTAGGACGCCGTTTCCGGGGACGAGGGAGAGGGATAGATGGCCAAGATATCAACGTACGGCCGTGTCGCTGATTTTGGGGAAGAGGGTTAGTAACGCGCACAAGGCGTCCCTCAACCGCAAGGATGTTATTTCGCTTTTATGCGACACCGACACCGTCTTCTTCCAACTGCTCATCCCATCCCCCGGTCTCGAGAAGCCAGCCTCCGACTCTCTCTTTGACGTGCTTGATAGCTTCGCCTAGGGACTCAGTCCACTGATCCTGAACGACGCGGACCTTTTCTTTTAGATCTTCCGTCAGCTTTTGGCTGGCCGCTTCTTTGGTCTGTCTTGCCCGGGATTCCCGGTCGCCGTTCGGGAGCGGGTTGCCGTCTTCATCCACCTCAGCCTCAATGACTTTGACCTTGGCGTGGGTGACGGCCTCACGCACCTCATGCAAGAGACAGAGGAGGTTCGTTTGCGACTCGATGAATTGATACGTGCTCTTCTCGGCGTGCAAGACAAGACTAAACAGATATTGCAAAGGGTGGTCGCGGTATGACGGGTTCTCCTCGTATTCGTCCGCCGGGATCTGCACGCGGAACCCGGCAAGGTTGCTCGGGATGCGTTCCAAGAGTCGGCTGATATTAGGGGCAATGTCCCAAAGGCCGACAACTGTACCTCGACGCCGCGAGATACGTTTTCCGAAATGACCCTCTCAAACTCTTCGGTTCGCGTGAGCACCTCGGTCGTGAACCCATACGCTCGCTTGGTCGCGTCTTCTCTGAAAAAGCCTCGGCGGACCGAAGCTTCTCATCATTGCCCGAAAGGCGGTAAGGCGTCGTAATCACCGTCTTGTATCGGTCGTTGCGATCGCTGAGCAGGTCGTAAATCGCCTTGTGTAGCCCCTCACGAGCTTCGAATATCCATTTAAGCAGCGTTAGCTTCTCAAGGAGCTCCGGCTTATCATCCCCTTCCTCCTGAGCCGTGTCCGCCGCATTTTCGCCGTCGTGGAACAATCCGCTCGCGAGGTCGTTAAGCAGCTGAGTCGAACGAGCAATCCCAGAAGTCAAGAGCTCGTTCACTGGAGCAACGACTTGCTTTTGGAATTGCTCAAAGTCTACCTTTTCCATCTCTTTGACCTGGTCCTTTTCCGATTCCGTAGCTTCGGCGTCGATCGCGGCTGCATCTGCATAGGACATGTTGCCTGAGTTGATTTCCTCTTGTAGGTTTAGTCGTAACGCCTGCTTGCGCTCTGCAGCCTGTTTCTTCAAGTCTTGTCGACGTCGCTCACTTTCCTTGTGGAACCGCTCCTTGGTGTTCTTGATCCCCTCTAGATCACTAATCGTCCGAACCACCGAACGGATATCGGAAAGGTCAGGGTGGTTGTTATTTACCGCGGGGTGATGTCTGGGGTATGGAGGGGCAGGGTCACCAGTCTCGATATGTCCAAATATGATGGGTTCGGTGTACTCGGTTGTGAAGACACTGTTGTGATGGTGAGGATGGAGTGCCGGAAGTTTTGGGAGTCAAGACTTCCTGGTCAGCAAAGCCCATCTTCTCCGGTGGGTAGTCGCTTGGAGAGCCCGAGTCGGCTGAGAGGTGTACGTCGGTACGCCTAGGGCTATCGACCCATTGCAGTGCCTCGCGGGCCTCCTTGGGCACGCCCATATACTGGACTCCCTCTTTGACCTCTCCAAACGCTGATCCCCCACCCGTTGAGTCTGCCTCCCACCAACGGCTTGCCGGCCTACCTCTAGAATCCGACTCATCCACATTGCTCATGCTAAGAATTGGGGATAATGAGGGCATGTAGCCGTTGGCCCCCAGTTGGCATTCGTAGGCGTCCCACCGGGCGTCGGTGATGACCCGGGAAGGGTTGCCGATGGTGGCGCCGAGTTGGAACCGCCCTCGGAATAGTTATTCGAGGGCTTATACTCAGGGTTTGGGGCTGTGGAATGCGGAGTAAAATCTCCTCCAAAGGATCCGCCTGATTCCCTCCTCGAGGTCATTGGGCGGAAAAGGTCCCTCGTCAGATCAAAAATCTCAGAACCCATTGCCGCAATGGCCCCACCATATCTCTCACGGCGTATACGGGATTCGCTAACTATTAGGTCGGCAAAGAGACGAACTCGCTCGGCATCCGTCTCGGCAGAGGCCTCTCGCATGGCAAACAACTTGAAACGGTCTACGGTCTCCCGCATGAATTGGTCCGCAGACTGCATCACAACAGAATGTCTGGTCGGGGGAAGGGATGCCCCAGATGGTGGCGGGCGTAGGCTATCACCTGTCAGTAGGTTGGTATCGGAAGATGATGATCTCTCACGGCGCGGTGGCGTTGCATGCACCGGGTGTGTATTCGTATTAGAGTGTCCATGTTGCGCGGGGTGCCGCTAAGGCCTCGCGGCGAATTTTGAGATGCGGCCGAATCGCCTTGCGATATGTGGGATGAGTTGGGCGCCCGTGGCGTCGCCTTTCGTTCTCCGTTGTCCAGGCCCCCTACTGCCGCTTCTGGGGGTGGATTTATTGATAGTTGGCCGACGGGCTAGCGTGGACGAACCGGGCACGACAATATCGGATATTGAGAGAGAAGGATCATCTGGGTTCACAGAGCTTCTCCTTGTTCTACTCTCCGAGCGCCTCTGGATGATGGTCTTGTCATGCCTTACCGCGTGAGTCCTGGACAAGGTTCCTGCAGAACTTGAGCAGGAGGCCGACGATTCCTCGTGTTGGTTTGCGCTGTGGATACCGGATGTGTCCACGGTAAGTGGGGGATTGTCCCGGCGCGGCTTCAGTCGTGTGGTTAGGTGTTGCGTCCTCGTCCACCCAGTGAGCCGGTGTGGGGGAACGGGACCTAGCGCGGCAACACCACTCGGCGGCGGGCGACGCGTGTGTGGAGCCATAACAGGCATAACAATCCTCTCAGTGGGCTGAAGACTTTGCGACCTCGACTGCGACGGCGGCGGGCCTGGGGGAGGAGGGGAGTGGCATACCGGGCCCCCATCTAGGTTGGGATTGGGCCCAGTTCCGTGCTGAAGTTGGAGTCTCGATCGCGCCGCCGGCCGAGGCTGCTCGACGAGCACTCGGGGGCGATATGAGGATGCGAGGCGGCGGTGGCTTGTTGCTCTTGCTGCGACGGGATCTGTATCGAGAGTATTCGCGTATTATTTCTTGGCGAAGAATCCGGCATAGGTTGGTCATGGTCTCGGCGACGACCAGTTAGGGAGGAAAGGCCAAATCTCCTTTCCTTGATGCCCCCGCCCCGAGGCATTGGGTGGCGGGGAAGCTCGTGGTTGTGGCAGTATCCGGGGAGGGTCGATGAAGACTGACATTTGATGGGGGATTCGAGCCGCCGACGTATTGGCAGCAATCGGCTCAAAAGATTGCGTCATGGGTTGCTGACTCCTTGGAGGGCTGTAAGGTGGTGGTGGTGGGGGAGAAGCTATAGCGGTTAAATTGAAGGTTAGCAGCTTACACGAACACCAAAACGGTGCTTAGAAGTACACAGGAAGGCGAGCCGTGACACTTGGGAGAGGGAAGGGTTCGCGCAGACGGTTTTAAGACGTACTGGGTTGTTGATCGAGGCTGTAGACGTGGGTTCGCTCGGGTCCGGCCATGGGTGAGGCGACCCATTCTTGCGGATTATACGGCTGAATCGCGCTCACTGGAGTTTGAAGAGGATATTGGCCGTTCGGGGACAGCGTGACGGCGGAGAGAGGTACGTTCTGTTGGTATGAAGGTGCGATAGAAGTAGTAAGTGGGTTAAGGCCCATGCGAAGGCGCGAGGGGTCCCGGACGTTGTTCATCTTTGCTCTCGCCTCGAGTTTGAATTGAAGAGTCGGTTTAAAACGCCGTCCCAAGGCCGAGGAGATCTATCGCCTAGGCGCAAAAGGAGAAGAGGCGGCGGTCCAGCTCTGGATGAAGACGAGGGGCTGTCGGATATGATATGTAGGCGTGAGAGGCCGCTCCCCAGAACCTTCCTAACTAGATTTGTGTAAAAAGAGCTCCACCTCCCACGTCTGCACCGTCGCAAGCTCTTCGGCAACCAATGGGCAGCTTATCGCGGAGGGACCACGCCAGTCCGTCAGTCCGTCTGCCTCACGTTCGCTTAGGAAGGGTTACCAGTCATATCCGATCAAGGAGACAACCACCACTGTAAACCCAAGGTATCGTCGGCCGGCAGGAAAGCGCGAGAGAGGGCCGTCACGGTAGGATGGGAGGACGAGGTGGAGCTACACCGCGGAAAGGGAGGTGATTGGGAAGAAAAAGGCGAGGTGAGGAAAGAAAAAGGCGAGGTGAGGAAAGAAAACGGCGGCCTTGTCGAGAAAAGGGAAAGGACGTGCACCCAGGCCAGGGTGGGGTGGTGGGTAGTGGATGGTTTGAATCGGGCGAGGATCGATGCGGGCCGAAGACGACTCTTTCTTTCCTGTCATCTACTAGCCTTAATGCTGTCCGGATTGTGGCTAGGCGGTCGTTGGCATGTGTGGTGAGTGACTTGCATGCACTTCAACACCGTTTGGGCCTCCAAAGGGAAACTGAAGTCTTCTTGAGCAGCCTCCTTTTCTTGAGCGGCGGGCGGCGGGGTTGGGGTGTTTCTAGTCGGACAAGGGTCGGGTGGGTGCTTATCCCTCGTTTCCAGCGACTAGTTGTGAGCGTTCGTCAAGCCTCGTCAACAAGATGGCGTCGCAAGGGGTAGTTAGGGATTAGAAAGGGCAAAAGAAGATCCTAAAAGAAGAAGGAGGGAAAAAAAAATACCAAACGACAGCCGCCACTTAGAACCGCGGGCACACCATTCCAAAGGGAAAGCGACCCGTTATTGTATTGTTATTAACGAGCCTGGATAAGTACTATTGCTCGCTAATTACGGAGTGCAGGTCTGATACTATAAGATAGACGGGAAGGCCTTAACATCATAAAGAGGGGAGGCGATGGAAAGGCATGGGCATGGGGGTTTGAACATGGGGAAAGAGCATTGGGAGCAATTTGGGACCTTTGGGGATGCAAATGAATACTTCCGTGCTTCAGACTGCAGTCGGAAGCCCGTCTTGCCCGTCAACTATTCTTGGTTTAATTGAATGTACCGTCTGCCTTGAGATGTAGCCTGCGAGGTACCGACTGTCTCAGGAATTATTCGCAGGATATATACCACAAGACGTTGGCGTCTCGATCCTCAATGCGATGGCTCCAGCAGTTGCCTTTGATGCGCTTTCTTGTGGAGATATCCATCCCTCTTCAAATAGATCTCTTTGTAGCACTGCTTTACTTTCCAAAACTCCTTGAAAAGCCCCCAATCAAGACCGCCCACTCGAAAGCATCGCTATTCGGTTTCGCGAATTGAAGAGACGCAGGATACCGACTTGAGAGAAAAACGGGGTTAGAAACAACGTCGGTGATCTTGCCTAGCCGTGTCACAGAGACGATGATGGCCTTATAGCAGCGGGAGAGTGACAAGGCCATAATGCCGTGTGTGCGCAAGACGGAGAGACCTCAAGAAAGTCACAAAAGCCCCCATTCCCCATTTCGGATAGACTCAATCAAGAGCACATGGCTCTAGCCAATCACATGCAACAAATACGTGCAGGTTCCAGAGCGCCCTCCATTTCGCACCTCAGAGGTGCACTGGCACGCTGCCCTTCAAGCATTGATGCACGTCGGCTTGTTGCGCCCTGCAGTTCGATGACTGGGAGAAGGGGAGAAAAACAACAGAAAGAGACAGGGGCCAGGGGCCTGTCTTCAGTAGCGCGAGATAGCTTCGTCCAAAAACGGCCGGGATCTGGAGATCTTGGCTTTGATGAAGTACTCCAAAGGCACCTCAACCCCTACAAAAACATCCTTGAGGGCGACGTCTTTCCTAGGTATACGTCCGACTTTTCCATCACGCCACGCATTAATGGAATGGGACCCTGCTTTTGATGCTTTCAGTCGTCACAAGGGCCCGGCGTACAGCTTTTCTCTCGTGGAGGAATTAGCCGTCTGTCACTCTTAGAAGTGGCGCTTCATTCCGGAGATTTAGGGGTGCTTCACGAAGCCGGCGATGGAAGTGGAAGGGGTTGGCCAACTGGTCGTCCTCAGCCAAGTGTAGTGTAGACGCCTCCCTCTCTCCCTTGGTTAACAGCGGCGTTGTATCCACCACAGTGGCCACTCATTCCGGTGCAGGTGGTTCGCTCAAGAGGGGCATCGTGGTGGCTGGCCTGTATCGCAGCCTGATTGGCCACATTGGAGGTGGGAGCTCAATCTATTCTTGGACCGCACTAAATCATGTCAAGGGTGTGATTGGCTACATGTCTGTGAAGGACGTGAAGAACAGTTACCGGCGCTTAAATGCCTTGGGCCTCCACTGTGACTGATCAAGTCCAGTCACATCGTTCATGGGATGCATCACTTTCCGACATGTTCAAACTCCGCGTGGAAAGTCTCCTCCCGCTTGCAAGGCAGCAGTCCCGAGCACCCACGACCTGACAATGCAAAGTTCGAGGTGCTCCGCAATTCTTTTCCTTATCACCCTGAGGCTAGTTAGCCAAGGTGGGTAGAGCCTGGATCAACCTTTTGAACATGGCGCGGAGAAGCTGCGTTTTCATGCTCGGTATCCAAAGCTTAGGGGCATCTTAGTGGGTCTTGTGTTTGTCCTCGTGGCCGCTCGCATCCGTCTTGTCTGCGGAACCCATCTTGATTTTAGATACATCTACCAACCGGCCCGTGCCCGAGTTCCGACTTTCTTCTTTCGAGACAGTGAGTGGGCTCTTGTGGTGTCTTGAGACGAGTGTATGCTCGACATCTTCCTCCATTTTGCCTCACAAGATCACTACTGCTAAAGGTTGATGAGAGACGCTCTGCCTCCTTAGTAACCTTCCTTCCGAATATGCGATGAGGGGCACCCAGCGCCGATATTGGAATAGGACTGATGTTCGAGAATAGCACATTGCCTGGCCTATATTCCATCAACAACCTTGGTTGTCTAGCGTCAAGTGTCCTGGTCTCCATCCGATACGACGATGCATGCGCGTTTCCCTCGACCATCCTCCGGGAACAAAGATATCCGTCCTCGCGTGCCCACAATTAGTGATAAACGCCAGTCGATATTAAAAGGCAGCTGTAGACGCCACAAGGCACGAACTGAAAGTAGGAAGTGAGCAAACAGGAAAACATCAGGGGAAGAATGTGCATAAGCACTTCAGCTTTGTGTGTGCCGACATAGGCATCCACACGGGTCGGGAACGAGGCATGTTTAATTACGCCGCCAACCGCCGCATCTTTAAATATCCGCACACCGACCCAAGCCCATAACTGAGGGACTTGAAGACACCCACCGAGGTCGATGGGTGCTGATCGCGATTCCTGATCCTCGTGCTATAGTGTCTAGTCAAGCTACCTTGGTATTGCCGAAGGAGTAATCTTTTTTTGGTCAAAAGCAGTGTGACCGCGATATTTTTAGAAACCCTGCGCTTGTCGCCTATCTCGTCACTCCCTGCAAGTATCCACACACGTCGAGCCTCTGTCTGCACCTGTGCAGCTATTGGCTTCGGACGGCTTTGTGTGCCGTGATCTAGCGGTGGGAGAGGATGATGAGCCAATTGTTGAAGGCCTGTTAGAGCATGATGAAATGATCGACGGCCTCTCTTCATCTGCAGCCTCCCTTGGCCTCTTCTCTCAACAGCTTGACGACGAGCACCGCAATACATACAAACCCGGCCGGTATGTTTCATCGCAAGCTAAGCTTGACTAACTTGGGCACTCTTCGCCGAGGAGTATGGCCTACTAAAGTGAGGGGCCCACCGCTCAGCTTTATAGGCGGGGTAGACTTGATGATCTAGTATGATGGTCTCTAATCCATAGCAGCCCATTGTCTGACGGGTGCCTTTTTTATCTTATTATGTCAACTTCTCGCGACTCGCGATGATGGAATGGGGGTGTCCTTTTAGTGTAATGGCAGCACAGCTACGAAATAGTTGGTTTCGGGTTCACCCTTCCAACAAGGCTTCGCATGCAACTCGGGTAGGTCTCCAGGGGTCTCTTGCACATGGCATCTGCGGCCATCTCAACGGCCACTCCACGTGTCTTCAATGTGCTTGGTCACTTACTCAAGGCCTCTCTATAAACTTTTGGGGGAAGGCACTTGGACACCCACGAGGCTGCACTGCTTTCAATGTTCTTTCTGCTAGTAGTTAGTGGAAGTGAGCAATTGAGCCAAACCTTCGAGAGGGCTAATTGCGGGTGCAATGACCTGGAATGCTGGAATGCGGGGCCAGCACAAGGCTACCCACGATCCGAACTTTTGCCGACGGGAAAAATTGAGAATTTTGGTCTTCTAGAGCTTTCTGTGAGAGAGTCGGAGCTTTGCTTCTTTCTTTCCCTCTCACCCCTCGCCTATCCTCTTTCTCCCCTTCGTCCCTTCTTCCTCTCTCATCCCCAAATTTTCCCCCAATCTACCCAATTCACTCCTGTGTCTAGGTAGTCTCAAATAGGTAAGAGAATTCCCACATCTACCCATCCCTTTCCTCGTTTCTCTTTGCATGATGAGCTTCCAGCTGGCACCAGTCTGAGGATGATTTTGTACTCCCTCTTTGATGATAAACGCTGCGGTCTTTTGACCAACCCTGAATTGCAAGAGCAAACAAGCCCGAATTTTGCTAGTTCTCCTCACTTGGACATGAATGGCAGAAACAGCTTTGCTAACTTTCAGTCCTTCTCTAAGCAGGTGCTTGTCTTTTTGTCTCGCATTTTCTTTCTCCCTCGTAAGCCCCCAGCGGTACAATAAAACAATCGGTCAAAATGGTTCTCCATAACCCAAACAACTGGCACTGGGTCAACAAAGATGCCTCGGAGTGGACCAGGGCTTGGCTGAAGGACACGTTGACCAAAATTGAGGCCGAAGAGGGTGACGTTTCGGCCAAGATCACAAGTGTGATTAGCATGGATGGGGATGTGGATGTGAACCAGAGGAAGGGCAAGGTTATTACTATTTACGATATTAAATTGACTCTAGAGTATTCAGGTACGTAGCTGCCGGCCATCCCTGCGTGCTTTTTGTCTCTCGCTCTCTTGTTTTTGTTTTTTCGGCATTCGTGAAGCTCGTGAATTTTTAATGCCAACCATGTAACGTGTAGGATCCGCTCCTGATGCCGAAGATGTTGGGGGAACTATCACCATCCCGGAGGTTGCCCACGACACTGACGAGGACGAGTTCGTGGTATGTAAAACTGCCGTCTTTGTGGATTGTGGGAGTGTGTGCAGCCTCCCGTCCGAGCGGTTGGGACTAACATGTGAGGTCTAGTTCAACATTGATGTTTACGCCGAGTCAAAGGAGAAGCAACCAGTCAAGGACCTTGTCCGCTCCCGCATTGTACCCAAGCTACGAGAGGAATTTCTTAAGCTTCCCTCTGCCTTGATCACCGAGCATGGCAAGGATATCCAGCACGCCCCCGGCTCCAACCCTCCAGTGGATTCTCTACACCCAAGGTTCACCCCCAACCCGCATCTACATCCGCTGCTTCCGCTTCGAGCAAGCCCACGGCCTCCAGCGGCAAGGTCAATACTGTGACTGTAACCGACAACGATGAGTTCCGTACTTCAGCCGACGAGCTGTACCAGACATTCACCGATGTCAACAGAATCAGTGCCTTCACCCGGGGCGTCCCCAAGCTTTTTGAAGGCGCCAAGAAGGGTGGAAAGTTCCAGCTCTTTGATGGCAACGTCTCCGGAGAATACCTAGAACTTGACCCTCCCAACAAGATTGTCCAAAGCTGGCGCCTGAACCAGTGGCCCGGCGATCACCACTCCCGCCTCCAGATCGAATTTGACCAGAACGATGTTGACCACGTCACCGTCATGAGGGTCACCTGGCAGGAGTCCCCATCGGCCAAGAAGAGGTGACCAAGAGGAACTGGCGCGAGTACTATGTCAGGAGCATCAAGCAGACTTTTGGGTAAGCAGCAGTCCCCTCCTGTCCTAACCCCCTTTTTGGAACCTCTTACTAACGAGTTACCGATACTAGATTTGGCACTATCTTGTAGACGACGCTTCAACGCGGGGACAAAGGGTCGGCGGAGGAGGATAGGGATGGATAGTTTCGGAATGGCGTTGGGGATCATAAATAAACTCTTGAGGAACAACAATTGGGAATAAGATATATGCATTTGCATTTGGCTAATTTAGACCTACGTCTTGGCTCGCCAACTGACCGCGAATTTCTCGTGGTTAGAGATGGGGTGGAGGGGGAAGCGGAACGTCTGTCAGAGTCTCATTCACGGATGCCCATGTGAAACTCTCCAACTACGCGTGGTTGCTTGCTTCACAACCGCCAGGGCCGATGCTGCTTGAGCTTGGAAAAGACAAACCGGCATGGCAATGATTAACGCTAAATGAGGACACGCCTAGAATACAATACACACAAGACGTAACTTCGTGCACCCCTATGACAAAGTGTGGAAAACAAGTAAATCCCAGGAAACCGAAATGGCTATGCCCAACACCGAACCCCGGTCCTTGGGTTTCAAGGACCTTTCTAATGCCAAATCCTTTGCCAAAATGAGAAGGAGAGGCCGGGAGTTCTGTCCAGGACGACCCCTTTTTTCTTTTTCTTTTTTGGCCTTTATTTCTTTTGGATGCATGTGGGCGTCAACAAAGAGGGGGATATGCAAAAGCAACAAAAGTAAAGAAAGGAGTAGAAATGCGTTGCAGGAGGCCAGGGCTACATTCAAAGGGGTGATGCTTTGGGTGCCTTCTGCTTTCTACGCCGACGCTGCGTGCCCGGCAGCCTACCGCGGCGGAAGTCGTAGTCGAGGAAGAATATATCCCGGAGGTTATCCGCAAAACCTAGATCGTACAAGTTTGTAAAGTCCCGGAGGCTCCAAGCGCGCTCCCAGGGGCCTTCGCCCGGCAATGGGGCGTCCTGGGGTGGGGCCTGGCCGTTTTCGCAGCTAGTGAGGACCTGCTTAGTATCGACGGGCCACCTGGTGAAGGCCGGTTCTATGGTGGTGAGCTTCTGGCGGTTGGGGGACATGTGGCGCGAGAACGCGTAGCCGTCACTCATGTCGACCTTCCAGTCGGACCACTTGAGGGTCTCGTTCGTGGTGGTGCCGCAGTAGACGAGGAACAGGGTGTAGGCGAGGAGGCTCCAGACCATGGGGGCGAGCATACCGGTGAGTAGGGTGATTGCGCCGATGCCGAGGGTCTGTTGAATGCCATATCCCCAGCCCATGAAGTACTGGTGCCAGTCAAGGTCCTTGGCGGGCCAGATGGACCAGTACGGGTACTTTTGCTGATTTGCTCGGCCATGATGGATGCGCCCATAAGAGCGCCGTAGGAGGCTAGGACAGCGGTGGAGAAAAGTAGGAGGATGAACCACCGGTGGTTGCGGTAGCCCACGCACTTGTTGATGAAGATGCAGTGGTGGTCCATGCGACCAACGCACTTCTTGCAGATGTTGCAGTGCTTGGAGCGCGCGGGCTTGAGGAAGCGGCAGGTGCGGCAGTCGTGGCCCGGAAGGAAGATGGAATAGTCGTAAGGATAGAGTTGCATGTGGTAGGCGTGGTTAGAGTGGGTGATGTAGCCCGGGTCAGTGAAGGCGGCTAGGTACAGGAAGATGTAGGGGAGGAGGATGGCGATGGATCCGGCCACCCGGTGGAAGGTCGACATGTACTGCCAGGCCGAAGGGAGGAAGATGTACTCTGATCCAACTAGTAGTACAATGTAGAAGATCTAGGGAGGCTAGGTTAATATGCTGTAGCTTAGATTTCGTCGGGCCACGGTCTTGGATTGCTAGAAACTCACTAGGACTGTGGGGTGTCTGTCGTTCATCATGAAGCTACCGAACCGGAGTAGCGAGGTGCTGAGCCGGCCGCCGGTCAGCCTGTTGTCCAACGCCAACGTCGCATTTGGAATGTGGACCAGGATGAGCCTGTTCAAACCGGCGATGGGGGTGTTTCTGCGCATACGCCGAGGTTAGCAAGAGGAGCTCGCAGAGGGTGACCCGTCACCAGCTCCGAGAGGCTTTCAAAGAAAGCCGGCTATCACGGCAAAGGGATAGAGGCTACCTTAACGCGGGGATGCGGCCAAAAAAGATGACAAAAACCACAAAGGAGATGCCGAGAATGGTAAGAATGATTGTCTGAAAGGAAGCCATATTGACAACACAGCTGAGGCTCGCACCCGGATCAGTGATGGTCGAGTGTCACAATCATGGCGCGTAAAGTCGTCCGTAGGAGAGGACAAAGAAGGCGAGACAGCCGACAGTTGGCGACGGTGATCTCGTTATATTTTGATGATGGTGAGAGGAGCGAATGTGAAACAAAGCGGCGTCGCCCTCTAGACGCGAAAGGGAGAGAAGGATTCGGGTCTAGGTTTGCGCCCAGAAAAGTTGACGCGAGACGAGAAAGTGGCTACCTTTTTTTCTTCTTGGGTATTACGGTGGGGTGTAAGCTCTGATTACTTTGTAATTTTTACAACCTGGTGAAGGCTTCAAGGCTTGGTTGCTTGCTGGCGTGGAGGAGCAACTCCATCGGCGCCGGCACTGTTTGCCGAGCTGACCTTGGCGAATAAGCCAGGCAGCTTTCAACATCCCTGGAAGAAACGACGTCAACCGGCAATATCGGATCGGCTAGGTCCATTTTTGACCCAACGGCTGATGGTAGCACGATTCGCCAAAGCCATCTACCATCTATTAGGGGACCCTAGAAATTTGAGGTACGCTCCACTATTACAGTACCACCAGACAGGCGCTGTCTCCGAGCGGAGCAGCTGCTCCAGGGCTGATTGAGGGGACGGGGTTGGCGCCACATGGCTCAATTCTTAGGGGGCGCGCCGTAATGACGGTTTGACGGTCTAGAGCTGTGAAAAGACCGTCGCTGTGATCTATTTGATCTGTTGCAGCCGTCTGGTGGTGCCGCGTCAGTGCATTAGTCCACTATCGGTTGGCTGGATATTGTCCACAATGGGGCACTGCGTCAGTCAATGACGCTTCAATGTCCTCCAGCTTCCACAACACGAGCCCGCTAATACTCGTGGATCCCCACCCATCAATCCGCGTCTGCCCCAAGAACCATCACGTGATCGCGCGCTTGAGCGCAACCGAAACAGGGCAGCTCTTGATCGAAATCCACGAGAACGTCTCGGCTGGGCTGGGGGCGAAAATAATAATGACATCAAGGAATGCGCTCGTCGTTTGGTCGTGAATAGGACAAGTGCCTTATTATAGGTCGCCAACATCAAGTGCACTTCAGATTTGCGGTCTTAATATTTTATTACACGACGCGCTTAGCACCCTTTTATGCTGCTCCAGCCCGCGTATTCATATCTTGTATACTTGGACCTGTTCTGCTAATACGGTTCGAGAGAAGACGCGTTTTAACCTCCTCACAATTCATCCCACTCCAGAGATACACTCTAGTCATTAGAACCTTCACAAAGACAGCAGAGATCCTCTAGGTGGGGTGTTTCTATACTCATATTTGATCCTTTCACTTCTTCCTTCTTTTATCTTCCATTATGGCTCCTTCATTCCACTAGGCCTTTTCCACGAGCCTTTTTCTCTCCGAAGGCCCAGGTCATGAAGACTGAAGGCGCCATTCACTAGATGGTTCTTTCTCTCAAACCTACCAAAGCACACCCTTACCTCCTTCCTCTGTTTGGAAGGCCTTTTTATTCCGGCTTTCTCGTTAATTTTAGGCCTCTAGCCCCATTTACTTTTGAATTTCTAAGCCATTATGTCAGAGGGTAGCATCTTTCATGGCACCAAATTTTGGCTTGCTCAACGTATCCCGTCTCGTTCACATTTCTCAGATCTCGTCAAGGTAGGTCTTTTCCTCTATATTTGAATCACTACGGGCTGCCATTCATCTTCTAATGCTTTGAATAGGAGAATGGTGGCACAATTGTTGCCCTTGACAAGCGAGCGGATGTGCTTATCGCTGATCATGCGAGGCAAGATGCTCCGCCAAACTCCTTCTCTTGGCGCTTCATTGAAGAGTCGGTGAAGGAGGGTAGGCGGTTAGACCTAGAAACGTACCGCATCGGCCGGCCCCCAAGCAAACCGCGCCCGGTAGCCTCCATGGAGCCTTCTCGGAATCATCGCACACCCTTTAGCTTGGCCGACGATGTACTCCTAGCGGCCTGGGTCGCCAAGAAAGAAAATTCTGGTGGTAACAAGATTTACCAGCAGTTAGAAGTTGGTGTAAGTTTGGCCGTCTTCCCCGGCGCCTTTTGTTCCGTACCTCGGCTAATCTTGTCATCTAGTATCCTCATCACTCATGGCAGTCATGGCGTGACAGATGGATGAAGAAGCTGCGCCTTCTTCCGCCTGAAACGCTGGAACGCATGGCTGCCGACGCCCCTCAATATCTCGACGGTTTAGTGACGTCCACCCCGGAGGCGTCCCACCCACAACAAGCCGCATCGGAATCTGTTTCGGGGCCCACGCCAGGACCGACTGGCCCGGCGTCGTCCCAGGGACCCTCCCCAAGACAGTCGACACAAACGGCTCGCCCTCAAGCGGTAGCCCCCTAAAAGACCTGGTTCTCCTCCGTATACCTTAGCCGATGATGACGTGTTAGAAGGGCATGTGCGCACTATGGTTGAAAAAGGAAAGATGTGGAACAGCAAAGTTATCTACGAAGAACTTGCAAAACAAGTATGTCTAGAAAGTTTTGCCATCACTCGCATTCGTGACTGTAACTAACATGGCATAGCGACCGCATCATTCTTCGTCATCCTGGCAAAACCGCTTTACCGAGCGATGGAGAAGGAACGAGGTCGATATGAGAAACTGGAATTTGAAAAGGATTGAGCCTCCTCAAAACGATTCCCCACAGTCAAGCACAATTTCGGTAAGATATCATGAGACCATAGAGACCCGGAGTATTCCTTCGGGCAAGTCTCGCCCGTCCGAACCATCCCCTTCACTCAAGGCACCAGAGGGGGAATCAAAAAGGTCCGTTTCTACGAAGACCTCGATATTTGGGCTGAGACTGAAACCGAGACTGGTCGAGCACCCACCATCCCCAGGTGGCACCAAATAAAGGATGTAGAGTTTGAGCTCTGGGATCTTTACGCAGCTGTCACAACCCAGGACTGTGGCATGAGTGATATTGATTGGGACCTCGTCGCGGAGGTGATGGGGCTCGACTGGATTGCGGCTCCTGAAATTCCCGAGGTTCTTGAAGGCTGTTGGGATAAATACCTATCCAAATTCCATGAGGAAATATCCGATTTCGTATTTGACACCCAGGCGGCCGCTGGCATTGTCGCGGATGATGAGGATCTCGAAGAAGACGACGGAGGATATTCCAGCGAAGAAGAATTAGGCCAGAGCGGCGGGGAAGAAATGGAGGAGATCAATGCAAGCGTTGGCGGGGGCAGAAAGCCCCGGACATCGGTGGACGGACGCGCGAGGCTGCGGACCTAGACAGTGACGGCTCGGAAGATGACGCATTCGAGAGCCCACCCCCAAACGAGAAACGGGCCACAGACGCCATACCTTGCCAGCAGCACGCCACACAGATGCCCTTTTACCATCCTCTCCACCCATACGAGGTCGCAGGAGGAACACACGAGCCGTGCAGTCCTCGCCCACCCTGATAGACCTCCTCCCGCCGCCTCTCTCCGTACTGAAAAGGAAACGGACCAGCCGCCAAGCGGAGATACCATCCACCCCCGACGCCCTCCTCGATACCAGGTTTGCCCGCCTCAACGATGAAACCCCGACAAGAAAGCGTCGGAAGCTGGCAAATATTGAGGGGCAAGACAAGCCTCCCAATCAGAGTCTGGCACTCGCATTAGGGGAGAGGGAGGTGGGGAGCGAAGCAGAGGATACCGCCCAAGAGGCATTGCAAGTCCTCGTGAGGACCCCAAACGCCCTCGGCATAGCGGAGCCCGAGACCATCATGAGAACAACCATCCGTACAAAGACCACCACCACCGCCATCACGACGGAGAGCTTGCCTGGGTCCTCCCCTCACGCAGCTAGACCAAGCTCCTCCCGCCAACTCCGCTCCACGGCCGTCGGCCAACACAGGGAGCTACCGCCTCCGGATCAAGGCAACGATGCCTTGGAAGAACTAGGGCAGGACGAGGATGAGGAAGAGGAAGAGGAGCAAGAGGAAGCAGAAGTAGTAGTCGCCGGAGACTCGGCGGATGATCTAGAAACAGAGGAAGAGGAGAATAACAGCGAGGAGGTCTTTGCTGCCATTGACCGCTTTGAGGCGCTCGGCTACGATCGCGACGTTGTTGTCGAAAGTCTCTTTTGGACATCCATGGACCCTGACAAGGCGCTCACCGTGATGAAGAGTTTCAATAGCGGGTACGATATTCCCCAGAATAAGCAAGGCATCTGGACCCCACAGGACGACAAAAAACTCAAGGCCGTGGATGTGGGAGGGCGCGGCACAGCGCGCTATCGGAATGCCTTGATCAAGAAGCACGGCCAGGCCCTCGTGGATGCAAGGAGGCGATTCTTAGCGGACGCCGAGGCTATCGGGTTGTCATTCCACTAGAGATTTCGTCATCTTTTCCTTATGTCTCTCGCATTTTTTCAACCGCTCCCTTGATCATCTTTTTTTCGGCATTGCTATCTTTGGGCGTCGGGGAGCGAGAAATGCTCAGTTTTTAACCAGTCTCGATCAGGTTTACACAATTGATACGTGGGTGGGGTGGCACAGTATGTTCATCAACGAGATGTAGTCATGGATGATACCAAACAATAAGCTATGATTATGAAGGGTGGCCGGGAATAAGAAAGCAAGTTACTCTCAGTCTAGAGGATCAGAGTAACACTCGCGCCACATATTGATAAGCAGGTTATCTCTACCTTTGATAGTAGCATGATAGCTTCCCGTCACGGAAGCTTAGACGAGACGTGATAATGCCAGTCATCCCGAGCTAGGTCCTCCCTCACCTTGTAGGTCCTCTCGGCGACCTCAAGCACACGCATATCCAGCTCCTCGATAGAGGTGCCCTCTACTGCTCCGAGTTTCCCCGGGCACCCAAAATGGGCATCCCGAGCTGGCTTAGGCCGGCGTACTCGCGCCGCACGCCGTCATTGTCCCGCGTGTCCGCCTCCTCCTCCGCGGGGGACGAGGGAGCGCCCGCGTTAACAAAGACAACGGCGCACGTATTCTCAAAGGCGCGGCAGATAATCATGCTCTCGAGGAATAACGTTTCGGAGTCACGATTGAGGGCGACGCCCTCGCCCGCGTCTCCAACGAGCCACCACGCAGGTGCAATGATTAACTTGGCGCCCTTGGCGACGAGCTCCTCATGGCCTCGGGGAAAGCGAGATCCCAGCAGACGAGCAGGCCGACGGGCCCAAACTCGGTGTCAAAGACGTCGTGGGGCTCGCGGCCGGGCTGCATGACGCCCCGCTCGGGGTGCCACAGGTTGCGCTTCTCGTACCGGCCCACCAGCTCGCCGGTGGACGAGATGAAGTAGCAGACGTTGGCGAGGGTGCCGTCCGAGAGTTCCTCGACGAGGGTGCCGGGGACGATGGCGATGCCGAGCGATGCCGCGAGCGCGCGGAGGGAAGGGAGGAGTCTGGCGGCTTCGGCACAGGAAGCTTGCCAGGCGGGGAGGAGGGTTGCCACGAGGTAAACGCGTACTCGGGCAGGACGGCAAGGCGAGCTCCCGAAGAGGCGGCAGCCCGGATCTCAGACTCGGCTCTTGCAAAGTTGTGGGCTGGAGACAGTGGCTAGAGTGCCGGGAGGGGCAGGTTATTACGGTTTCATCGTCTATTATGCAATGTACCTATTGCGTCTTCGCTGGAGAACTTTTTTCTTCTTTTCTTCCTTTCTTCTTTTCCCCTTGCCTGCTTTGCCCCGACTTGTAATCGCAGCAGAGGGGTACATAAAACAAAAGGACAGCTTCCGAGGGGGCAAAGAAAAAAACGCAGTTGAATAAGAAACTAGGGTTTTATTATAGGGAAGAACAAGTTATGGATGCGGTTTCAATATATCGATAGGCACTAGGATCATCCAATGCCGGAAATTTGGCGAGATGCAGAAAGTCTCCAGATTACCGACGCAGGTTCTCCACTTACCTTGGGGTAAAGCTGAATCAACGCAATATTGAATTTCAAGGCCATGGTGGGTAGCTCTGCTCGAAGAGCCAACCTCTGTTTGGATACTTGTCGGGATATTAAGGCTTACTGTTTGAAAGCGAAACGAAGAAGGGAAGGGAAAAAGAAGAAGAAAACCTCCGAACTAATGAAACAAAGCCGGGTGCATCGATTTGGATTCCGGTGTACTATCAGCGCATCGGGATTATCACGAGGCCGCCGCCGGGCTGAGGAGCGATCTATGGATGATGGGTTCGTGCATGATCAATGATGGGAAGGGGAAGCGGGGTGGGGAACACACGGGCTGGCTAGAATCCAGTTGTCGCCATTGGAGGGTTTGACTTAGCCCGGGCTGGACAGCTCGGGGGTCTAGTTAATAAGGTAATTCGCAATGTCTGGTCAATCACTGGCCGAGCTGGCAGTATTTCTGACCGAGCGTGTAATTGGGGGCTCACTCATTGCTCTCATTTGACAGAGAACGTTGCATCGAAACCACCCTCGGAGCGTTCCCGAGCAAGCGTGATCCCGGCATATTGGCTGTAAGACACATTAACAAAGAGGTCGCTTAGACCGGCGGCGTGATGTGGTTGGTTGTGCTCCCGCAAGGGTCACGGCCTTTCCACCTTCCACATTGATCTATTATGGCTCTCCTTTCGAGGTTGGCTTCTTCGGTCCGCGCGGTGGTTCCTCGTGATACTTCTTCTTCAACCTCTCTCCCCTTCCTCGACGAACTCAAGAGGGTCGAAAAGAAATCGATCGAGGCAAGAGACACGCCGCGCCAAATCCGCGATGGGAGTGCTAGGACTGTTCAACTTCGCGGAACGCGGGGTCTTCGCGAATGCTACCATTTTTCTCATCAGTATCCTCTGTATCTACGGCTATGCGGCGAAGAAGATTCACCCTAAGGAGCCCGCCGTGATCGCATCAAAGGTTCCCTTTGTCGGCCACCTCATCGGCATGGCCATGCAGGGCGGGAAATACGTAAAGAATCTAGGGTGAGTTGGTCTCTTTCACGCGCGAAGCAGCCTAGCTGGTAGGCCCGGCTTACTGACAAGAGGCGCGACAAATGATAAAAAGGCTGGCTCACAAGCATATGCCCATTTTTACGCTTCCGGTGCCCATGTCGCGGATCTATATCGTCACAGATCCCTCTCTAGCGGCTGTTGTGCAACGCGCTTCCAAATCTCTCTCCTTCACCCCATTAGTTCCCAACATTACGGAGCGTGTCCTCGGGCTCGACAAGAGAACAGTAGAGATTGTCAAGCAAAACCTAGACCCCCTTCCCGGAGAAGAGCGAGGTTTCCTCGCCGATATCCACGATATGCTCTATGGATTCCTCGGTCCGGGAGAGGCCCTCAACGAGATGTCCCGCGCCGCGACCCAGGAGCTGTATGAGCAGGTGGCTCAGTGCGCGGACCACCTTAGAGCCAAAAGCGCACAGTCTGAAACCGTTGATCTCCTCGAATGGGTGCGGCATTTCGTAGCTGCAGGTACGGCCAGATTCCTCTATGGGCCGAACAATCCTTTCGAAGTAGATCCGGAACTGGAGAAGGCTTTCTGGGACTTTGACCACGGTCTCGGAGGCTTGCTAATGGGTCTTTTCCCCTCCCTAACGGCTGCCAAGGCATACAACGGTAGAGAGAAGCTGGCAAAAGCCCTCAAGGAATATCTAGAGGCTGGACACCAAAAGAGGCATCTACGATTGTCCAGAATAGGATACGCATCGCTAAAGACTATGACTGGACGTCAGACATGACCGCACGATCTGAGCTCTCTTTCCTTTTCGCCGGCATAGTGAATACCGCAACTACTTTGTTTTGGATCGTGCTCCAAATCTCGGCTCGTCCTCAACTACTGTCCAAAGTCCGAGAAGAGCTGCAAGAGGCCCAAAGAGCGAGTTCCGGGACCACGGGGAGCAGACGCTGAGCATGAATGCCGTACGAGACAAGAGCCCGACTCTCATGGCCGTGTTCCGCGAATGTTTGCGAGTCGGTTCGGAGAATTACTCGACTAGGCTGGTAAAGGAGGACACCATGCTCGCGGATCGGTACTTCCTACGCAAAGATTCCGTTGTGCAAATTGCCGGGAGTGTAATCCATTCAGACCAAGAGATATGGGGCGATGATGTTGCCGAGTTCAACCCGGACAGGTTCCTCCAGGCGTCCCGTGAGGGCAAGTCGAACGTTCACCCCGCCGCTTTCAGGGCCTTTGGTGGAGGCAAGACGCTCTGCCCCGGTCGCCACTTTGCAACAAATGAAATCGTCATGCTCGCCGCTTTGATGATCATGAGCTTTGAGTTCACGGCTCCTGACGGAGGGCAAATCTCGGTCCCTAAGAAGAATGACGCGATAATGCCGGTGCACGTCTTAGAGCCGTTGACTAGAGAGCCGGTCAGGGTGCACGTTGCTTTAAGGGAGCGGGTAGATACCACTGCGGGCCTAAAGGTGGTTCTTTAGGACGAAGAAACCGCGTGATACGGCTTGCTATCTTGGCCTGGCGAAGATCTATATCAATAGATGCCGCCCGATTTCCATGTAACGTACACCGATCAACAGAGAAGCACTATTCCACCAAATAAAAGGTGGATCTATTAACTACTCACCTTAACCCGTCGACGTCAATCATCCGGTTCACGTTGTAGGTAGTTTGCCATTGAACGGCCGAGAGTGTCAGAAGCGTGAGGTAACCCAACGTCCCGCGCCTTCCCAATCTAAAGTGTACCAAAGTGATACCTTCCCCGTAATCAGTGGCCTCGGGTGCTCTTTCTCTCACGCGCGGAAGCGTCGAACACCTCAGTCGAGAAAGCACCTGATGGCCACTTCTCAAGACAAAACGTAACTACTCAGCCACTTCACAAAAAGTCTCCTTGCGCTCCTCGGTAGATCCAAGAGGGCGCATCTGATCACCTCCATTAGGTCGCTAAAAACTCCGTCTTATTCTCACGCATAAGATCATCTCCCGTCTGTCACGGTCACGTTTGCTGTTGCCCTTCGAGCCCGAGTTCCCACGGTCGAAAGCCTCATCTGCATTTCCAGTGGGAAACAGATGATTGGGGTGTTCTGATACACTTCTATGTTGGTCGCTTCGCCAGATTCAAGTTCTCGAGAGCCTACCCCGATGCTATTTGGCGATCACACTCCATCTCGTAGACTTAGAGAATCTCCCCTTGCTCAGACCTCTCTGCCTACCTCAAGACAACATGGCTAGGCTAAGGTCAGTGTTGGTGCTTGTTTTCATTGCCTCGGTACATGCTTGGAGGTGGGACAGCCGGAAGGGACTTGGGGCTACATCGCCATCTCCAAAAGCCGTAGACAGGCCCGAATCGCCTTGGTATCCAGACTTGCCGCCCTACCACTCGGAAGACTCCTTAAAGCTCGCCGACAGCACCTCGGGCATGCCTAACATCTACACTGTTGCGGCCAAGGAGCTTGAGGCGCTTCAATCCGAACCTCTTTGCCATCGAATCGCTGCAAGACTGTTGATCAGTGATTGTCAAATGCTCGACGGAAAAGACGAGGCCACAATCTTGACTGAGAGTGGAAGAAGAATCCGGGACTTCGTTGACTTCTACGCCGCCAGTCTTGCCATCTGCGACCTCCGACGTGGGGATTTGCTATAGCCGCCGGCTGCCTCAAATTTAGAGAAGAGTTCCTTTCAACCCTCCCAATTCCCCATAGACCCAAACTTCACGTATCATCGCAGGAGATTGATCTCTGCTTAAGTGGACTCGCTAAATCGGACGCTGCGTGGAATACTTGGATTAGCTACCGGCACAAAGCACTTCGATTTTGCGAGGCGGCAAGAGTGGACAACGAAAAGGGTATGAGCGTGCCCTGAGGTTTTTTGAACACTATGACTGACAGGCAGCAGCGCAAAGCATCCACCTTTACCAGCGGATCACCAAGATTTTAGAAAAACTTACTAACGAAGTAGATGAGGAGATGAGGGAAAAGATGCACTTATTCGGCGATGGACTTCGGGAAGCTAGCAAAGAGGTTGAAGAGTTATCGCCCATTGTCCACGGTTTGAAAGATAGACTTGGCGGTCTGAAAGCACTAATATTTGAAGATCTCGGGCCTCAAGTTGAAGTGAGTATCGTTTACGCCTTCGTTTGTGTTAGTTACTCTACGGAATGGAAAGCTCATGCTAGTGCCCTCCGGGTAGCTTGCAACGCAGGCCATGGATATAAATCTACAGAAAGCCGCCGACATTAAGCATGTACTATCAATCCTACTTGCGACTATACTCGAGGCGCACGCCGAAATATCTGCCGTGCACAATATGGCCATGAACGATCTATCTGAAAGGGTGGACCACGCAAACGAAGGCATCTTAGCTTCATTTTCAACGACTACGAAATTTATGGACCTGTTCAATGGTCGGCTGGTAAGCGCTTCGTCTTCTCTATGAATATGCTTTGCGTTTCTTTGTGGATTAATTGGTCTTCCCGACAGGAAAAATCAACAAGAGACTGGGCTGAATTACAACTCCGACAAGAGAACATCGAAAAGGTCTGGAACCAGACCTCAGGGAATCTCGTAATCAGGGCTGACGAGGTTGACATCTAGTCTTTAACCTTTATCTGGAATCTGACACAAGCTATCTCCGACCGACAGCTCATCCATGATGCCCAACTGGTTGCTGCAAGCATGCAGGTACACGCATTGACGGATGAGCTCGGAAACGCTATCTCGATGACAAAGAAGATGCAGGAAATGGTAGTAGGTTCGGCGTCAGTGACCGGATGGTGGCCGTACCTCGCTTGCCCCATAGCTATGCTAGTGATGGGCTCATACCGGCTACCACCATCCGGGTATAGGAACCTGGGACTTATCATTGCTGGTGTGTTTGGCTCTATTTCGCCGTAACAATTTCATGTTCTAATTTCGCGACATATTTCCAGGCGAGGGCATCGCAATCATCATCACCATGACTAACGAGCTCGTAAAGAGTCTTGCCGTTCTAGGCGCGGAAGATCTTCACTCAGGTGTAAACATTACGAGTGACTTTCATCTAGCCATGCCGGCCGAGGCGTAGAGTTGGAGCAGATTCCTACATACACTGGCCATCCACTAGGTGGCCCCAATCAATGAAGATGTTTTTAGTGACCAAAGGAGCTGGGCAGTAGATTGACTTTTATCCCCGGGCAATAGCGCGTGGAATGAGACCGGGGAAAATCTCTGAGCGGCGAAAACGGCAAGGTGTTGTAAAAAGATCGTCATGATGGACATGGTGGAGCACTCCGGCAACGAGGACGCCACATAAAAAACGGCCTCGACGTCAGTCGTGGATGCCGACGCACAATCCAAACCAGCGGTTCCCCATCAAGCTCTTTATATATGATCTATACGCTTGCGCTACGCTTGTTTGCGGGCATGATGCCCGTATAATATATTTTTACTTGTACCTGTGGTAGATATCTTTAAATTCCCTTCTATTAGTTGATGTCTCCCCGCAATGTTGGTTTCGAATCAGCCCTCTGCAGAGGTCACCTAGGCTTACACCGACGTCAACTGTCGGTGCCTTTTAATTTCGGAGGGAGAACTAGGGAAGGCGAAGAGAAGCTACACGAAGTTCTCCATATAACCTTAATGTCCTCCAGCCGTCGTGGCGATTGAAAAGGGAGATTTCGCATTCACCTCCCCTTTCTTGCTTTTTCTTTCTTTGGTGCTTTTTCTTCCTGGGTTCTTATGGACGCCCTGTGCCTTGTTCGAAACGTTCTAATGTACTTCGCTTGCTGTTTTTTTACTTCTTTCTCCTCTTACCGGCTAGAAGAAAAGGAAAATCCAGACTTGGTCCGTCCTTGGATCTCCACCAGTTCCCCCAAAGCATTGGGACTAAACCTAAAGGAAAATCTAAGCGTCATGGCGCTTGTGCGACGCCGTTTATCTCCCAGCTTCCGAAAACTCTAAACCCCCAAACTGTATTAAATCAATCGCAAAAAGAGCTGACGGGGGGACGGTGCTTATGATACGTGCCATGTTTGCGTGGCCTGGGTCCGGAAATGGTCTTGATATAATACTTAATCACTTTAAGTTACTGCCTTCGAACGGAGCTACGGAGCAAGGGGTCCTCCGGCTCCGCCCAAAAAAATCTACGGAAAGCCGAGTCTGTCCTTCGTGATGATGGTAATAGAAGCCGATCTCTACAACCCAGATTAGCAAATCAGAGTGTGCTTTGGACGATCGCCGTGGTCTTGCGATCGGCGTATTTACTGGATGATGTGTTTGCGCACCATCTCCTATTAGCCCGGCCGGAGACACTTGTCAAAGTCTACAAGGCTGAGAGGGTTAAGCGGCCTGTTCCGTCCAGGGTTCCCATCCGCACTGACCAATGGCGTGGAGTGCAGGGGTACGTCTTGGCAGGAATTGGCCCATTTTGACGGTGCAGCCTCGCGCATCATACGATTTCGTCTGTGGTTTGGCGCGGTTTATTTTCCTTTGGTTCATTCGTCCCCCAAAGCCCCCTTCCCAAATTTCTGTAACGTCTTCTCCTTTGACGACGACAGAGTGAGCAAAGGGACGGCACCCCGCCCCCTGATCCGCTGATGGGGACTGTCAACTCAAGAAGTCAGGCCATCTGAGCGGGAACTGCCCAGCCAATTTGGGTCGACCCAATCGGGACCCGGTGGTTAATTTTCTTTTCTTTTCCTCACCCCTTTACTTCGACGATCTCTCACATGCTGCTGCTGTCGCGCTTCTTGACCTTCGGGGTTTCGGTTGTGTTCTTTGGTTCGGGGAGGCTTATGCGCGACCACCTAACCTGAACACGTTTCTCGAGAGGCAGCTCTCCTGGACATTGATGCCCATCTCCCTATGGCTTACAACCTCACGGTTACCCTAGGACAAAAGCTCTCTTGTGGGGGTGGTGGCTGGTTCACTTTGTTTGTTTGGTGTCTCCTTGGTCCCTCTTTCGGTAGCTGTTGACGGGATTTCAACAATCGCTCGTGGAGTGAGGCTAGATGTTCGCTATGAAGACGGAAGCTGAGGAAGAAGAAAGTCGGTAATAGGTTTTGACAGAAACTTGCGTTACACGCTTGGGCCTTTGCTCCTCGAACACCCACTTGGCGGGACCCGGGTATTGATGACCAGAGCAAAGTACCTTTGAAAACAGAGCCCAGGGTCCGACGATACACAAATCCCGAGGGCAAGATTGCTCGAGGGAGGGCAAAGTCACCGCATATCGATCTGTACCTAGAAGATCGTGTCTTGCCGCGTTGGCCAGGCCCCGCCGAAGAAATCCTCAGAGGAGCACTATTGAGGGGCGGGACGGTTGGAAGGGGGTAGTTGATGGGCGCCCCATTTGCCGGTGTTCACTAACGTAGTGTATGTGTCCTGGTGGAAAATAGTGTCATGTTTCCTTTCCCCTGTGAGCTGGGTTGGTTTGCGGCGTTCTCCGGCGGAGGAAGTTGGAGGTGTCTTCCCATTTTCCTTCTATTCCTTTTTCTCCTTCTTTTCTTCCTTTTTCCCGTTCCTTTCATTTTCTCTCTCGACTTGTAAATTAGCCGCAGAAGTGTAGTCTAGCATTGCTTTTGGCTTTTGGACTTTGCAGGGCCTATTACTTGTTTTCCTCGTAAACACTTGTACTCCACACGTTGAGAACTGGTGGCAGGTCCCAAGCAGCCATTCAAGGTAATCAACGCATGAGACCAAGTCGGAGTACCAGTACCAGCGCAAAGCACGAATGCACTTTCCCCAATCCAGTGAGTGCCAGCATGTTCGTGCCTACCACGGAGACTCTAATAAGTCCCTGCCCGTGTGGGACAAGTATTGGCCTTTCCGTTCAGTCAAGTCAGTTATGGCCCATGCGCTCAAGACGAGAAGTGGAACCTGCCTTGCCTTCCTTGGCTGTCGACGAGTCTAGAACTTCCATTGATTGATCAATGTACATCATCTCGTCCCTCGAGGCATGTCCGATGTTACTTCACCTTTGGTCGATTTAGGTGTTCCTTTTCAGCAACAAGGGAGCGCCCGACCTGTCCCTCTTTCCCAAGCACCCCCAGCTGGTGTACCATGACTTTGTACGAATGATTTGGCACCCAAAGGTAACTACCCCCTACCTTCTGGTCATATTGATGCGTGGAGTCAAGTTGCAACCAAACGTCCACCAGCGGTTCTTCGAGTGGTCCCTTGGCCTTGAGACATATCATTCCCTTTCAGTTGACCACCCTCAGAAAGTCCTTTTTGAGCTTCCTAGTCTCTTTCCTAACAAGTGCATGTTTTCTCTTCTTTTCTTTCTTGTTTTTTTTTTTTTTTTTGGTCCCCTCTGGTTAGCTGAATAATTACGCTATTTTCCCACATCTCGTCATTCTCTGGGTTCCCTTGTTTCTGTTCACCCCAGCTTTGACTTGCATCCCGCAGCCAAGTCCACTGACAGTCCGGCCCAGTCGCCGACAGCCCTGAAGTTTCAATATTCACCCGGTCCCATCCGGAAAAAAAAAAAAAGAAAAAGAAAAAGAAAAAGAAAAAGAAAAGAAAAAGAAAAAGAAAAAGAAAAAGAAAAAGAAAAAGAAAAAGAAAAAGAAAAAGAAAAAGAAAAAGAAAAAGAAAAAGAAAAAAACCGAGAAAAAGGAAACAAAGAGAGTTGCGACCACCACCTCTTCCAGGAATATTCTGGTTTCTTGGATTGTCTCGGGACGACGATCTTCACCATTGGCAGCGATAGCGATATTCTCCTATCGACAACATCCTTTCTTTTCTTCTTCAATCTCTGTCCCTCGAGCTCACTCATCCTTGCCCAAACCCCACCTCTGCGTTGGGTTGCGTTGGAAAATTCGCCTCCTATTCCCCCTTACCCTCCCTTTCGATTGCCGACCACCAGCGCCCGCTCTTCACCTTTGAAACTCGACGAAAGCTCGAAGACCTCGATTTTGATCTCCCTCTCCCGACCGCCCTCCTCTAGCCGCGGATCAAGATCTGCCCCTAAAAGCGCGCCTCGCCTCCACGATCATTTTTCTGTCCGCCTCCTAATTGCTGTCGAAACTCCACGTTCCTAAAGCTTGCGACGAAAGGTGGCTGACGGAGCGAAGCGAATTATCCCGCGATCTCGACCGAACGCTTTGTTTTTGCCAAAGCCCCACTAAGTCGAATGCCTTGCATTGTCAATAAACGCTGCTCATCCGGCTGAGACGGGTAGTTCACTGTGCTTTATTTGCAACGACGTGCGCTTGAATCGGAATCACCCTCACGTGCCCGTGATCAATATCTGCGATTTGTCGCCTCTGCTCGAAGCCCTCTTTAATCCTGTCGCCCATACTTTCAGCTCACTTGATCTCTTGAACGACCTGACCTTTGGGGGTTGGGGTGCCCTAGGAAACCGCAATGGACCCCAATATGGACTTCTTCGGCAATCTCGACTCCACGGGCAGACAGAATGCCGAAGCTTCATCATCGACAGCTCCCCTCCTCCTGTAACTACCGAAGCTTCCCTCTGGGACCCCTCGCTCGCCCTTGGGATGTCGGACGAGATTGCGACTAGCACTCCCTACGGCCAACAGACTTCACAACCCATGGGCTTTGGTAGGTTTCCCATACCTTCACCCTATGGCGGAACGCCTGTTTCGCAAGCGACTCCGACCCAGACAATGGTGACGAATAGGAGAAGGGATGGACATGATCGAAAACGTGCGAAGGTGGATGATGCTGCCGCCCTCGAATCAGTCGACTACTGGATCCATCTCGACGATGATGACTTTGACAACAAGCTAGGGGAAGCTTTGAAATTGACTTTTCAAAGAGGAGAAACGACACACAAAGCTTCGCAAGGTAGGTTGCTTCTGGTGCCTGGTGCAGCACCCCAATCTGGCCGTGAATGTGCGCCTCAAAACGTGCACATCAAGTACTAATCGTTCATCAACCCTCTCTTAGGCCTGTTGCTGCTTTCAACACCATGGCGTCCACCCCTGGTCTTGGAACCGGGCTCTACACAAGCTCTAACAATTCTCTCTTCAAAAACGATGGTGTGGATGATAGCGCGCTCGACAACGCCCTCTCCGACGATGAGGACGGGCTAGATTCTCTCAACTTGGCGGAGCAGCTGTCTAAGATTGATACCACCGCACCAACCGAAGTGCCACCTAGGGAGGGCCTCTATTCGACCCCTCTAAGTTGGGAGAAGCCCCAGCCCGGCCTCCGATCGGACCCTCTTCTTGGATCTTTTAGCCCGTCGAACCCCCTCCTCAGCGATATGGAGCAAAAGAAACTTCTCGCCATTGCCCTGAACACGACACGTCCGCCGCTCGCGAATTTTGGAAATGCTTTTGGGAATGGACTAGGCTTTGGTTACGGATTTGACACTCTTGGCGGTGGCTTTCCAACTCTCGGCGCAAATGCGCTGCTCGAGACTCTGGGCACAAACAACCTAAGCGAAATGCCGAAGCCCATGCAACGACCAAAACCCCAACCACAGCTTCAGGCACAGGCACAGGCACAGGCACAGGCACAGCGCCAGCAACAACCCCAAACCCTAGCTACCCCGTCTGCCCAAAGCCAGCAGCCTCAGATCCCGCCACAGGATCCGTCATTGACCCAGTTGAGCCAACCTCAGCCAGTCCCGCAAAGAACGCAGAGCCAGCAGCCTGCGCAAACGCCAGCGCCGCCCCAACGGCCGCAGCCTCCGTCCCGGCAATCCTCCCAAGCCAATTCGATATCATTATCCCAAAGTCAAACGCCGGTCCCTCAAGGCGAAATGCAGCCTCCATCGCAACCACAATCACAATCTGAATCGGCTGCTGGTGATCTTGGTTCGGATACTACCAAGGTTGAGCTGTCCGCGATGGAGAAGGGAAAGGACAAGATGAAATCTGGGGATCGGGCCGCCCACAATGATATTGAGAGAAAATACCGAACGAATCTCAAAGACAAGATTTCCGAGCTCCGCGACGCTGTCCCAGCGCTGAAGTCGATACGAGAAGAAGGCGTCGAGGAGCCCGAAGAAGACACTGCTCAGCAGCGGCCGCCTAAGGTCAGCAAGGTTAGTACAGTCGGACCCCCTTTTTAAACACCTTAGCCTCGTGCTGTTTCCCTCTAACACCCACGATTAGGGTACCGTTTTAACGAAAGCGACGGAATACATACACTTTTGGAACGGCGAAACAAGGCTATCCTTCGAGAGCACCAGGAACTATCAAGAAGGCTTCAAGCCTTTGAACATCTTCTCAATGCTACCGCAAGGCAGCCATTCCCGATGCCTAATTACAGCAGGGCCCTTTTTGACCCGCGAGGATTTTGTTGACCTGCCCATGCCCTACTCCTTTTCTCCGTCGTATATAATGACCGTCCTTTCCTCATTACCATTATTGCTCAACCGGTGTTGGCGGCCTTGGCTTCGCTTGGTATCTTTTTTCTTTTCCCCTTTGGCCTTGTGGTGCCGTATTTCCGTGTATTCTTATCCTCTTGGACACCCCTCTTCCGGAGTCATGCGCGAACTTAAAAGAAGTTGGTGCTATTATATCTGAGTCAGGGCTGCTTTCACTCCCCTCTTCAACCTCCCCGCCCACGTCTCGCTCCTTGTTTCCGCTGCTATCGCGTAATGAGACCATGCAAAAATTTTCTTCTAATATTGCTCCATATACTCATGTATGGCAAGGAGAAGAAGGCAAGAAGGTGTTTTTTTCTACAATTTCGGCGGGTACATCAATAAAGCTCTTTATCAGTTCATAGAGATGAGGATGCTCATTTTTTCAAGAACTTAAAAAGACTAATAAAGGCTGTGAGATTCACTGTCCGTCCTTCATACCCTCCATTTCTTAAGTGCCGTTCTTCCCTAAACCGACTGCTCTCGACCTCAACGCTATCTCAGCATTTGACTTTCTACACGGACTGTAAGCTGGCTGGCGGTTACGTCTTCGTCCAGGAACTATACACGTATCCCCTACCATTTAAAGTGAAAGGCTTGCGAGCGCCCTGTTGGAAAATGTGCCACCTCCTCGAAAATTGGTTGAAAGCAGTATATAGGATGCTAAGAGAGGCGCAGGTTCAAGGTCGGGGGGTCAAAGCGGAAAACGTGCATGCGTGGTATCAATGGCGGGCTGGAGAAGCAGTTTCTTTGCTCTTTGTTTTTCTCTCTGTCTCGGCAGGACAAAGGCGTAGGGCCGGGGGAAGGGGGCCAGACTGTGGTGTGGAGGCGGGTACTCGCCGTGGGTCGTGAGGGGGTGGTCTCAGATGTTGGACATCTGCGCCATGTCTTGGAGACGGAGACCTCTAGAGATTATTGCGATGCTGGAGGGAAAGGGAAAGGGCTTCGACTTCGCTTGCCTTTACGTATTCCTCCCCCTCTTGGCTGGGGATTAGCTAGCTTCTTCCGTAGTACGGTATATGCGTGGCCACTTTGTTGTCCGGTGGGCAGTTTCTTTGAAGACTGGGGAACTGGCGGGCTGGGGTCTTTTTGTGTTCGCCCGCCTCTTCTCTCTCTTTTGGGTTTCTAGACATCTCGCAAGGCTCTATACGTCCAAGCGTAGATCTGTCTAGGGAGGCTTTTCTGAGCGCATTTGGATATGTACAAGTCTAAACCTTCAACATGCGCGGGAAAGGCGGAAGGGTGAGGGTGAAAGGTTTGGGCCGCAGCGGCCATGCTTAGAATATACAAACGCAATCTTCAAATGCGTGCTAATTTACAAAAAAAATACAAGTTGGATGCTTTTTTCCTTTCCTTCCCTGGTCATTCTCCCCCCGGCCACCTCCTTTTTTTAAAAAGAAAAGTTACTTTTAGTGCGTTTTCCCTCTATTAGACGCGAAGGGCTTCGATGTCGGGTATCTCCTTCACAGCTTCGGCGGTAAGATTGATCGCCGAGTCGGTGTCAACCGCGATCGAGTCCTCGATGCGCATGCCCATGCCGTGGAAGTGAGCAGGATACCGGCTGTCATGTGGTACGTAGATACCCGGTTCAATTGTAACGCAATGGCCTGCGCGGAGAGGTATGCCCCTAGAGATGCTGGCGCAGTCATGGACATCGAGGCCGACGTAGTGGCCGACATGGTGGTTGAAGAGTTTGTCAATGTGCCCAAAGGCGGATGAGAAGCCGAGCTTCTCCAGCTCGGCGGCGAGGCCGGAGCGAGCCTCCCGGTGAATGTCGTTGAGGGAGTTGTTGGCGGACTCACGGCAGAGGGCCACGCAGCGCCTCTGGACGTTCAGGAGCGCCTCGTAGAGATCCTTTTGGGCCGTGGAGAACCTGCCTTGCTGGGGCCAGACACGAGTGATGTCGCTGACGTAGTTGCCATATTCGCCACCTGCGTCGACGAGGATGAGAGAATCGCGGGGATCGGGGCATTATTGTGGACGTAGTGGACGCACAAGGCATTCTTGCCGCCGGCTATGACAGGGATAAACGACAGCCCGGTGCAACCGAAGCGCTTGACATCGTATTCTAGGGCGGTAGCGATATCCTGTTCAAAGTTCCACTCTCGGCGCATGAGATCCGTGATGGCGCGACCGGCGTTTCGGCCCGCTCGGCGCATATTGGCGATTTCGGCCTTGCTCTTCACCATGCGTAGGTTATCCATAAAGGGCGAGAGACGTTCAATTTTCCCGGACGCCCGTGTCGAAGTCTCGCTGTGAGAGCCTTCGCGTAGAAGTTCCCAGAGCTTGCCTCCCTCAGTTCCAGGTTTAGGCTTCTGGATATCAGCGTAGACCTTAGTCGCGTGCTTTAGGATCTCTGGGAGCCTGAGGGGTAGCTCCGTGATGTCGTGTGCCGAGTCTGCGTTAAACACGTCTCGAGCGGCGACGAGGCCCGAGCGAGGACCGGCCCACTGTTCCATGGCGGGGTTTTCGCATGTACAAACATGTGGAAGATGACATCGTCAGGGTGGTCTGAAACTTTCTGGATGGCAGCGACGGCGGTATCCTCCTGGAACCCGGTGAGGTAGAGAAAGTTGCAGTCTTGCCGGAAGGGATAAAAGACGGAACCAGACGCCCACTTCAGGGTCGCGGCCTCCACGAGCACCACTGAGCCTTTGGGGAGGTGCTCGCAGAGCTTGAGCCGGCGGTCGTAATACTCTTGGGCTGTAATGCCAGGGGTAACTGTAGGACTACGTCAGCTTAGGTCGTCCTGGCGGGGGCCGTGGGAACTCGTTAGTTACTTACTCTCTCCGGCTTTCACCATGTGGGGGTGGGTCTCGTGGAGAGGCTGGCCGAACTGGAGTTCGGACGCATTGATAGCCTCATAGCGAGGAAGAGCGGATGAGAAGAGGCGCGCTAGGGGAACGTGACTACTAAGGAGTAGCCGGCTCGCGTTGCGGGTTGAGGTCGCCGAAAGAAGAGAGTGAGGCGGGGCGCGGCGAGAGAGACGGCCCAAGGAGCGCGACATGGCCGTTGTGAGAGACATGGCTTGCATGCGGACGGTGTATTATCAAGGAATATAAGAATGCTATGAGTGGGGGTTTAAAGATATACTAGGAGCCAATGGGCTCAGTCCTTCATCTTCTAGACCAAAAGAAAAAAAGAAGAAGAAGAAAACTCGGGGCGGTATGATTCTAGTTCAAGCCACGTCGACTTGGCCTCTGAGCTTTGGATATCAATGACGTGTTTTAACGCCTCAGAGAAAGGAGTAGCAAGAAAAGGGTGGGTGGCGAAGGGGCCGAAGGATGGGCGATAAAGTGAGAAAAAGAGCTTAGTTAGAACCAGCCCGAGGGCCTCCACACCTATGAGCTATGAGAGAGAAAGAGTGTGTGCGTGTGCGTGCGTTGATACGGAAGAGAGGTTGTGCTCCCGTTTAGGACCTAGAAGACGGCTGCTGTTTGCGCCTTTCTAGAAGCAAAGCGATCGAGAGGGGTTGCACACGACTGAGATACAGAAAAGAAGGGACGTCCGAAAGAGGTATCGAAGCGGCCGGGAGAGGGTCGTGTAAGTGTCGAAATTCGCTGCATGAGCCGAACATGGCCGGTCTTTCGGAAAATCGAGTCGAGGTTAGCAGAAACGTAAGGCCGGAGATGATACGGTCATGTCAGTGGCTCACGGCTGATGGCAGCTGGTAATATTATATTGTGCACAGTTTCACTTCAAATGTATTATTACTGAAAGCTCATTTCCTCTTTTGCCCCACGTCTCCATTTTAGCTCTGTAACAACTCTTCCTTTTTCTCTTTGCCCTGACACGCACGTCGCTGGGTCGCTCCTCACAAAGGAATTGAAAAACCAAGAAAGCAAAGAAGGTCTGAGATCTCTGGAGATGCGATTATCATCCTCGTGCATCTTCCTTCATTAATCTCGGTCCCTTTCTATGTCGGTCTTGGAGCGCGCGCAGGGTTGTGGCTGGTGAAGAGCTGGAAAGCCAAAGCACACGGAACTCGCATGCCAAGGCTCGAGACCCGCAAAACAGAGCGTGTTGCTTCGTCGACGAAATCGTTCTGGATTCCCCACTTTCCACCACCAGATATGTCGTAGCGGGCTTGCTGTTTGAGCTAGTGGCCGGTGCGCCATCCCTGAAAAGGTACCAAGTTCACACGAACTGGTTGATCAACAAAGCCCCTCCATCTGTGAGATTGTCAAAACAATCGAGAGATGATGGTACGAAGTACTTGTAATAAACAGCAGGACAAATGGAGGCTCAACGTCGCTTGAGTGATCACAGCTCCGGTATTGCCCCGCACAGGAGAGGAAAGTGCTCCTTCAGACACAATACCCACAAGCAATACGTGTAATAGGTCAATTGGAAGTGAAAGCTTGATCTCAAGGCTACGTGCTCAAGTGTAATACACAAGCACACCACAAGCGAAGTAATAAGCAGGTGGTATTATGGTCAAGGACCTATATTATGTGACGCAGTTGATATTACTTGTACAAGAGCTATCCAATTTGGGAAAAACAATAAGCGTGGCAGGGACGAAAAAGAGCGGACTTTATGGATGGGGTATTTTGCTCACGGCTATGTGACAGGTGAGCTCCATTGGGGTATGGCTCCCACCACTGCTTTCGGGGCGGGAAACAAACCAAAACAGAAAAGAAGGCGGGTGGATGCTGTGCGTCGTGTACGAAAGTTCCCACGGGGATTAAAATCTAGCACACAAGAAGGTGGGAAACCAGACCCTTTAAAACTGGACTGGGAATGATAGACAGCAATTGATGAAAAGGAACAACTAGAAAAGAATTCTCGAAATGGGGACTGGCCACAGCTACTTCGTAGTGTATATGCCTCCAGAGGAGCTCGAGTCCGACTCGAGGCTCCCGTCCTAGTCCTCGAGTGCAATTGATCGCACTGAGTGATTGATGCTGTGCCCAGTGAAGTGCTACGAATAGCATCGGTGGATCAAATTGATGGAAGGGCGGTCTGAGTGGCTGGTATTATGGTTTTATTTTATCAGCGTGGTTGGCCCGAGCGTGTTTATTAACCTCCGAACCGGGAAAGGGCGAGCTCGTGTGTGTGTGGATGCGTGCGAGTGCGTGTGGTGTGTGCGGTGTGTGCGGTACGTGCAGTGCGTGGTGCGTGTGTGTTGGTGTTGACAGCAACAGCAAAAGGCCGTAACCAGGCCACGGGCACAAGCGCGCTTTCCCAGGTTTCCCAAGCCTTTTTCCAAAAGCCCTGACAAGACAAACTCGACAACCTCCTTCCTTCACCACCCTCTCCAGCCGACTCGAAAAGACTAACCTCCAATTTCTTCCAGCCCACGAAAAAACCCGCCGACTCGAAATCTTTATCTTTTCGAGTCCGGATATCCTTTCTTTTAATATTTTCTTTCCTCGCTCTTCAGTTTCTCCTTTTTTCCATGATTTTATAACAGCAGCCCTTGCCTTCACCTTTTTCACTGTGACCTGCACCCGAGCAGTCGAGACGTGTCGGAACAGTCACGTCGCGTGCTGGTCACTGTGGACTTGGCAACCACATCACACCCCCGACCACCTCCATCTCCTTCCCAGCTCCACCCAACAATAACAAGAAGTAGCAACCCCTCTCCCTTCCAACACCCACAACACCCAAGGGGAAATTTCTGGGCCACATTCACATCGAAGCCAACGCCCCTTCCACGAACAAATAGATGATAGGAACGGATTGCACTTAATATCTGTTTATGGCAGCCTTATCACTCTCCCCAGCAGCTACTCGACAGCCGCCCCCGACACTGTTGCTGCCCCCACAATTGACTTCTCAGCTATCCCGAGCATGCCAATCGTGAACATGTCGACGGCTCGACGACCACCTCTGGGGGTCAACCCCAACGCCGCTAACTCTCCCCTAAGGGGTGCTGTCGCGGCCAAGGCGAAGCGGTCCATTGCTAGCATTCAGCGTGAAGAGGCCTATGGCCAGCCTCCCCCTTGAAGAAGCAGATGCTCGAAGGCGGCTCTCAGCGTGCTGTTCGCTCTCCTGGCTCTCTGGCATCTCGTAGCAGACCTGTTCTCCACGTCCAACGTGCCCGATCTTTGAAGCCTCAAGCTGTCGTCCCCTCTACCGAGACCTTTCAGTCTCAGAGGGTTCACGAAAAGGATTTCATCAGCTGGCAAAAACAGTACAGGTCGCGGTTCCCCGCATGGTCTTCTTTTTTGATAGCGTTCCCGATGATATTCGTGCTAAGCTTGTCAAGCACATCACTTATCTTGGAGCCGTAAGTCCTCGTGTTCTTCTCTTATTCTTTGTGTTTATCTCTTTCATTCCCCCTTCTCTCTTCCGTGTTTCGTTCTTTTTCATGCAAATATTCGCGTCTATCACCGCATTAGCAAGCTTGACATCAAGTCACTAAACCACCATCTTGACCGTAGCGCGAAGAGAAATTCTTCTCAATCGATGTCACCCACGTCGTTACCACTCGATCCTTGCCCCAGCCTAATCCCTCGACCGAACTTGATGCCTCACGGGCCACTCGCTCCAAACGCGGCGACGATGCGGAAGAGCAGCCTCAGACCATCAATCCTTCTCTTCTTGACTGTTCCTCTGAGTCTCGCCGTCGGATGCTGTTCGAGCTAGGTAACCGTCGAGCTCAGCCACAAGACGATCTTGCCCGGTTGAAGCCAGCGCGGAACAACGACGTGCTTTGCAAGGCTAGAGACCTGGGCAAACGGATCTATACCCTTGAGAAGCTGCAGCGTATTCTGGATAGCCTTTTGGAGGGCGATCCGTACGCGTCAAGGTCTGCTCACCCCCGTGAACAATCCCGCGGCGATGACCTGGCAAAGCTTCTTCGACGCGAACGCCTCAATGGCCCCTCAGACCGCGACCCAAAAGCCGTTACGAAAGAGCTCAACTACTTCCGTGGGCCATACATATATGTCTATGATATGGATGAGAAGACTAAGCCTATCATGGTCAGAGAGTATCCCAAAGTAGCGGACAAAACCGACGGCGAATGGCCCCAGTTCAAGACGGTGAGCCAGGGTCGCTGCCCTTTTGTTGACGAGAGCCTAGCCGAGGCCAAACTCGTGAGGCGTGCCATGGAAAGGAAAGCAGCAAAGGAAGCCGCCGCTAAAGCCGCTGCCGTTGCCGAGCGAGACGTGACCCAGAAGCCTACGGAGCCTCTTGCTCTCCGCGTGCCTGGCAAGCGGACCCGCGAGGAGTATGGCGATCCACTTGCGGAAACAAAGGACGGCCAGAACCGGATGGTCTACAGCGTGAGGCCCACGGATATCTTCAACCCTCCCAAGGACCTCTCCAGTGTGAAGCATATCGACTTTACCTCGCAGAAATTCTTTACCGGGCGTGCGGGTACTGGACGTATCTTTGCGGGCGAGCCCGTTGCTTCTGGCGTGCAACCCTCCAATGTCACATCTGCTATCCGCTCGCAGGCCATCTCGTCGAACGCAGGAATGCCCGGCGCCAAGGCCGGAACGAGCAAGGAGCTGCATAATCTTCAGAAAAAGGTTTTACAGAAGGCCGCTCCCGCTGCCCGAGCCAACGATGCGGATTCTCACCGTGTCGGTGCATCTCTTAGCATGGATGCACCCTCAAGCCGTGCAACCGTATTGAGCAGGGCGAACAGCCGTGCCTTGGAAACGGTCGAAGACAGCGACGCCAAGTTGAAGAGGGGAGCTTCTCAGGCACCTGCCCCAGCCGCTCAAAAGAGCAAAAAGACATGAAGCCAGGCTACTGCGAGAACTGCATGGATAAGTTTGATGATTTCGACGAGGTATGTTGCTCTCTTTCAAAACTTGTTTACTCATCCTTGGCACTGCGACTGACTAGGTTTGCCTTTTTTGTAGCACATCGTCTCTCGCAAGCACCGCAAGTTCGCGGATAGCCTCGACAACTGGGCTGAACTTGACGAGCTCCTGAAGGCTCTGAAGCGCCCCGTCAAGTACTCGCATCTCGACGACGGCGAAATAAATGTCCATCCCTGGTAATTTATTGGCGTATGGCGACCCTATCCTTTCATAGAACACGCTCGTGGCCTCTCCCAACTCCGATTCTTGCTTCTGCTGTACCAAGTGCGTACACGTTCGTCAAGAGTCGCATCGACTTCTTCCCTTTTCTCACTTCTTTTTAATTTTCATGTCTCCCTCCATGCATCTGCATCCTTGGCGTCTTTCTAGCCATGTTGAGATATGGCCTCGCAAGCACAATGGCGGGCTGAAACGTCTTTCCCTACTAGCCACGTTTCGCATTGAAGTCGCACATCTTCATGTTTCCACAGCCTAGCGGTCTAACGATGCTCAATATCTCTTCTTCCTTTCACGTCCTTCATTTGCTGCTATAGCCTTTGCGTTCTCGTTCTACTTTCGTTTTCAAGCTTCATTATACCTCCAAAGTCTCTATCGTTTCGGACACATTCTGCTAGCATTATGCATGCTTGGCGGCGCATTTTACGCATGGGAAGTACACTGGGTGAAACGGCGTGGCATTGCACAACCTTTGTTATTTTTTTCTTTTCTCATTATACAAAACGTTTGGGATCTAATCAGGAGACGGTGAGAAACATTGTGAGGGCTAGGCGAGCCAAAGAAGATTAGGGGGTGGGGAGACTCTAGTTCAAACACGAAGTGTGCCTAGCACCGGTCGTTGGTCAACATGGCAAGGATGAAGCCTCTTGGAGGTGGTGATGTATATAATGGGTTCAATGTCGGTATGGGTTGTATTTTAGGGAATGTGAAGAATCACTTGTTTCGTCATGGACCTTGGCCATCCGTCCAGTCGTCCTCAAGTGCATGCGTGTTTCAAAAGATGATGGGAGCGCAAGATTCCCATGACTTATATGTGCCACGGGATGGCCATGTTTTGCATGGTCACAAGGGACGAGTGAGTTGCATGTAAGCTTTGAATTCGCGATTGTCTTGATCTGTTTGGATTTTCTTTTTGGCTACCTTCTGGTCCTACCGCTGCTCCCTTGAGCGCATTTGACCGGTGCCTCACTGACTCCCGGAAGAAGTTCCTATGGGGCATAAGAAAAGGAAGATGACAGGGAAAAAAATGAGGATTAGAAAAGGAAGGGGCGAAGCGGAACAATCCTTCAGATTTCAGTGCTCTCACCACCCTCGTCATCATCGCTAAGCTTGCCATCGCTGAGCTTGATCCGCTTGCCCGCGCGCCCGTGGAACCCCCACTTGCTCTCTTTTTCAGATTGGGCGGGCTGTATTCCTCCGTCTCCGCCTCCACTCGTGGCCTCATGCCTCCCGGCTCATCGCGTTTAACATCGCCTCGACTTCGGGTGCGTTGGTGGGCGCCTCCCAGGCCTTTCTCTTCTGTGGGGTCTTGAAGGGAATCAAGGTCGTCTCCGGAGCTTGGATCTCTACGAAAATCGAGGTCTTGCAATGTGTCTGTGTCTGGATTGGGATGCTCCATTGGGTCAGGATCGAGATCAATGATTATCGGTGCGCCTCTTTCTCCCGCTTCCGGTTGCTGTCGCCGCTCAGAGCACCAAATGTCCGACGGGGTTGCGGCTCGGTGTGGGCTCGAGTCTCCGGAAGCTAGGTGTGAGATGCTCGTCGTGGTGGACCGGCGGCCCGTTACAAAAGGCCGCCTGATTCGCTCCGGGCTGTGCTGCGGCTCGGGAGGGTATGCGCGGCCCCGCCGATACGAGTGGTTATTGTGCTGGATGCGGTAGTAGCCTGCCTCCGCAGCAAGGTGGCACGGAGAGGGGTACTCCGGTGGACCCTCGGTGTTCTACTGGGGATGCCACTGCAGGACGAACCTGAGGCAGGGTGCGGCTGACTGACAGGAGAGTAGCCGTGGCTCAATCGCTGATTTGTGGGGGCGGCCTCCCCTTCATCCTCGCCATCCTCCACCAATACCGGCTCCTCTCCTATCTCCTCGCCCGCCTGTCCCCCGAATTGCGGAATGGAGGGGACGCGAGGAGCGTGAGAGGCGTTCAAGGAAACATGCGTCACGTTGGCTACGCTAGCCGGTGCCTGGTAAATGTGGGGATCTTCGTCGCTCTCGAGGTGCGAATGAGGCGGGTTCCACTCGGTGTCGTAACTCTCGGTGACGATGTCCCAGTCTGACTGGGCGGTCCAGAACCCCCAACCAGGGAAACAAGGCTTGAAGGGATGACATTCTCTCACTGCGCCCCGACTTTTCGCGCTTGCATGATCTGCCCGTCCCGAGTTAGCGTTTTTGGGTCCTCTTCTGAGGAGGGGGCTCAATAAGCGTATATAGCTTCCGGGAGCTTCTGCACAAACTTACGCTTCTAGAACCATGGTGAAGTGCCAGTCGCGCACCGGTTCCATGGTCATTAGGTCGATGAAGCTGATGACACGCAGGCCACGCAACTGCTTAACGTAGTCGAGGCCCTGTAAGCAATGAAGATTCCTCTTGAGACGGTGGGAAGGTTGGCCGTCGGTCATCTTGGCTAAGTAGGCGATGTGTTGGATGGATTCGCTTGGGCGACGTACGGCGGACAGCGACGACTCGTCTAGGTAAACCTTGAGGCTTCGAAGTCTGAACATCTCACACAGATAGGCCAGGGATTGTGTTCTGCGCGAGTGACCCTTCAAGGTGAGGTTCTGGCTGCCGACCCAGCAGAGCTCAATGTGCTGGAGCCTCTGTCTTCGGGCTGGGCCGATGCCGGCGGCAAATCTGCCGAGCTCGCCAAACTACACGCCATTGGGAGTCCCCTGTTAGCTCGATACGGTGAATAAGGCGCGCCGGGGGCGGGCGCGGTTTCAACGAAAACTCCGACAAAACCCAACTTACGGAACTGAAAGCAAAGGTGTTCCTCCCGTAAAAGACATGAGCGCCCCAAAAGTACCACTGTTTGCAGACAAGAAAGGGGCTCAGAAGATCGTTGCCCTTGATTGCAAACGTGAGGCTACAGGTAGGCTTTCCCAAGCTCGTCGTCATGTGGAAGCGGTTAAGGAGTCCGGACCTCTGTCCTCCCACCGAGGGGATCTTGGCCGGGCCCACAAAAGGGTCTAGGCGTGAGACAGCATGGATCAGGGTATCCGGGTACTCAAAGAGATGGGTGAATATCAAGAGCTTGATCGGTTTGGGCAAATCTTCGAAGCTGAACGAGAGCCTGCGGGGAGTGTACTCGAGGAAGAGACTCCTTTCCCGTGGTTGCAAGACGAGGCTTTGCAACTGCTGGGACGTATCCCGGAGCGTCGTGCACAGGGTCTGGATTTGGTCTACGGTCGGACGCTCGAGGACGAGCGCGGGGTGTAAAATCTTGTGGCTCGAGTTTTCCTCTCGGCAGCTGAGCTCATAGATTACTTTGGTCGTGATCGTCCTGCTGCCGGGGCCCTGTTCAGGTGGCGGAGTCACTCCCAGGCGCTGGGCTACTCGGGGCCAGGTCTTTTTGGGGAGGGAGGAAAGTATCTGGTCAGCGGTGCAAGAGCCCAAGAATGGCAGATGGTGGGGGCGTGGAGGGGGTGGGCGATGAGGTGATGAGGCGACGTTGACTTACCCTCCTGGTCTTTTGCCTACCGGCCAATTTCTTGTTGAGTCTCTTGATCTCTTTCCTGAGAAGGCGGAGACGGATGCGGCACTCCTCGTTACACCCCACCTCTGGCTCTCGGGGATGCTCGTGGTCCGACGCATCGCCCTGAACCGAGTTTGCATCGTCTTCCAGGGTTGGACTCCACACCGGCTGGAGCCCTTCCATGTTTACTTACTTGATCGACTTAAACCCCTTATGTTATTCGAGCCTAGAGAGATTCATGAGCAGTGTCCGATCCAAAGGGAGGCCCTCACGACTGCGCTCTCGCTTCAAGAGGTTCCAAGCGGCACGGTACGCATACCACCACGTAGGGTCTGGCGTGTGGTTTTTACTTCCTGCGCTAACGGCAGATGACAATGACCCGTTAAAATCCAGAGATGTGGGAGAGGTTTCTGGGGTTATCAGGAAAAGGATGGCGCCCGGTAAAAGATTGGCGGGAGGGAAAAGGAGGATGGAAGTTTGAAGCCCGCACCTCTGCCCCAAAGGCCCATGGGAAGACCTTCTAGTCCCCCATTCCTCAGTTGGTGATTTGGCAAGTTACTTGATTCTCGATCGAGGTTCAGGGAATTTATGACTAGGATGAGGATGAGGGTATCGCGAGATGGTAAGTTTCTCCCAGATGACTCGGATACCAAGAAATCTTTCCCAAACTTCACACAAGTGGCATGACTTGGTGGCAATCTATGACTGGCAAGCAATGATTCTGAATCGCCTTAGGATCTAGATACAGTATCACGCTTCTTCGGAACAGCTTGTATCAGATCAACTATTTCAAAAAGGCCAACACGGATGCTGCCCAGAACACGTCTGGTCCACTCTCGCTACTAGGATCCCTGGGAAGATGATGATGATTCCGGCAGAATGACCCTTCAGGTCAACACCACACCTGACACTTATTGAAAGAGGAGACAATGCGGGCTAACGCTGATGTTGACCTGTTGTCGGCCAAGGGGTCCTCGTCTCTGAAAACACGAGGGAAGAAAAGTTGAAGGTTCGGTCGTTTGACTTACACGACAAATGTTCACTTGCATTGTACAGTGTCATTCCCACCCAGATGCACTATGCACTTCCTGGCATCTGATAATGAGGGGTTATACGATTGCACACACACTTCACACATCCCACTTTCGACGACTCATCACCAGGCACGCATTTAGCACATATTTTTATTTCTCCCTCTCTTTCCGAACTTTCAACAGCCTCACTTCTCAATACAAGTAGCAGAGCTCTCACCGGAAAGGGGAAAAAACACCATCAACTCCACACGGACAACTCAACTACCGTCAAACATGCAAAGCCCACAGTCCCCTCACCTCGCCGAGACGGGGGCGAGGCTTCGCCCGCCGCATCCCCCATCCCGGACAGGCGCTCGCCCTCGCCAGAGCTCCCGCTCACCATGTCAGCCTCCGCCGTTCTCTCTAACCTACCTCGCGATGCAACTTCGGCTCTCGCCACTGTCGGCCAGTTCGCCCAGGACAAAGTTTTGGTACGGTTCAAGCCCATCGGGTCCGCCCCCAGCCTTAGTCGCGAGGTGTGCAAGATTAGCTCCGCGCAAAAGTTTGAGGCTATCGTTGCCTACCTCCGCCGCGTGCTCAAGGTTCAAAGCACGGATAGCGTTTTCTCTACGTAAACAGCGCGTTTGCACCTTCGCTTGACGAAATCGTGGGCAATTTGCACAGGGTATGATGTCCTTCCTTTGCCCATTCACTACCATTTCAATCCACCGACCTCCCTTCCTCCCCGCATACACTCCTAGGAACACTACTCACATGATACTGGACGATTGGGGAGAAAAAGTGTTTCAAAAGTGCAAACGACCAACTTGTCGTAACATATTCAATGACTCCAGCCTTTGGCTAAAAGCCAAGGCTATCAATGGCCCAAGATAAAAGCGAACAAAGCAACATAGCCACCCAAGATGCAATCATGGTATGTTAGAATCGAAAACATGAGCAAGCCGTCCCCCTACTGCCAGTCGACCTCGTTCAATGCCCCGGGATGCCGCCCCCTCACATGAAAAATGAAATAAACAACAAAAAACGCCGATTATGCTCGCCAATGTCGCAAATGCTCCGCATATATGCCTCCGCCCAACCTCAATCACAAAACACCCATGGCTTTCTTATTTCCAGGCAAAAATCACTCCTTGGACTTGACGGCCTGTTCAAAAGCCGCCAGCTCCTCATTCGAGATGGGATAGGTATGCTCGGGCGCCGGGTATTGCCGGCTCTTCACTTCGTCGCGGTATGTCTCAATCGCTCGAAGACTTTCGCTCCAGACATCGCCATACTTCTTAACAAATTTCGGAAGAAATCTTCCAGGAGGAAAGTTTCCGGTCATGTCAATTTGGACAAGCACTTGGCCCGAGCAACCATTGCCAGCACCGATACCAATGGTGGGAATGCTCAGTTTCTGCGTGATGAGCTCAGCCACCGGAGCTGGGACAGCCTCGATCACGGTCGCAAAGCGCCAGCCTCCTGGACTGCGAGGGCATCCTGGAGCACGCTCAGGGCGCCATCCGCCGTCTTGCCTTGTACCCTAAACCCACCAAGGGCGTTTTGGCGCTGTGGAGTCAGGCCAATGTGGGCAAGGACTGGGATGCCCGCCGAGGTGATCTTCTTGATCGTGGGCGCCATCTCGGCTCCGCCTTCCAGCTTGATGCCATGAACGCGACCTTCCTTGACGAAGCGAATTGCGCTCTGCAAGGCTTGGTCTGGCCCAATCTCGTATGAGCCCATGGGAAGGTCACCAATCTAGATCCCTCCATGTTAGTTGATGCCGGATACGTTTTCGGTTCCATAGGATAAAGCGGGTTAGACGCGACTTACAATCATAGCGGCCTTTGTTGCCCTGGCCACCGATCGACAGTGAAGAATCATCTCCTCGACCACTACTTCGCTAGTGTCTTCCATTCCAAGGGCAACCATGGCAAGGCTGTCGCCAACAAGGATAATGTCCATACCAGCAGCATCTGCCACGTGCGCACTTGGAAAGTCATAGGCGGTGATGACAGTGATGGGCTCCTTTTTCTTATGTAGAGAACGAATTGTTCCCACAGTAACCTTCTTTCTGGAAGAGGGAAGAGGACTGCCCATGGGAGAATGCGAGCTATGTCGAACTTGGCATGCTGTTGATGCCAGCGTTGGTCGTGGCTGAAGAGCAGCTTGACTGGGGTTGTGGCTGCAATTGTGGTTGCGGGCTGTGGCGCTGCTACGCAGTATGGCAGGTCGCGTGCTCCGTCCGAGGACGGAGGCACATGACTGGGCGAGGACCCTTGACGGCTGCATGAGTGTGCCTGTATGGCTTGTGTATGTGTACGTATGTAGGTGTGCGTGTGTGCGTGTGTGCGTGTGTGGGTTCTCTCTCTCACTCTGGGGAGACAAGTGGACGCCGGGAAGATACAATGACGTCAACCAACAAAAGGTAAGAGTGCAGAGAGGGCGGGCGAGAGGAAAACGGGGGAGGGAATGTATAAACGGAACAATCTCAGAGTAAGGTTTGCACTACAAGATACCTAGAGAACAGTTGCTATCTCGGAGGGAAAGGAGACTATGGGGACCTGAGAAGTGAAGAGAAAGTAAAAAGAAAAATCCCAAAATCGGCCGCACATCAAGATTTTTATTGTGTAAGTCATGATGGTTTTTACCGTGTATAATGGAGTATGTTCGTGGTCTGGGTGCGATGCCTGTCCAAATTTCCCCAATTTTTTTCGGGTACTGGGGCAAAAACCCGTGGAGCAGCAGCCATCCAAAAGGTACTTTGCCCGAGCCACTTGCCTCGGTATAGCCCAATGCCGATTGAAGGCACGGCTCCCGCCAAACTAGCGAGATGGGGTACATGGCTGAGAAAGTCTCTCCATGAGCCCGAGGCCAATCCCCTTTCACCCTCCTCGCGCTTTTCCAATTTTACCCCAACTTTTTCTTCTTAATTTTCGCTTTTGCGGCCTCGCCCTCGCCAACACCCCACTTCTTGTTCAAAAGGGGCAAGGGAAGGGGGTGGAAGGAGGGCGACTAGGTCGGACTTTGGAGGGGCTTCGGCTTCGAGGTCGTGCGCGCCGGGATTCGGACGGCCGAGGCAAAGTGGCACCGCTGTGCTCTCTCTCTCTTCTTTCGCTTGCCTCCTCCCCGCTCCGCCTTGCTTTCAATTACGTTTGGTTTTCTTTTGGGAAACGCACCTCCCCCATATGACTAAGGTTAATAACGAACCCAATCGCACATGGCTGACGCTTCTCTCGCGTGAGGGATGGCATGGTATTATTTATGGGCGAATGTTTCTTTTGCGCGCAGCCGCCGATCTCGCTCGAATCTTCTTCCAAGTTTAATTTGACCAAAGGAGCACACGAAGGACACTGGCATCATCGGGGAAGATTCTTCTTAGTTAGTACATGGAGTAGGTAACCATGAGAAGGTGGAAGACGGCTCGCTCCTCCCGCCGCAATTTTGCAAGCAATTTTCCATTATATGGCAGCCTAGGCTGATGATACATGTTGTCTTTGTATACACAACGGAGGTCACGCGCCTTGCGCTAAGCCGGTGCTCGCCGGTTGGTCCCCTTTGCCCGGACGCCTATCGATTCATTGGTGTCGACCTCTGGCACAACTGGTCGGTTTATTTCCAAGGGTTACTTTGTTTGTCTTGAGCAGCCGGCGCAGGAGAAAGTAATGCACCCGCTCCTTGAGCATGTCAAGCAAGGGTCCATTGTCTCTGCCTACAGTATCGTCCACCAGTGGTCATGTGGGTTCCGGGAGTGGTGGCACAATGGTAGGAGAATGATTTTGATTCACGACATGTTGAGACTCGGATCTTCAAAACGGAAAAAGAGCGAACAATCTAAAGGACCCCGGAGCTTCTTAAAGTCGTGTCATAGAGCTCGCCTGGCCTTTGTTGAGGGCACTGGGGGCAACCAGTCGTGCGCCTCTCCCATCGTTGATCATTCTAGAATGTGGAGATTGCCCGGCTTTGTTCCTCTGTAAGCAGTTTGTCTGTCACTGATCAATTGGAGGGATTGATGAATCATTTCTTAGCTTCAAGGCAACACTCAGGTATTGTGATAGGTTGCCGAAGGGAGAAGGGGATTCGTCGCTGACTGAGTGCCAAACCACTGACGCTGGTACTGTGTGATGAGATCTCAGGCACATCCAGCCTCTGTCACGGACTGATTGATCGATGACGCCCCTTTTCGGCCTGTCATGCCCGTCACGGAACATTCAAGAAATCCGTGTGAGGAATGGGCCAATCGACGACACCTGCTGCAGAGCTTGCCCGCCTTGCCCGCTTGAACCGCCCGGTGTAGCCCCCCTCTTCAAGTACACAGATCTAGCCAAAAGCCTCAGGACCGATAAATTGTGGCTAGTGGTTTACGGTGGAAACCGGTGCTCTTGTGCCAATTGATCACTTGTCGCGAGCGTGGGTAGGACTAGTGGACCGAGACGTCCCACTGGAGATTACCCCACTACTGTCACACCTTATCCTTCTTATCGCTCATCTTGGGTCTCCTCCCCCTCTTTGCACCAGCGCCTGGCCATTCCGATGCGTCATCCATCGCGCCTCAGCTCAAACCACTCTTGAGACAACATCCGGTCTTGTCGGTGCCCAATCCCGAAATCTTTCTCCCTATTCTCTGCATCTTATTAGCTGCCTAGGTTTTCCACTCCCTTCTACGTCCCTTTAACTGTGCCTAAATACTCCACGCATCGGTTGAACGATACATTGGTGCCTCACCTGCTGCCACCCGTCCAGCCCGACTGCATCGAGAGACCCCTCACTACACGCGCCTGTCTTGCCCCGCCGCCCATCTTTTGCCTACTTGTGATAGTCTTCGATCCCACCCCCAAACGCCGCAGAACAGAACCCAACTCTCGATTCTCCGCGAGACGCCGAAAGTTAATACCAAAGTCACCAACAACTTAGACCCCCTTCAACCTTGACCTCCTTGCCCTGTAATATCTTTTTCTCCTGAAAGCTCTCGCCGAAGTCTCCTCTAGCACGAACCGCCAAGATGAGTAGCCCTCGGAGGAGGATCGAAACTGATGTAAGTCGCCGCGGTCCGGCCCGTACTTGCAGCTCAGCTGCCACTACTAGATTCGCCCTTGACTAACGTACCATTGATCCTCTTTCTAGGTGATGAAGTACGCTCTCTCGTTTTCGTCACCTCGTTGTTGGTCATAGGAATGCTAACGTGCTACTAGGATGTAAATATCGCCTCCCGCAGGCCCGCAAGCACCACGGCGCCTTACTGACAGTCTTCCAGGATGATGAGTGACTATGAGGTCACGCTGGTGAACGATAACAGTAAGAAGAGGCCCCTCCCCATTGTTCCCCTGTCTTGTTCCATCGGCTTCTCAATGTGCTAATCAATTTATAGTGTAAGGAACACCCTCGCCATGCTGGTGGACCTTTCGACTTTTCTAATATTGCGGCTCGCAGGCAGGAGTTTTATGTGCGGTTCAAGGGGCCGACGGAGAGTAAGTGGTTTCCTAAGCTTTGAAAGCAAAGGCGGAGCGCAGGCTAACCTATAACACTCTACGCCCGCAGCTCCCTTCGAAGGTGGGATCTGGAAAGTGAGCGTTGAGCTGCCAGATGCATACCCGTATAAGTCCCCAAGTATCCGATTCGCAAACCGCATATTCCATCCGAATATCGACGAGCTGTATGTACTCGAGTCCTCGCTACCCCAGATAGCCCATCGAGAAGTTCCCTTGGGGCTAACAATGGAGAAAATCTCACCTCTAGTTCTGGCTCCGTCTGCCTCGATGTCATCAACCAGACGTGGTCTCCCATGTTTGACATGATCAATATTTTCGAAGTCTTCCTCCCCCAACTACTGCGATATCCGAACCCGACCGACCCGCTGAACGGCGAAGCCGCCGCGCTTCTCATTCGAGAACCGAAGAGCTACGATGCCAAGGTCAAGGGTAAGATGTCCCGCAAAAGTGCCGATCTTGGCCTTTCAAGGAGGGTTTCCCGCTCAATGCTAACCGTTTTGCCAGAGTATGTTTCAAAGTACGCTTCTAAGGAGGCCGTCGACGAAGCAGGGGCGGAAAGCGAAGACGATGACGACCTATCCTCCGTCGCTAGCTTTGGTGACGATGACGACGAACCTGCAGGGCAGATGGACGACGTTTAGATCCTTGATATCCCAATCTGGTGTAGGATGGAACCTTTGCAAGCCGCATGGAGTACGAGATTGCATGGACGTTAATGGGCTGCTATTGAAGGGCCAATGGTGGACGCTCTGGTAGCCTCAGCTATGATCATCAAGACTGAAGGCCATGTAGAGTAGCGACGCTTGGCTCTCTCACACATCATTTGGCCCTCTCTCGCTCAAGATTCTCCCCTTCTTTTTTGTTTGTCTTGGTTTCGGTCACTATTCAATTTCATGGGTCATGGGCTGGTGTTACATAATATTCCACTCTGTTGTTTGTTGCTCTCTAGTCTTGATTTTGTCATTCTCCTCTACCGACATAGTGTTAGAAGAAAGAATTTCTTGAAATCCGGATTCAGCTTTTGTGTCCAAGTGACTTCGTATCCGTGCCCTTTTTACAAACTTCACTCCAAGAAACCTGACCCCTGCGCCCTCTAGCCTCGGACAGCTCATGGTATATATTCACAAAGCCACCTTGAAGGCTCCCTGGGTGGAACTGGCGTATCGCCAAATGGACTATCCTAGGTTCGCCATCCTCATATGCCTAGCCCTTGGGTGATTATGGTAAAGAAACACTATCTCACATTTCTACTTTTCGGTCTTATTCAGAGTCATAATTAACCAAAGCTAGCGCTTCTGCAGTGCTAACCTCCTTCTCAGAAGGGGATGCGCGCGCGGTGTCTTCTTCGGTCAAGCTCTTCTTCCTCTTGACCCCGGCTAACCGGGGGTGGGCGAGGGCTCAAAAACTTTTGCTCCGTCTAGGAACGGGTCTCTCCTAGCAGCCCTAGTGTTGCCTATGATCTCCGAAACAAGAATCTCCTTGCGTCTAGAAGCAATGGCCTCGGACTTGAGCTTCTTCGCGCTGCGGGCCTTGTCCTGGACGGACTGGGACGCGGCGAGTTTCTGCTTCCCGCCCTGCTTTGGGGCAAAGAGAGGTTTTGCCATGGCCCTATTGGGAGGTTCAGCATCGTCGGTCGAGCCAAATTCGACGAGGGATGCACGCACGGCATCCATATCGTTGAAGGGGAGGAGGTCAATAGACAGGCCCATCCTATCCTTGACGTCCTCGGCAGCGGCGGACTCTTTCTCAAGCCTTTTTCTCTCTTTGCGAAAGGTCTTGCGCAGTATCTGATTTTGGGAGTAAGGGTCATCCCAATCCCTGTAGCTAGCGTCTTCGAGGTCGGTGAGCCTGCTGGTAGCAGCCTTGAGCTGCTCCCGATCCTCGATGGTCTTTTCGAGCCCAGCAAAGGCGTTTTGTCGCAGCTTCTCGCGCTCTTCGGCGCTGGCTACGACGAGGTCGCCCTCCTTGGCCTCATCCTCGGCGGTCTCGCGGCGGCGGGCGCCGCGCTCCACGATGTACGCCGTGTTCTTGGGGTCGGTGCGAATCTCGATTTCCCCGCCGCAGTCGACATGGCGCATGGTGAAACTCCAGATTGGAGTGGAGAAATAGCTGCCGGCACGACGCTTTTCGGCGTTGAAGCGGACGCCCTGCCCGATGATGGTTGGGCGCGAGCACGAGGTGCACCAGATGGCAAAGGGCATCTCGAACCGCACGACCTGGCCGGCACCGGGCTTGCGGCGGGAAGACGTTCCGTGAAGAGAATTACCGGTAGCCACCCTTCTAGGTCCGGGGGACGTAGCGCCCCATGTTGAAGCCCTGCATTTTGGGCGGTGGCGGATGGTAATCCTAGTTTCGGGTCCGTGGCTCGTGATGGGGTGGGAGCGCTGGGGCGTGGGAGTGGTCAAAGGGATGAGAGATCGTGTTGTATATTGCCCTTGCTTCTCTTTTCCTTCCTCTTCTACTTTGTTTTGTCCTTCATCGGAAAGGGGAGGAGTTCTCGTGCGGGCTTCGCGGGGTCAAGCTTCGAGCCATCGTTGTCTTGAAAGATATCAAGCGACTTGGCGTCTTCCCTTGCCTCCCTTGCCTCCTTTCTCCTTCCTCCTCTCAGGTGCCGATGAATTATCTCTTGACGGATGTGATCTTTCGGCGAGTCTAGAGTGGAAGGCTCCTAGGCGTCATAAGGTTGAAGTGGCTGTGAGCGCTGTCTTCGATACCGAAACGAAGCTGATGGTGTGTGCGGTAAAGCCGTCCGCAGTTCCAAGGTTGTCCTGGATCCAAAAAGCCCGGCACGTGCCCAACCAACATCGAAGTGCGGATCTCGACAATTAACACTGTCTGCGTGGATACGATTAAGGCTTCATGATGCTTTAAGGTTTGGAACGGGTACTCTTAATATTACTTGGAACTGAGCTTTTGGCTGTTTCATGCTCCTCTTACGAAGACCCATCAGAGTTTAAACTAGCGATCCTTAGACGCCCCCTAAGAGGTACGCCCGGTTTCGTAATCGAAAAGCGTGCGCGGTTCAGGAAGAAGGACTACGTGCACATCTGCGAGATGTTGTGAACAGGGCTCCTTTTGGGCCCCCAAAAACAGCAGGCTCGCTTGGCGGTGTTTGTCAACTAATCCAACATGAACAAATGAGAAGCCCACGGGGCCGTCAGTCGATATGCACCAGCCTCAAGCGGGCAGGGTCGTACAGCACGATATGCGCCCTGTGCCTGGTCCCGTCAACAATTTCCATGGCGAGCTGTGCTTCCGTCATCTCCAATCAGAGCCTGGCCGAAGGCCTTTGGTGTGGTGCTTGCATTGCTACTCCTCAGACCAGGCTCCGAGCACAAGGGTGAGATGAGGCGGTTCTGATCGGTGGTTATCCGACTCCGCCCCCTCACTCTTGGGCTTCTATCTTGACGCCGTATCTATCTTGACGCCGTAGCATTTCGACGTAGCCTTATGCCGTCCTAACTCTCTCCCACCTTTTCTTTTGGAACGAGTCGTGTACTTAGACATCCTCACCTTAGACTATCACTCCATCAGGCTTCAGCGAGGCTATGCACGGCCGGTTGCCCCCAAGCGACAACCTTCCCTTTTACTTTCTCTCATCTTTCACCCTCCTCTTCGCCGCCCGCAGCATAGCTTGGGAACGGAGAAGCGCATCAGGAGAGAAGGCTGCTGTTGGAGATTACAATATATTAAGCACTTCCTCGGGATACTCGTTAGCTCGCGTTCATGCTGAACCTCCTCTACCACTCCACGCTTCCTTTCAGCATAAGTTGAGTGGCAGCGTTGGCAATAGCTAGTGCCCATCGTTCCCCAGTCCCTTTATCCTTGCTCCATATTCGGTCAGCAACCAGTCGCCCTCTCTTCGCTTTTGTTTGGACCCGCCTTCTTTGCTCTCAAGAGAAGGAAAAAGTCCTGTGAATTCCTCTCGATCGCAATGGACGAGCTTCGGGTGCTTTCTAAAGACCTCGATGACCTCTGGAGGACCGAAGAGACCTTGCGGGACAAATCACCGCCGCAACCCAAACCACCGCCGCATTCTGACGAGATCAAGATCCTGAGCGGCCTCCCCAAGGTCATTTCAATCCGGGACGGCAGATACGCCTCGTACCCTTACGACAAAGAGAGCCAAGTGGGAGAAGCCACCGCGCCACGCGAAACTACCGGGCCACCACCAGTGGAGCCAACGCTACGACTTGTCGTTGTTCCGAGAAACGAAGGAGATAAACTCGTCCAACCTGAAGAATTCTGGGGCCTCATCAAAGCTGCGGGTATCGATGCCGTCATTTACCAGCATATCACGCTCTGCAGCTACGGATTCTACCACTACGACAACCACAGCATTGACGAGGAGTCCCCCAGGCACATAGCTTTTATTTTGGTTGCTTCCTCTACTCGATCGCCTGGTCCTTTGATCCGGCGACCATGGTCACATCGGGCGTCCTCATCCTACGCATAGTGGAGAGGCACTATTACGGCGCTCTCCCTCTAAAGATGTTGGAACGCGTGATCAGCGTCTACAAATCCCACCAGGCGTCCCCCCTCTTCCTCGCGTTTGCCTCTTTCAACATGTTAGCCCACGTTCTCGATGATAACATTTACCGAAACGTAAACACATTAAGAGAGATAGAGACCGGGACAGGACATGGACCTGGCCGTGGTAACTTCTCTCAACAGCGGCCTAATGGCCAGTCTATTGATTATAAATTCGATAGAGATTCGTCTTGCATAAACACAAAACCTGAATTGGGGAGGCAGGAGACTCAGTTGTTGAAAATTAAGGAAGATAATATCGATCATTTAACATTCGTTTCACAGAAACTGGCCGACTGTAATGTCCACCTAGCCAATCTTCAACGCCATGTCAAGTTACTTCTCACCATGGCAGAAACTCTTGAGGACCCAGTCTTTCGAAAGTATCATTCCCGTGGCCTCCCAACAGGACACATGGATGCCGCGGACCGGTCCACCGACGCGTTCCTCCTTACCCTCCCGGCACTCAAGAGACGCATTCGGACTGTCGAGCCGTCTATAGAGTATCTACAAGATAGAGCCAAGAGTCTCTCACACGCGGTACGTGATCTCATCCCCTATTCTTCCCTCGTTAGACCCCAAAGCCACCAGGGAGATGCCGATGGCTTCGTGTGCGGGTCTCTTTGCCCCTCGCATGCTCTGTGCCTACTCTTCTCGAGTACTAACCGTGACGACACTAGGTCTTTGGCCTGTTGACGCACGAGGATGCCGAAATCAACATCAGGGTCGCCAATGCCAGCAAGCAGATTGCCGAGCGCTCGAGGAGGGATAGCTCAGCCATGAAGACAATTGCGTTGATGACTATGCTCTTCCTCCCGGGGACGTTTTACGCCGCCGTCTTCGCCTTGCCGACGCTACAGTGGAACACCCAGGAGCCGCGCGTCGTGCAGCCCGAATTTTGGATATTTTGGGCGTTTACGATCCCCTCGACCATTCTCGTTATGCTCACCTCTGTGCTCATGCACAACCACAAGAAGACGATGGCGTTTGTCCAGGGCACGTGGGCCGCGGTCTACAAATCGGCAGTCCCAACTAGTCGAGCGCCCAGGGTGCCGCCAACTAACACAGGGAGGAAAAGAGAGCGCGACACAGCTCAGCCTCTGAGCGAGAATCTAGAAGGGGTTGTGTGAGCGGAAGGTGCTGGTTGACTTGTGCAAACCATTTTCCTATACATCCATGGATAGATATGTAGTTTCAAGTAGTAATAATAATAATAATGATAGCCTCTAGGGCTCCAGCTAGTTGAAGTACGAGGCCACCACTGTATATACGGGCCATCTGGGGCTTTTCTTTCCCTGATGGCATAGTTTGCGTGAGCGCGTTATGTTCTCTGTGTTGCGCTCCCTCACATCTGCTTGCCCCTCTTTCTGGAGGATTAATGTGTCTCGGTGTGAGGCCAGCCTCGTTTCAGCACCCAAGATCTTTACTTCTTCGAACAAGGCAAAGCAAGGTTTCGGCGAAGCTGCCAGCATACAAGTAACTTAGTGGTGAAATGAATGCATCTCAGTCTCTTCATTATTTTTTTCTTCTCTTTTCTCACCAAATATAACCATTGCCCAAGTATGGACCGACTTAGCTGTGTTATTCTCATCAGTTGGGCGTCCAAGGGTGTAGGGTCCACCTGCCTATTCAGGTGGGTGAATGGAGTGCGACGATGCCATAAGATTCCAACCCCAAGAAAAGGCAATAAAGTACCACAAATCTAAAACAAAATGATGGAGAAGGAGAAGAGGACAAAGTGATTAAGTTTGGGAGGCGGGCGTCTTGGCTGCGACGTAGACCTCAATCCGGTTCTGCTCAATCTCTGACCGTCGACGGCCCGGCCGGATAATTGATTGCTTGAGCGCATATTGAGGACAGCTAATGGATCTCTTCCACTTAATATTTTAGATCGCTCAACTTCCGGGGCTACGACACCCTCCTCTCCCCAGACACCAGCATCTCTGGGCCCTCTTGCAATCCCTCCAGATATCCAAAAGGGAGAAAAGAAAAATCATCACCAAGGAGACCATGATCAGACATGCCTCTATATCTTAAGCCGCCTGCACATGAACTTCCTACCACGAGGTTTGACTCACCTTAACTCAGCACTCTGACTTATACCGGAGGGGAGCAAGGAACAGTGTCCGCCGTATTCCAGGAAACGAAGATCAAGAAGGGCAGTTTTGGTGCCTATCTAAAGAGGAGAGGAAGATTTAAGGAGGAAAAAGAAAACAAAAGAACAGAAAAACTAATCGAAAGATGCTTGATGATATCTATCAAAAGAACCTGGCGGGCCTGCTCCTCGTCTGCGGCGCCCTCCTAGCTACCCAAGGCGCCAAAGAGTCACCAGCGCGCGATGCCGCCGCCAAAGGAAAACCCGCGCACGCTCGCGCGTCGCAAACACCCTTCTATATTGCTTACGCCCTCGTCATGGCCTCGGACTGGCTCCAGGGGCCTTACCTTTACTCGCTCTACCGCGACGAGCACGGCGTCGCGCCATCCTCATCTCCGCCCTCTTCACCACCGGCTTCCTCTCCGGTGCCGTGAGCGCCTACTTTACCGGCTCCATCGCCGACCGCCGCGGACGCCGCCTCGCCTGCCTCGCTTTCTGCGCCATCTCGTCCCTCTCGTGCCTCCTCACCGCCGCTGCGGGGCCGGGCCTCCCTTTACTGTTCGCCGGCCGAGTTCTCGGCGGGGTCGGCACCAGCCTCCTCTTCAGCGTCTTTGACACCTGGATGGTGACCGACTTTGCGAGGCGCGGCCTGGCGAAGCGCGGCCACGACCTGTCCACCACGTTTGGCGTCATGAGCACCATCAACAGCGTCGTTGCCATCGCTAGCGGCGTGTCGAGCGAGTGGCTTGTCGACTGGGCGGGAACGAGAAAGGCGCCTTTTATCTTCAGCGTCGGATTACTCGGGCTAGCTGCTGCGTGTATTTCTTCGCAGTGGGTGAGTTTTTCTTTGTCTTGTTTCTACTTCAATCTATCCCACCCGATGCATGGGCTTTGGGTTGCCCTTTCTCCCACCCCTTCTTCACTTCCCTTTATGGGCTCCACGAAAGGGGTGCCCCAAGCTGCTGGATGCTCCCAGGACGTATTACTGACATACCACCTCCCTTCCTCGCCCATTATAGGTCGAAAACTACGGCGAGAGCGTAGTCCTCACTTCTAAATCTGCCAAAAAGGACACAACACCCTCCTCAAGGCCCTTTCCAACAAGCGGATCCTCTCCCTCGGCCTCGCCTCCACCATGTTTGAGGGTTCCATGTATCTCTTTGTCTTTTCTGGGCCCCGGCTCTCGAGTCTGCCCACGCTCTCGATAGCCCGCTCCCCTACGGCACCATTTTTGCCAGCTTCATGGCGTCGATGATGGGCGCCTCACTCCTCTTCACCAAAATCTCCGCCTCGTCCTCGGGGTTCAGTCACGGCACTTCGCTCTCCGCCCTCCTCGCCGCGTCTGCAGTCATATTTTACGCCCTGTCCTCGTCCTCGCCCTCGGCCACCCGCTCCGAGCAGGTCATCTTTTGGTTCTTTTGCGCCTTCGAGGCCTGCGTCGGCGTCTACTGGCCTTGCGTGGGAGTGCTCAAGGGCAAGGTCGTTGACGACGCTTCCAGGGCCCAAGTGTACGGCGTGCTACGGGTACCGCTGAACATATTCGTGGTGGTCTCCTTAGCTGCCACCCGGGAGGCGGTGATTACACCAAAGTGTTTGGCGCCTGTTCGGCGTTTCTGATGGCTGGAGCCGTGGCCGTGGGAGCCACTGTTGCTGGCGTGTGAGGGAATCGCCACCTCCCGGTGACGCCTTGGGGAGGGACTAGCTTCGTACAAAATGGGATTCACGTAGTATTTGTATATATGCCAGGATATTTAGCCTTGCCAAGGTCTTCTTCCACTCCCAGTTGACATAGCAACCTAGCAGCACCAGCCTGCGAGAAGGGAACCCCGGGAAAAAATGGATTATTAGGGGTTATAGAGAGCGCGTGAGCTAGGTTTGTTTTCTACGCTTCGGGTTTTTGATGGGAAGATAGCGCCTTCTCTAACGGTAACGGCGGAACAAAGAAACGAAAAGAAACCAAAGAAAAAGGAAAAGAGACCAAGTGTGGAGGGAGAACATGGGTTATACATCTCCAATAATGGGCTCGAAGAGCTTGGGCAATAGCTCCATAGCATCCCCTGCAAACGCAAAGTCGTCCTGGTCCAAGTTTCCCAAGTGATGAGGCAGCGCTGCGTCTAGGTTCACATTGACGTAGATGGCTCCGTTGCTCCTCGCGTGATACAGGAAACTGGCAGCCGTGTTCACGACCTCCGAGGTCCCGATGGAAAGGACAATGTCCACCCCGCCATCGATCCATTCCTCGACATCGCGCACGACATGGTCGTCCATGGGCTCGCCAAACCAGACAATGTCGGGGCGCTGCAACCCGTATTCCTCCTCCGCCCCACACTTGGGACACTTGGGGATCTCGTCCCAAGAGATCTTTGGCGCGGGGTGGGCCGGATCGAGCAGCGGGATCGGGTTGGTGGAGTCCACATCCGCGGAGGCCGGCGCGAGGATGGGCCAGAGGGGGTCATCGGTAGAGTTAGAAGCCCTCCAGTCGCAGTCCTCATTGAAGCACTTAAGCCCGTAAAGGCAGCCGTGAATCTTCCTCAGCTTCTCGAGAGGGTAATCTGCTTTTTCCAAGAGACCTAGCACCCAGCTATCAGCATGCCTTTGCACGTAGAAAAAAAAACAGTGCCTCTAAAATCCAGTGTATGTATCCCGATAATAGACCATCTTCCTGGTCGGTCCGGACCAAAACCTCCCATCTTTCCTCATCTTTTCTCTGGGGGAGGGGGAGGGTGGGAGACGTTACCGTCGACATTCTGCGAAACGCAGAAAACGTTGTCGTACTTTTGTGCCAGCGCGGCGAGCGCGTGGTGACCCCGGTTCGGGTTCGCCTTCATGGACATGTGCCTCCGGTAGGCGTAGAATAGCCACACGAGGCCCGGGTCCTGCTCGAAAGCTTCCGGCGTCGCTAGGTCCACCGCCGAGTACTCCCGCCATAGGCCGCCGGCGCCACGGAAGGTCGGGAGCCCCGAAGAAGCCGACAGCCCCGCACCGCACACGAGGAGGATGCGGGGTTTTGCGCTGAGAAGCGCATGAAAGCGAGCAAAATCACTGTGTCTCGGCATTTGGGCCACGGATGGTGCGTGTTGAATGGAAGGAGATGAGGACAAGGTTGACTGGTGTGTTTGGCCAAGCTTGCTCGTTTTAGTAGGTTACATGGAGAGAACGGGAAGTTACGCTTAGTTTTGCCTGCACTACTCCAATCAACTACTATCAAACAGTGAGAAAGCAAGAGGATGAAGACCCCTCCTTCCCGAATCTTTCGAATTGATATCAGGCAGCCGTGTGCCGGTGCGCACCCGCACCCGCGCCCGCCACCCCGCCTTACTAGCACGCTGCCCTCCCCGATATATCTATGAATCCGTTGGATCTATCCAGATCCGTCCCACCACGACGTTAGAGAGCACCCGCCCCCAGGCCAACGTCCGCGACTGGAGGACGCATCAATTGCGCCCAACGCTAAAGACAACGACATTAATCAATTCACATTGTTCAGCGTTTCTGATGAGACATCTCCAGTAATGATGAAAACTCGAGTATTTAGGTTCTTGCCGATCTTGCTCCTTGAATTCCATACATTAAAAAGAAAGATAGTACAGCCGAGGAGGGCCTTGCCTCTCCGCCGCTAAATGGGATATATGTATATATATATATAATAAAAACGCAAGACAGTCAAGCTCAATCATTAATAACAACAAGAATTGACAAGACTACCCTCCATGCTTATCCGTCTCATGAAATGATGAATAGGGTAGTATCCAGTGGGAGGCTATCTATATACAAGCATGACTGAATGTCCAAAGAGATCCATGCGCGAACGTTGTGCGTCTCTTTTTTGTAGTTGGGTGAAATCTTTCCTAGTTTTAAGTATAAGCCCATTTAGAGAAGGTTGGCGAAGACGGCAATGCCGGAGAGAACGGCACCGGCGACGGTAAGGCTCTTCATGACCGAGGCACCGGAGTCGGGAGCACCAGTCTCCTGGGCGTCGGCATCGGCATCGGCATCAGCACCATCGGTCGTGGTCGCATCGCTGGATCCGGTGGAAGAAGAGGTGGGCTCGGCGGTGGAGGTGCTGTTCTTGGTGGCGGTGGAGGAAGAAGGGCGGCTAGCGGTAGAGGACTTGTTGTCCTCATCACCATTATCAACACCCTTGTCCTGGAGACCCTCGCCCTCAGTATCGACAGTGATAGACTGCCACGTTCCGGAGCGGTCGCTGTAGATGTATGACTTGGCGGCCTTGTTGCCACCCATGTAGTCCTGAACGACGACGCGCTTGTAGTAGCTGAGGGAAGGGCCGTTGTCGAAGTTGGCATAGCCACCAGACCAGTCGACGGTGCCCTTGGGGGCATCGGAGCGGCCGGCAACCCAGGTACCAAGCTTGACTTGCATGGGGGTCTGGGGGTACTCCTTTCCACCCTTGGCATCGGCGTAGGTGAGAGTGCGAACGGCATTGCCATCGATGGACCACGTCAAGGCATCGGCAGTCCACTCAATGGTGTAAGTGTGGAAAGTGGAGGTAGAGGCGGAGACGGCGTGAACACCGCCACGGTCGTAGGTCGAGGTGTCGCCCTTGGCGAAGTAGTTGGTCTGGACCTCATCGGGCTTGCCACCGAGCCACTCCCAGTCGATCTCGTCGAGGCAGTCGGACTGGAGGACAATGCTGGTAACGATACCAGCACCAGGGGCAGCGACCAGCTCAACCTCGAGCTTTCCGAAGAAGATGTAGCCGAGACTGCTGATGGTAGGGGCCTGCTTCTCGTTGGCGATGCTGAAGACAGCGCCCTTGGACTTGTCGTAGGTGAGAGTGGTACCGGCAGCAAGGCTGAAGAACGAGTTCTTGCCCTTGGTGAAGTCGATGGTGTAGTCACCACCGATGGCAAGATCAGCGGGGCAGGCTATACGCGTTAGGATCCCACGTCAGTGTACAACTTCTTCTTCATCTCCTCCCCCAGACATATAGGCCGACGTTGCGGCACCTAGCACGGCGTGTTTACTTACTCTTCTTGGTGGGATCGCAGTCGGTATAAGTCTGAGCCGACACCAAGCTGGCGAGGGCGAGCAGAGCTCCGGAGATGGCGGAAGCGCGCATTTTGGTAACGGTGAATTAACAAGCGACGACTTGCTGGTTTCAAGGGTTTGGAGAGGAAAAAGATCGGAGAGGCGGTCACGTCCTTCTGGGTTCTTGGGATCTTTTAAGAGGGGGCTGTCAGGAGGTAAGACTCAAGACAACGTGTGGCGAGGTGAGACTGAGACAAAACTAGTCAATGTCAAAAGAAAAACACGAAGGGCTGGTATTAACGAGAGACTGGAAGAGTGCCAAAGAGCGAAAGCAGAAAGGGAATGCGAGATTCTCTTTCACGATTATAAAATAAAATAAAAATGAGTGTGTGGAAGTCGGATGGGAGGGAAGAAGGAAAGGAGAAGTGGAGGAAGGTAGGTGAAGGCAACAAGCTCTCTATTTTAGGGGCTTAACGACGCCACTTTACGAGAAGAGGCGGTCCTTGGCGTTCGGCGGACAAAGAGCATTGCTTGTTTGGAAACGCTCATACGTCGCCTGCCAGCAGAGTGGATATGGGTCCTCCCCCTCCCCTTGAAGCCCTGTGGGCGTTGACATACGGATTGTGGGCTGTGGATCGCGTGGAGCAAGGGGCCCTTGGGTTCGTGACAAGAACAGCACTGGGCGTGGGTCAGTCGAGTGCAATTAGGACTTCCTTGGTCTCTTCTCCTTTTCATTTCTGGGCTCTCGTCCTTCTTCCTCCTCCGCTTGTCCTTCCCCACCTTGTCCTGATGGAAGGCGGAAATAAAGTATTGCGAGGAGCGGGTACTCGCCCAACCTTGAAGCTTTGCTCATGGCGATTTCACCACTCCCTCCCATTCATTGTGTTTGTCGTCGCCTTCCTGCTTTTGCAGCACGCGTAATTTTACCTGCGCCGGCGCGAGATGAGGGTGACCAGAAGAAATCAACATCGAACCCCTGCTTCGGTCCGAGAACCCCTCCGCATGTACCAACGCCAAGTCTCGGCGTCTTGGTGCTGCTTCATTCAAAGAGGGAGACAAGAGAGTGCTTGGTGGTTGAAGGAATGGGCGAAAAAGAGCATCGGTCGCTAACCTCTAATTGGCTAGTCCGCGTTGGTTGCCAGGCACGCACAGGGGCGCAGACCAAGCCCCTTTCCATTTGAAGTAATTTTGTGGAGCATCCTTGATCAGTTTGATGGGTGCGGCAAGGGTTGGTTGGTTGTACAATCCTCGAGTGCATGCATCTCTGGATCATTGCATGGGATGGCTGGATGGTTTGGATGGTTTGGATGGGTGGATGGTTGGATGGTGGATACTTTTGTACTTGGACCTTGGTACCTCAGACAGGCTTGACGGGGAAAGGGGGAAAGGGGAAAGTGAAAGACTCAAAACATGATGGATCCGAAGGGGACGAAGGATTGAAGCAGAATGGATACGAAATTTCCTAGTGTATGCCGGATGGCGCAGTGTGTCCGGGCATCAATTGGCCAACTCGAATCGATCGATCGTCCGTCTTTGCTGGCCGAGCCTCTCCCTCGGAGTTCTTCTTTTGCTGATTTGCATGGATCAGCTCCCAGCAAGCGGTGATGGAGAGGGGGTTCTTTCTTTCTTTCCTTTTCCTGGGACGGAATGCTGGAGCGGATCTTGATGGCCGCGGGACAATCAGAAGAGATTGGGAGAAACCCGGAAATCGAGCCTGGCGGCTTGGCCGAGTTTCTGGTCACTGAAGCGCTTTTCCTAAAATAGGTATTAACCCACCTTTTCAATTGTCCTCTTCCTCGCTTGGCTTCGCCGAACCCGCTGGCTCATCTCCAGGCTAATATTTTGTGTTCTCCTTCTTTTCTTTTCGAGTATCCTGAATTGAAACCTTCGCGTAATACCAAGTAAGAATTTACCACATCCACGACACATCCACGTGCTACTTATCTCCGATCCATGACGAGTTGGGTTCAAGAACCCACATCAGTAAAGGGAGCTGAGGAAACGGCGGGAGTGAGACGATGACTTTGTAAATTCGAGGTTAGTGGAGACAGAGAAGAAGAAAAAGAAAGAAAAAAGCAATTGGAATCACAAATAAACAACCTCTGGGATAGGTGCAGGAACCCCCGACACTATCCTTCCGAGAGACGACTCTCAAGCCCGTCTGTGGCTTGAAGTGAACTTTGAACAGCGCTCCGGCGACTCTTTTTGCTGATTGATGTCTAATATCCCACGTCCCGTCTCCTCGTACCTCGGTACCTCAGCTCGAAGTCTGTCATCCAAATGTCTGCTCATCTCGGTACTCTCATAGGGCTCGCTGTCCTCCTTGCAAACGCAGGCTCGTCCGGGGCGGCCACACTCGGGCCACTCACTTTCCCCAAGGCAGGCTCTGATGTGCAGCCTGGCCGTTTTGGGCAGGCGTTGCGTGGTGCTCGCTCCATGCAGCAATACGGGCCTCGACTCCGCTTGGCGCCCTTTTATTTCCCGAGGGGTCAAGAGAGTGTGAGGATCTGGAGCCAATAGCGGAACGTGGAAGTTTAGTTGTGCTCCCAGCTGTCAGCAGCGCCTGAGAAATGAGCCTCAGCCCAGTCTGCTTGCCCCAGATTGTGAGGTCTTGGAGATCTGAAAGCGGCTAGAGCACTCCCCTCAGGCTGACTATCTCGCCGCAAAGTGTGCCTCGTTGCAGGGTGGCAAGTGGCCAGCGCGGACTCCCAAGGCATCTGCAAAGTGCGAGTGCACTGCTTGCCTTCCAGCTTGCCTCTTTTGCTATCTTGTGACGGAATTCGTCATGGCGCCAAAACATTCTCCAGGCTCGTGTCACCCACTCGTGGTTTCTAGATTGTTATTGAGAGTATTAGCCCTCGAGCTGAGATGGAATTCCACTTTGGGTGTCTCATTCTTACCTTCTCTCATTGGGGGCTTCCTTTGACGATCTGCAAACCACCCCGTCGTGGAAAGAGGCTTCTTTCGATAGCTCATGCAAGGAAAATCAATACAATACCTTCAGCCTCGAAAAGGCCAACGAGTCCTTCGGCTCGCCTTCTCCATCCCATCGTTGACTGTCAAATTGTGCCCAACAGTAATAACATAATTGCCTTCAGAGGTGCCCACCGCCATTTCGTCATCCGGGTCACACAGATCATCCCATCGATCTCCAAGTCGCCGGGTTTTCGCGGCGGCTAGCGACAGCGCAACTTGATGCCAGTCGAGGACCATGATGGGTATCAAAATTAGGAGCTTTGCCCAAAAGCGATAATTTCAGGTGGTACCGCAGCCAAATGGGGAGCTTTGCTTCAAGCACCTCTGAGGTGAATGCGCCAAGGAACAGATACTACGCATTTCCCAACACGCGCATTGCTCAAACGCACGCCTCGACAACTGAAAGGTTTATTAGCTGCAGTCTACCGACGTAATAATATTCATGAGAACAAACGGAGCTGGTCTTTGGGTCGAGACTGAGTCCTGAACCCCCATCAGACTCAGGACGCTGAGATTGGTCCCCAGCAATTGGGGGTTGCATATTCTTGCCAACTACTTTCTTATTTCTTGTGGCATCAATGGCACCACCATCTTCCAAGGGCGAAAAGCCGAGTACTGAGCAAGATGACAAGAAGACGCTTCCACAGGACCCCGATATTTCGATGAACCAGAAGTCGCCAGTTCATTGCTTGGCTTGCCGAGCATTCTCGTGCTCAAATTTCAAACCCCTCTTTGTCTAAATCCAAGCAAGTTCTGTGACTTCGTGACTCTAGCTTGTAAAAATATGATAACACCAATTTATGGATGCTTTTTTTCCTTTTTCTTCTTTTTTTCTTGTTCCTTTTTTCTCTCTTTTAGATTAGACTGGGAGCGGTCTGTGACAAGCAGCAAACGAACATCCCTATTTACGAAGCGCGACTTACTCTTCAACTATTTGCTTGGCACTTGGCGCGAATGCTGCGAGTGTTGCTAAACGTTGCGGCGAACCACACAGTCATGGCAAGCTGTACGAGGGTCTCATGAGTTTCGCATTCTAGGACGGTGGTATTAACCAAGCCCTCGGCGAGGGCACACAAAGGGCTCGCTTGATTCCTCCATTATCTAAGACAGGTCTCATTTACGCCATGATTCACAAGGAGGGAGTCGAATCGAAGTCTATTGACCGACCATTGAACGTGTGCGCCGCGTGGTTGGTCTGGCGAGCCTCATGGAACGGGACGAAGGAGGATTGAAGGGAAAACCCCCTTTTTCCGTCACGCTGTAGCCTCAACGGACCATCTAGAGCTTCTCACCGTCCAAGATGATTCTTGCCTCATCTGTTGTCCACCAGCTAACCCCCGCCGCACCTGGATACTCGTAGCGATCCATGCTCTCTGTCTTCATTTCAACGCTATATCCCGGGTCCATCGGGGTCTGGTAATACCCATCCTTGATCAAGGCTGGGTGTAAAAAGTGCTCATGGAGATGGTCGACAAACTCGAGCACCGAAAGCTTGCCGCTAACGGCGACATAATCAATGGTGCTAAGGTGCTGAGTATACTCAGGCAAGCCGACTCCCCGGAATGGGGCACAACTGGCACACCAAACTTTTTGGCCATCAACAGCACGGCGAGAACCTCATTCACACCTCCAAGGCGGCAAGCGTCGATCTGACACACGTCTATAGCGCCCGATACAATGAGCTGCTTAAAGATGACACGGTTCTGGCACATCTCGCCCGTCGCAACACCAATTCCGTACGGCCTGAGAGCGTCTCTCACAGCCCTGTGGCCAGCGATGTCATCGGGAGAGGTCGGCTCTTCGATGAACCAAGGTTTGAAATCCGCCAGCTGTGCCATATACTCGATAGCCTCAGGTACGGACCAAACTTGGTTGGCGTCCACCATCAGCACATTGCCCTGGTCGAAGCCTATAATCTCCCTAGCGATACCCAGTCTTCTCCGGTCCTCTTCGACACTACCCCCAACCTTGACCTTGAAATGTTTGTAACCACTGTTTAGAGTCTCACGAAGAAGATCCTTCATCTTCTCTTCGCCATATCCGAGCCACCCGGCGCTAGTGGTGTATGCTGGCACGGCACGGCTATTGAGGGCGTCCTCTAGTCTTTGAGCCTTGCCTTCTTCAGATGCACGAAGCAAGTCAATCGCCTCCTCGGGGGTGATAGCGTCGGTAATGTAGCGGAAGTCGATGCACCGCACAAATTCTTCTGGGCTCATATCCGCTACTACTCTCCACACAGGCTTGCCCAGGACTTTGGCCCAAAGATCCCATATGGCATTCACAACGGCGCCAAGAGCTAGATGGATGACGCCCTTCTCCGGGCCGATCCATCGAAGTTGGCTATCGTTGACAAGATGGCGCCAGGTCTTGCCCCAGTCGCCAACGAGGGAGGCCAAGGTCCTCCCTTAATCCTATCAGCGACGTGGTCGATGGCTCGGCAGACGATGTCGTTACCGCGGCCAATCGTAAAGGTCTAGAGGAGGCGGGTTTGGGGGTTAGTGAAAATTCCCTCATTTAGGTTCGTTCATCACTCTGGTGATGTCCTAGGCAGCAGGAGCACCAAAAGTGAACAAACATGAGCACGCGGCAGGCACATGGAAAAAGACTAGACGACCCTTGGTCATTGGAGGACTCATATAAAATCACATACCATCCCATGGCCTTGGACACTTGAATCAGTTTCAAGAATGCAATACGCGGCTGAATAATCCCCTGCTGCGTTCATAGCATCTGAGCCGGTTTTGTCGAGCGAGGTCGGAAATCGAACATCCCGTGTAGCCCAACCAGTCAATCTGATCTCAGGGAGCGCCATGTTGTCAGGTCGAGCAGATTATTATGCGGGACTGGGTACGGCGGTGCACTTTGTGGTGTTCTATGAAGTGAAACTTTTCTTTTCTCTTTTCCTTTTTTAAGAACCCGATGAATTAATGGACGATATTTTCCTAAAAAAGCGAAAGCACTTGGTTGTTTGGCTCAAGTCGCAGGTTCGCCCGTGTCCATGTCCTGGGTCACCAGCAACCATCAGGATCGCGGGGTTGCCGCTTCGCAGGGTAGGCACAGATTGGTGCGCAACTTTTACCCCTCTCTTGCATGCCCCCGCCCCCGATCCGCGCACACACAGGCCGCAAGCCGCGCTCGCACATAGTTGCGGACTCGACGTCCGGTTCCGGGAGCAAGGAGGGCACTCCTTTCGGAGGAGTGGAACGAGACCGAGCTGTGCCTCGTGCATGTTGCGCCGCACTTGCGATGGCGGATGAAGTCCTGAGAAAATCTATTTCAATCAACGGGTCCTCTTTGGAGTGGTACAGGGTCCAAGATCCGGACTAATATAATGGAAACGGCAGCAGCCAATCGAGATCGTATGGGACGGTTTGTTCGTTGCCTCCATCTCATGGCGGAAGAGTCTCAGTGAAAGGAATAAATAGGCCCAGATGTGAATAATCTTCCAACGATATTCCTACGGCAGTACCATCCCACGGCGTCCGAGATAATGGAGAAGTCGGCCAACTGTCAAAGGGTCAGTCGATAACTTGGCGATGCCATGAATACTCCTTTTATGATATTATAATTGACCCTGACACGACGGCATTTCGTTTCCAGGCTGGACAACACGGATAGAACATATAACCCCTGACACGCGAACACTTACGCTAGCAATGTTGATGAAAGATATTCACTGTATGTGTGGAGGGGAAGTCCCCTCCATATACTCAAGATAATTCTGAAACCCCGGGCTGTCTATCCTATTACCCCGAAGCTGGCCACGGCACGGCCAAGGACCTACCTTGGTAGGGCCATGATCTATGATTACAACCGTTTTCTGGAGGCTCTCCTCCTGGCCTTCACAACTAGGGCTCAATCAAGTTCACGACTTCTATTCATTATCGTGTTTATCCGGACTTTCGAAAATCGGGCTGATCACCCCCAGCCAGGCAAACCTTGCATGGCCTCTTTGTCGCTGAGCGCCAGTTTGGGCTATCGGCCTTTTTTTCTTTCCCCGAACTGTGTGTGTTGCATCAACCCAACCCCTCCGAACCCAGAATATTCTTCCCCGCACCCAGACATCACCAACATCTGGACACCGGCGCATGGTGGCCATCCTACTCTCCGTGCCACCACCGAACATGCTTAATAAAAAGGCCCCATGTCTTAACAGCGCTCAGGACACCTCTAAATTAGCCCCTTCTCAATCTGGCTGACCTGAGACCGACCCCGAACTTTTGCTGCCAGAATCTCCCCGCTCTCTTCCGCGTTTCCGCCAACAAAGAGCCTGCAAGAGCTGAAGTAATGCCTACCTCGATCGATCAATCTCGATCTGATCCTCAGCACCCGCCCGACCATCATGCCCCCGGGTGCTTGGTTGGCCTCAGGCTGTCGATCAACCTGTTTACTTGAACATGGTCAACCCGAGCGTTGCCTTGCGTTTTGAGTCCTTCAACCGAGAAATATCATCGGTTGCTCACTGGTCACCGTGCCGACAAGGTTGTCGTCGCTTTCTCGTCTGCCGATGCACACCATTTTCGCTAAAATTTTGGCTCTGCTAGTGGGCCGCAAACCAAACTTTCAACAGCCGCATCCCCAGCATCCCCAGCGTTACCAGCCAAGCCGCCTCCTCTCCACCTCACAAGTACTTACCTGCAACACAACCTTCACCATAATTCCTGCAACAGACGATGCATGGCGGCGCGGGCAGAGCGGGCAGCGCCCTCACTGGACAGCCGTGTGTCACCACCATCCAGAAAAAGAGGGATGCTTGATACTCTCAAGGCATGGACAGGGGTGGAATCCTTGCTGCCTCTTTTCCCCAGACTTCGGTCAATATTGGATGGGCGGCCACCTCTGCCGCGTGTTGCTGTCACCTTCAAGAGGGCAATGGCGGAGAACCAGTCTTATGAAAGAGTTTCGTATTAGTACATTTATTTTCTTCTTGCTCTAAATGGTTTTGCGGTCCATATTAAACCCTCGTGAGTCCGCTTGGAGGGTTGAACGAGAATTCCATCCATGCCACACCCATGAGTTTCCGTTCTTCTCTTCTTCCCTCCCGTTCTTTGGTTCTTTGATCTTGCGTATGAAATTCTCCTATCACGCTTTAAACCTTTATTTCTTTCTCACATGGTCGTTGGCTCCGATTGGGAAAAATTAAAGTGATTATCGACTGGACGCTCAATCGGGAAATTCCCATCCGGCAAGAAATGCTTGAAGCGGCTATCCGTCTATCTTAAGACAGCCCGTGACTTGCCGTTCCGCCTCGCCTAAATACCCGCCTAACAAGATAAACAATGAGTCGACTAAGCACATCGCCATTGGCTTTCACTCCTCCCCTCAGTGGCAATAAAGCTCAAGGATACCAACAGCAACATGGCAGCCCTCGAACAAGAAGGAAGCTCCAGAAGACTGTCAGCCTCCCCCAGTGTTATCTAAATCTAGCACTCGCCGAATCGCCGGAACGCCCTCGGCTCTAGCTACAAATGGGAAGAAGGCTGCGCCCATTCCAAGACTCAAGACATCCTTTCGTCAGCCAGTCAGTGATAGGGAGCCCGCCATTCGAGCTCTTCCGGACCTGAGTGACGCTAAGTGGCTCGAATACGTTCGGTCTCATCACTCGAAAGAGTCACTCAAACTTCCTTGCTCAATGGTTAGGGATCTATCATACCTTTCCGTCAGCCCCAAACCTTTTCACCGACTATCACACCGACCCAGTTCGAAGATGTCAGCTTCTAGGAGACGCGCGAAAACCCCAGTCTTCTCCATCGGCCAGCTGGAGGGCATCTCCTTGGGCCACTACGGCTCTCCTACTAAAATTCCACCCACTAGTGAACTCATAGCTCAGCAGTACAGGGAGCTCATCGATTATGATGCAGATTCTATCTACAGCGACGCCCAATCTGAGCCTTCCCCATCTCGCCAAGGTTACAGGGACGATGAGTACATACCAAGACGGCAGCGTAGCTCCGATGATATCTCGTCCAATAGGGTTTTCTCTTCCGCGGAGGTTGGCGATGCCATCCCGGCTGCATCTCCCACCTCTGATGACGGCACTCTGGTTTCTTTTGAAGAGGAAACTGTTTACTTCAAGCCCGTATCGTTTTCCCTGAACCAAGATCGCCTGCACATATGCACAGCTCGAGCATAAGTTCCAGCTACAGCAATCCTTTTGCCAGTCCAAATAACCTCAGCCTTCAAATATGCCTTGATCTCCTAGCCCGAGAGCTCTCAACAGCCTTTTCAGATCGTCGTCAGCGTCCTACCAACGAGATATCGGCTCTCCAAATATGGGTCATGATTGAAGCCTTTGAGAGGCTAAGAGACCAGGTTGCAGAGATGAGGCTAGGCATAAGCCAGGTTAGTGGAGTGGAAACCATGTTTGAAACTTGGCTTCAAGCTCTGTACACTATCCACGATTCTCTCGCCACGGAGAACTTGGCCCGGAATGTGGACAAGGACGACTTTGAAGGGCTAGAAGAGGCCCTGGACTAACCAGGCCCGCGTTTCCTGGCCTTTATATTGTGTGTGTCTGTGTTTTTGGTTTTAGGTGGAGGGAGGGGGTATCCCTCTTTTTTTTTTTTTTTTTTTCGTTGTCTTGTTCGATCACGCAGAGATGACAGTACTGGGATTGGGCACTTGAAGGGAATTTCCTGCATTCTGGCTAGGTTTATATTTGGGTTAGTTTTAACTCGTGGGCTTTTATGGTTTTATCGTTGCACCGGTTTTTGTTCCCAGCATACACTACACTAGACTAGCTAGCCCATCAGGGTGACACCTCTAACCTGGTGGTTCATCTCAGTGGCAGATTTACTTGAAAGGGGCGCGCTGACAAGGACTTGGCTATTGGGAGGTGTAAATAAGTTGGATGCTAAGAATTGATACCCTTGAATCGCCCCTAGTACCTGTCTTCCCTACAAAAATGCGTACTCATGATTCGATGATCCCTATTTAATGAATCTCAGGTCGAAGTTGACAATGAAGTCGTGTTTGACCTAGTAAGTAGTGTGTCAAACGACACTCCATTTCAGGCCCGTCAGCAAGACCCAACACACTCCATTCCAGGCCCACTAGCAAGAGGCCAGCAATACACCAGCTCCACAGTTTGCCTTACTCCCTCCCCTCTTCAGGAACAGGGACTTTGTACTTCTACAGAATTCAGCAATGGCGCATGTGCTTTCCCATGCAGCAGACTCTCGCTGGTAGTAGTATTGGCGGAGCAAAGGCTCTGGAGCGGCTCTGATGTCACATTGGCTTCTTGGCTTGGTGCTTACCTGCACCGGTTTAACTCTTTGTTCGCAAACACAACTAGGTGCCGTCAAAGCGTACATCTGCAGACTAATAGCCCACCAGCCCAAATACTACACCCAGAAATCCATTGGATGTAATGTTCGTGTTGTAACATCAAGTGTATCCAAGACTCTAAAGTTAGGGTACCAAGCCATAGAGCCCGGGAAACAATGATCGAAGGTATCAATGGATTATTACAAGTACGAGCGCCAATGGTACCTTGGTATGTGTTGACTAATAATGGGCGCCACCTCCACACTGCGTCACCCACCATGTATCCATTGCATTTATGACCAAAGTGAACTAGGCTGTTTTGGTGGGGGAGTTGGACACAGCGCTGTGCACACAAACCGTCGCAACACATGCGGAAGCTAGACGCGCCACCGACCACATCACGACCAAGACCGCCATGACTATCTGTTCTCAACAATCGACACATACATTCCCCCTGTAGTCGGCCTGCCGACCATGGATGATGATGATTTTGACGATGCAGAACTCTGGGCTGCCGCCGACAGAGTTGCGTCGGCCTCCCAGGCACCCCATCGAATCGTGCAGCCAACGCCACAGAGAATCGAGCGCCCGAGTCCATACGGAACCGAGCCTCGGGCGCATGATCACCGCGAAGCAGCACCTCCTGCTGGCCAGAAAATAATCCAACCAACGCCACAGGTCCTACCCCAGAGAGGTTCGGGATCTCATATCCTAGTATCGCCGCGTCAGAAGGGAAACCCGGTGCTGTCATGCATCAAGTCAACAACTTGGGAGTATTCCGATATTCCGGCAGACTACGGCCTAGGATTAACCACTTGTGCCCTATTTCTGAGGTATGGTGTTGCCAGAAGGGCTAGGAACAGCCCGGAAACATTTTGGGACTCTTTGAGCTAATCATATCCTATAAAGCTTGAAGTATCACCGCCTATACCCTGAATATATCTACACCCGCATTCGGAACCTACAAGGCCGTTATAGCCTCCGTATTCTCCTCACCATGGTTGATATCGCGAACCACGAGGACCCGCTCCGCGAGCTAGCTAAAACGTCATTGGTCAACAATGTGACACTCATTCTCTGTTGGTCTGCCGCGGAGGCGGCCCGCTACCTCGAGTTATACAAGTCGTATGAGCATGCTGGCTTCAAAGCCATTCAAGGATATCAAGGAACGACATACGTGGAAAGGCTCGTTGACTTCGTCACCGTACCGAGAGGTATCAACAAGGCAGATGCCGTCTCGCTTGTGAGCAATTTTGGCAGCTTAAAGAATGCGATCAATGCTGATCCCGAACAAATCGGCATCATCGGAGGGTGGGGAGAAGTCAAAGTTAAGCGTTGGGGTGAGGCTATTGATGAACCATTCCGGATTAAGAGGACCATGAGGACATTCGCCAACGAATCCTTGTCACTAAATTCTGTTGATCCGAGAATTACCTTGAAGACATCTTTAGGGCCCCTTTCTGTTTCGACGAAACCGGCACTCGCCGCCGCTGCCAGTAGGACATCACCAAAACCTGATCCTGTCAGTATAGAACCTCGGCGTGTTGATGATGAAGATCCTTCGCTTGCTCAGCCCCCTGGGGCGTCAAAGAGAATCGCGCGGCCCGCTCAGCCAGGCGCACCTGTAGCGACGGTAGCGCCCGAGACGCTAAGTGAAGGTGTTGCGGCGGCGCTAGCCAGACTTAGAGAGCAGGGTTGAGTCTATATATCGCAGGGTCCCCGTGGACAAGCCTTCCCTTGAAGCGTTTCTTTGGGCACGGTTACACGATTATAAGTTCTATCACCGCGAAATCACTACATACACAAACTATCGGATTTAAACGTCATAGACCACGGGATTACACGGTTTAAAAGATCGCCCTCGCAGGGTTCTGGAGGTCCTTAGACTTCGCGGCCCAAGTAAACCAAGTTCTGCAACTAAAAGGCAAGTCTGCAATCTGTGAAGCTAGCCCACCAGGATGATTCAGTCCGTATTGTCAGCTTCGGTTCCCACACGGAGAGGCGTCATCAGATTTGGAGGGTCAAAATGGGGGTTGCGGTTATTTCTAACTAATACTCGCGCCGGACATCGATTGGTGATAGCGGCCCAGGGGGTTCAAACGCGCATACCAGCCTATCCTGGAATGACGGGATGTTTCTTGGATATTATCCATGTATATGACCAAATCTCGGTCCTCGACGTAGAAGGCGCCAGGGACCGCACCAACAGAAATCTCGATGTTGGCTTCAACTTGCCGAACATTCAATATTTTATCCACCTTCGAATTCTGACTTTTTCTACAGCGATTAGTGCGCAGATATGCCAATCCCGTGCATTCATTGGCAAAGACTATCACTGCACCTAACACCCCCAATACACCACGGTCGAGGTCGATTTTGTGTTCTGATGTTCTAGATATGAGAAAAACAAAAGCGTACCTTCGGCCCTTCTCCCACCGGCTGAGCAATTAATTCGGTAATTAACGAGCATGAAATCTCTTAAGAAACCGATAGTTCCAAACCGCTCCTTGGCCTGAGTTGGCCTTATAATTTTCCAGCCCAACCGCGCAGTGCCCACTCTCACACATCGAATTCTGCCAAATTTAAAAGCCCACATTGTTCGTTTAGTCAACCTTGTACAGCCCGCCTTGTTGATCACCATAAGCTAACACCTAGCCTAGTTTTTGGCTCGAGGTTGCCACACTTCGTAACATTCTTTCCCGGCTACCCGGATCTACATGGGCCGGAGATGCGCTCGCTTCCGGTTCAATATGGCCCGCCCCTGGAGATATGGAACAAGTCAGGACATGAGCCGGCCCTGTATGAGGGACAGGCGGAAGGTGGCCGTTTACCCCTTTAAACTAATCACCACATCCCCCACATTTTTGGCTGGAACACCAAAGCTCGTATGAAAGGTGGGGGTAGGGAGCGGCGCTGCGTTGGCTGCTGCCCTTCCTCTAGAATCCCAAATATATTGTACTTCAAGGAGTTGTACGAAAATTCCTGGTATTCCGATACCCACCTTGAAGAGTGATGGTGTGCAGGAAATTACAGCTGCAGGGGCAACTCGTATATATTCCGGGCTCGAATACTTCGAAAGTTGTTTGCATGCACAGCTTGGCCTTCGCTTTTAAACCGCTAGTAAGCTGCTCCTTGATGCGGGAAACCCACGAGATACCTAGCACTTCCCTTTACACCTAGGACCGACTATTCACTAGTTTCGGGGTCGAGAGCCATGCAGCAACGGGGAAAATTGCTGACGCTAGCTGCCTTCGCCTTGAGAGTCGTGGCAACCGATAGAATCGAGGCCGTCCGCGCGGTTTTCAGAAGATCATGGGACGGATATCGCCAGTATGCCTGGGGCCACGACAGTCTAAGGCCGTTGACGAACGGATATTACGATGATAGGTAAGCTTTAACTCCAAGTTGTCAAGCGGAGGAGAGGTGAGGCCTCTACGAAACTAGGTCGACGCGAACCGGAAGCTCATAGTTGACACAAGTGTAGAAATGGTTGGGGAGCGAGCGCGGTAGATGCCCTAAGCACCGCTATTATCATGGGCGAGGAGGAAGCCGTGCAGCAGATCCTTGAGTATATCCCTACAATAGACTTCGCCACAACATCCACCGAGGTTTCACTATTCGAAACAACGATCCGCTATCTTGGAGGAATGCTATCTGGTAAGGGAAACCAAGCCTCGCGGGCGTCTGCGTAGAGAAAGAAAATAAGCTGGGCGTGCACATTCTCGCACGAGATGAGTATTGTATCCATTCTAATTTGATTCCTTTTCAGGCTACGATCTCTTGCGAGGCCCCTATAAAGACATGGCTCCGAGCGAGGAAGCCATCGAAAGTTTGCTCAGTCAATCCGTCAGACTCGCAGACCTCCTCAAGGTCGCCTTCAATACTGAGAGCGGGGTGCCAGATAATGACCTACTCTTTGACCCTGAGCCTCGCAGGAAAGGTACTCCGGACAACTGGATAGCGACCATCGGGACACTTGTGTTGGAGTGGGAACGTCTGAGCGACCTCACAGGAAATATTGAGTACGGTGAGCTAGCGAAAGGAGCAGAGAGCTACCTTCTCAGGCCACCTCCTGAGGCAGAACCCTTCCCTGGGATGATCGGTAGTCGTTTGTGGGTAGAGAATGGGACGTTTGTGGATTCAATGGGCGGCTGGAACGGTGGGACGGATAGCTTTTACGAGTACCTAATCAAGATGTATATCTACGACCCCGTCCGCTTCGAGTCGTACAAATACCGGTGGGTTCTCGCGGCCAACTCTAGCATCGAGCATCTAGCATCGCATCCGACGACGAGGCCGGACCTCACATTCCTAGCCATGTATTCAGGGAGACCTTGTACTTTTACAGCAGCCACCGTAAGTTGAGAACCACGAACGAACAAGGTATTTCGGGAAGAGGCACTGCATGCGATCAAGATTAGGATGTACGAAAGCTGACTGCTCCACGACAAGTGGCCTGCTTCAATGGAGGCAACTTTATCCTTGGCGGCTTGGTGCTCGACGAGCCTCGATATGTGGATTTTGGCCTCGAGCTCACGGCAGGGTGCCACGAGAGCTATATACAAACTGTAACGGGTATCGGTCCAGAAATATTCCAGTGGCAGGACAATGCTACAGCCCTAGACGCGCCTAACAACCAGCCCCGCCGGAGAGTCAAATCGAGTTTTACGACGAGGCCGGGTTTTGGATTATCAACGCGCAATATTCGCTACGTCCCGAGGTCATAGAGAGCTGTTACTACGCGTATCGGGCAACAGGCAATATCATGTACCGCGAGTGGGCGTGGGATGCATTTGTCAAGATCAACGCAACAAGCTCGGCAGGGAGCGGTGTGTCATCGGTCCTCGATGTGCAGCGCACAAACGGGACCCTGGTGTTTTGGGATTTTCAGGACAGCTTTTGGTTTTCAGAGGTGCTCAAATACATGTATCTCATCCTTCTTGATGAAGATTCCGAGGTTCACGTGAAGAAGGGAGAAAGGGGCACTTTTGTATACAATACGGAAGCCCATCCGATCCGGATATTTGAGTCATAGAGGGAAGAAGGTGATGGGATAGACCAGGGTACATCTATCTGAATAAACAGGATCGCTTATGGGCATCAAAGGGCTGAAATCGGTAAGAGAGAGATATGCACCGCCTGGGCTTGATGAAGTCGGTGGTAGGTACTAGGCCGACCCTGAAGCAGCTCGCCCCCTCTCGCTTCTCGGAGCCTCATTCACGGCCTAGGCACCTCCCTCTCTCTTCGCATACTCCTCTTCAATCGCCTCTTCGTACAACCGATCAGCTTCCTCTTCGGCTTCGGTCTTTGCTCTCGTAGTGCCCGCGCCGGTATCAACCCCGGCCCCAGTTGGTTGTGACTCTGAGGTTGCTGGGAGGTTACTGGTGGCAGTCCTCTGTTCATTCGAAGCCGTTGCGCCCGGTGAAAGGTCTTCCCTAGGGATCGGTAGCTTGGACAAAGGGCTGGACATGGCGGGCGGACTTCCCAAACTCGTAGAGAAAGTGTGGAACAAAGAGGTAGGTGTCCGGGTTATGAAGGGCCCAGCAGGAGGAAAGTGGAGCCTTCAAATGTGTCTTGACGAGATGCGTGTGACGCTTGTCGAGTTTAGGGATGCTCGCGCCGGGAGCAATTAGAAAATGTAGGGCCGCTCAGGTTCAGAGTAACAGGGAGCGTGGTGGGGTTGGAAAGTGGAGATGTTGGTCCCTTCAAGGTCTGTCCAGCAAGAGAGCCAGAGAGCTTACAAGCTTGGACACACCCGGCTCGGACCCACCTGGTTCAGTTCCCGAACCGGTAAAGAGCCGCTGGAGCATGGCCAACCGCCAACCATGCTCCCTGGATTTAAGCCAATAGAGTTCTTGTTAATCGTGCTTACCCATACGGGCCATTGCTTATTTGTGGACTCGACCCCTCAGCTGGAACTTGGAGCCACTGCGAGTGCAGGCAGGGCTGGGGGCAACACCCATCAATGATCAATCGATCAATTGTTCAACTAATATTACAAGTAGCTCTTTTTAGTTGGTATAGTGGGCCACTTGAACACTGCGCCGTGCCGCATCAGTATTGGGTGTGAGGTTCTTGTGCTGGTGATGAATGCTTCTAGTTGGCTCCGCTACTGCTGACCAAATGCTCCATGTAGCATCTGATTCTTTCCAGATCTCTCGTGCCTTGCTTTAGTAGTGCTTCCACCCTCTTATATGAAGTATTAGTAGATCATGCTCCCGCCACCTCTTCTTCCTTTGCATCACCTTCAACCTAAAGAGTAGTCGCTAGCTTCCTCTCACGTCTAGGTTATCGGACCACTCCAACACTTCGGTACTTTGCAAACTAGCATCACTCAGTGATTCCTTTTTCTTTACCAATCCTTCAGCTTCAATTTCATCATTTTTGCTACCGGCCCTGCTTCAGTCTTTTCGGCAGAAAGCCGAAGGCTTCGAATAGTGATTGAGTCGACCTTTGACGCTCTTTTACGCTCCACCCATCTCTAAAGCCCGATCTCCCGCCCTACACCGGCATGTCTTTTGCCTTGATGAAAAGAGCCATCTTTGGGCCCCCGGATGCTACATCAGCAGGAGAGAGGTCCCGCCTGTTAGTCACGAATGGTAGCCGGTCATCGTCCGCAGACACAGCGGTAGGCTCGGATCTTGAATCGTTGTGCCCCAAAGGCTCGTGCAGCAAGAGTAAGAATAGAATCGATCCTCGCATTATCTCAGACGCCACTATTGGCCTTTCAGATGGCCTCACAGTCCCTTTCGCGTTGACGGCCGGACTTTCCGCTCTCGGTGACACGAGGGTTGTGATCTACGGCGGATTCGCCGAGCTCATTGCCGGTGCAATTTCAATGGGTCTCGGGGGCTACCTAGGCGCGAAAAGCGAGATGTAGGTTTGGATTGTCCGAGGTTCGCGACGTCATCCTTCATGGGCTGCCGTGAGTTACCGGTAGTCTCGCATTCGCTAATAGCACGCATGATTTCCTTGTAGCGCTTCCTATCGTGAGACGAGAGCTGACACGGAGCTATTGGTCGACTCGGATCCTGTTTCCGTGCGGTCCGACATCCGCGACGTGTTTGGGCCCTATGCGCTTGACCGGGCGGCTCTCGAAAGCTTAGTAGACCACTTGAGTTCATCCCCCATCTCGTCGACTTTCTGATGCGGTTCCACCACTGCGCACTCGAACCCCCACCAACCGTGCCTTCAAGTCTGCCTTTACTATCGCCATGGGCTATTTCCTTGGTGGCTTCATCCCGTTGCTCCCTTACTTCTTTGTTGACCACGTACTCATGGGCTTATACATCTCCGCCGCTGTAATGGCTGTTGCTCTCTTCCTTTTTGGGTACACCAAGACGTGCGTTGTTACTGGATGGAGTGGGCCGCACCGTGTTCTGCAAGGCGCCATCGGAGGCGTGCAGATGGTAGTCATTGGTGGAGTCGCTGCAGGCGCGGCCATGGGTCTTGTCATGGCGTTCAACAGTATTTCGAATCCTAACGACCCTCACATTTTTGCTCGCTCCGCTGCGACGCAAAGTCAGTTCAGCTAGTCGTATGCGCTTCCCGGCCATTCACACATGCTTTAATTTCGATCCATCATTCCCGGCCCTTGACCTAGGCGTTCGTCTTTCCTACCACAAAAGCACAGCTTCGTCTATTTTCGGGGTCTGCTTTTTTCTTTTTCAGGCCCTTATACGTAAATCTGGGGTGCGGTATCTTAGCGATTGCTCTCAGGCGTTATTGGCGTCTTCTCGATCTTCCCCTGTCCCTCCGTCTCCTGTCAGCCCGTCTTGTTCCTATCAGGGTATAACACGCATCGTAACGCGGTCAATTTTAGTACGTTCAATCGATCATATTAGCAGGGACATATATATTCATGAGCCCATTAATTATGTCTATGTCGAATTTTCTATTCCAATCCTGGGAGGGGTTCGAGAGGTTGGCTTCAGTGGATAGCACTGACGATTCCCTGTGAGGACTGGAAAGAGCGAAGCAACACCGATGTGATGGATAGCTAGACTTCATAGAATGGACCCGCCCCTAGAACCTCAATCAAACGGTACAATGGATCTATTGTACACGCAAACACCTTACCCATCCTAGATCAATTAATCCATGGATGTTTACCTTCAGCGTTGTTGTCCTTGGACTCGGAGGGTGCGGGGCACGAGTAAGTAAATCTATTCACTGAAAGATCCATCTTAACTCGGCACCCTATAAGTTGAAATTGGCCTAGAAAGTTGGAATGGTATCGGGATGACCGATCATTGCTGTTCAATCGATGTAGGCTTAGCGGATATCGATCATGGATGCGATATTAGTGCAAAAGGCCGAGGATGATAGGGGCATTGAGGTTCGGTGGGCAATCCACGTCACAACTATTCCAAACATCTCGACAGTCTGCCTTTCAGGAAGTGAAGATCTCCGCTCGATTCAATTTCCGTGCATAAAATTCTAGTTCCCCGTGAATCTTACAGCAATCCTTGCCCCCTACGTGCAGACATTAGAACTCCCGACTTTCCCCGATATCACAAATATCAAAGATGCCCGTTTCAGGCAGGCCCTTCCTTTGAAGAGCCTCCTTTAAAAGCTTTGGAGGATCTCGAACTTCCTCGGATGTGAGTACCCAAGTGCCCCAGTGGATACCCATAGCACGGGCGCACTTTGTTTCCGAAAAGATTTCGACTGCATCAAAAGGGTTGACATGCATCGGTGAGAAGGCTGCGCGGGGGCAGTATGCGCCGATTGGAATCAATCCCAAGTCGAATGGCCCGCGGTGCTCACCGATTTGTTTAAACTGGGGACACCGCGGCAGGTGCTCGTATTCGGGACCATAGTCATCGATGTCTTTGGGTAGATATGGCACGGCGCGGTAGCCAGTATCCCCGCCAAACCAGACGGACTTCCCGCCAGATTTGATAGCCCACGAGCACCAAAGCGTTGTGTCCTTATCGAAAATCCCCTGGCTGACGAGTGCTGGGATGGTGTGCATGATACTCGTGCGGAAATGGCCTCGGGGCCGTGAGAGGTGTCGTGACCATGATCCGCTGTCAAGGAAAAATCGACATCCTCCCACCAGTCTAGCTCCGTTACAGACTTGACCCCACACTGCCGAAACCACTTTTCAAGGCCCTTGCCAACAAAAAATGGGCATTGGGGTGATGGGTCTGCACCTCGAGTATAGAGGTATGAGAGAGGTGATCGTAGTGACTGTGACTGATGAAGACGGCGTCAATAGTGGGTATGTCCGATATGCTGCATGGTCTCTCGGTATAGCGCTTTGGGCCTAGAAATGTAAAGGGGGAGCACCGATCCTCGAAGACAGGGTCAAAAAGAACTCGCAGTCCTGAGGGAAACTCCACATAATAGCATGCGTGTCCAAGCCACGTCGCGCGAAGGTTATTAGAAGCTAATCGGTGAGGCAAGAAGCTTGGCTGGTTGACAGGAACGGTGGGTGGAGTGGTGACAACAGACTTGAGCTCGCCTGCCAGGCGCGACCTTGGGACGAAACGGTTAGAGGTTTGACTTCCCAGTAAACGATGGACCCTTACTTGAGAATCGCGTGAAGAATATTCAGCACATTCGAGCCTTTGCCCCATGACGGATAAGGGTTCTGAAATTTAGAAAACCGTCCACCCTTCAGAATGTGGTGAGGCTTTGAGATAGCCTCTTCGGGGAGTGAACCCTGATCTTGGGTCTGGGTGATCGTCCGAGTGTATGTCGCCATTCTCGAGATCTTGGCAAGGCCGAAATGTAGGGGAGGCTTGGCGACAGATTCTGGGTGAAGCTGGGTAGACGCTTGGGTGGGAGAAGAAGCTTGGCCCGAAGCATAATCTCGCTGGGAAGCAAGTCCTCTCACCAGAGCGCGGCCTGCTTGGTTGATATAGTTGCCGCGCCAGTGCAGGTCGACACACCGAATACAACTCGCGAAGGGATTAGTCGTTCCTCAAACTCGTTATTGGGCATTTGATGTACTTGTATCACTGCCAGCAGTGTTGGAAATTATGTGGCTCCAGCCCGCCAAACCCCTGTCGAGTACAATCGATTGATGGATGGTTGGGCTATCACTGACTGGTACATGGATACCTCCGACGCATTGATCGAATAGTCAGTTTGACAGTGTCTGAGTTTCCACAGCTGCCTAGATGGATGGATACTTTACATCCACCGATCTATTATGTACGAAGTACTTGACGAACCAGTGCTAATGATATTACTTGTATTACCGGAACAGCCGGGTTGGAAACTCTATCCAGGCGCTTCTACTCCCGTCTAAATTGACATGACATTCTCTAATTTGCGAGGCAGCTCCTGAAGGAAGGTTTGACTCGGGAGCTAAGGCTCGGAGTCGGAGTTAAGCTGGCCGAAATAAAACCCTGACCACAGGTGATGAGACACACCTCGGGTCAGAGGGGATAGGAGATAAGATCCTTTGAACAGACGGGGCGGAATTGCCATACCTTCCGTGTGGGCTATTTTCAGACAACCTTGAAGAGAAGTTTCCCCACGAGATAATGTAGTGTACTTCTCCCGTCTTCCAAGTCGTGACCTGACTTTCGGCGAGGAGCAGCCATCAAGGATCCCGCTCCACCCTATGTGATATTATTGGATGAGCGGCAAGGGCGTTCGCTCATGTTCGGGTCCACCTGAGGATTGAGGTACGGCGATGGAGAAAATGCTTAGGTGTGTGTTCATGTCCTCTACATGAGTGTGCATCACTACGAGAACCAAACATGAATGAGTTGCAAAACTAATTGAGCATTTCGTTGGCCATAAGTCCATTTCGGAAGAAAAAGCTAGGGACTCCCGGAACTCCAAAGGCCCATGGAGCCATTACCCTGAACCGAACCGATACTCCAAATTTCATCAACAGTCATGAACGCATCCATCATATCTGCTTTACGGCAATACAAGAAGGTCCAGCTCATCATTGTCCTTACAAGTCCAAAGCGCGGGTATCTTCGCTCACTTCATCACTGCCTAACTCCTTCTCGAGCTCGTCCGCAACGAACCCCTCGTAATCATCTAAATTCTTCTGAATGTGGATCTTGAACTTGATCACGTCGTTTAAGATTCGGTCAATCCCAGTATGGAGTTCCTCCCTCAGTGCATTCGCACGAACTGTGAGTTGCTCATACCTGTCTCTCTCCGTTAGCAATCAACAAAACATCCTCTTGCCGAAGATTATACGCACTCAATATTTGTGTTCATTTCCCTCTGCTCCATGAACTGGACGGATTCCGTCAAACCGGCACGCATCTTGGCTAGCTCCTTCTCCATCTTCTCGATCTGTGCGTCAGAGTTGAGTTTTTGAGCGGTGGTGACCTTGTTTCAACAGATTAGCATTGTCTTCATGACAGCAAGGCGAAATACCCCAATTTTACCGATAGCATACCTCTTTAGTCTTCTCGTACTCCTCTTCAGCCGCCCGCACGCGGTGACCTAAAGTTTCAACTTCGTTTCTTTTATCCTCTATAGCCTCCTTAATTCCATCAAGTAGATCATGATCCTTCATCATGATATCCATTGCTATACTGCGCCTCTCCGAAATCTCCTTTTAAGCGAGACGAGGCTATTTTTCACTTGACCGCGGAGATCAAGGTTAAGGATATGGCCGGGTTGGTAGCCAGTTGTAGGCTCGGCCAAGAGTCTCTCACCAGAGACCGTCCCACTTGACCCATTGAGCTGCGAAGATGTGAATTCGGGTCCATCGCTTACTGTAATGCGAAGTTCGTAGTCACCGCCGTTCGCATTGACGGCGGTGGCGGGGATGAGTGCATTCTGGTAGGCGAGAGTGTTATACTTATCAACCATCCGTTCCAGCTCGTCTAATCTCTTACTAGCTTCTGATTCTCTCTCTGCCACTTTCTTCTTGATTTCGTCAAGCCGTTGCGAAGCTGATTCAATCCCTTTCTGCAGCCGCTCTCGTTCAGCCGTCATGCGATCAATGTCCTGCATACTGATGCCAAGGTCATCAACCTCCTTTGCAAGGCCCTCCTCTCCTCATCCACCTCCTTCGACTCCGCAATTAGCTTATCGAGCTCCTCCTGGAGGACGTGGATGCGGCTTTCGTATTTTTCTGAGCGCTGCTGTGCAAGAGCATTATATTCCTCAAACTTCATCTTGTCTTCTTCCATGATCCTGAAGTGATTGTCGAGGACGGCTGGGTCCGGCGTCGATTTTTCTAAGTCCTCGATCTCCTTTTGTAGCCTGGCATTCTCTGCTTCAAGCATTTCCAGTTCTGATAGATACCTAGAATTTGATTCCTCGAATGCTCTCGCCATTGAGTCGATATGAGGAGCTAGGACCCTCTCGGCATCCTCGTCTCCAGCGTCTTCGTCCATGGCTAGCCAGTCCCTGTAGGCTTTGCTCAGAAAATCGAAAATGATACGGTCGCCACTGACGTCGATTCCAGAGTCGAGACATGCATCATCAAATCGGCCACATGAATATCCGTCGAGCATTTGGGCAAGCTGCATCATCCAATGGAGCAGGCCCAAGAAAGTACTCCAGTTCTGGCCACCAACCGCGGAAATCTGACTCTTCGTGATGCTCTTTTCGTAGGGATACCTAAGTTGTTTTAGGATCGGAGGCACCTCCTGGTCAATATTTTTTGGAATTTATGACTAGGGTCGATTCGGTGATATAGCCACTGGAACATGTAGTTGAAATCCTTTTGGGTAGGGGATTTGACAATATTTTGCGTGAGGACATGCTTCATCTCCATTTCAAAGTTGTGCTGTACAAGGTAATCGAGCAATTCTTGGCCGATCCTTGCCTGGTATGATCGGTCTTTGAGAGGACGCGGGTCACGGGGAACGCCAGCAGGCTGCGGGGCTTGTTGAAAGAAGCTCTGGTGGGACATGTGCCCGGCCGTGGAAGTCCGTGAGCGATACACGCTGCTTCGCCTCTCTGCATCAGTGGAGGCGCGACCCGACATTCCACCAGCAACAAATGTCGACTTCGCCGTTTGAAAGGATGACCGTTTGACAGATGAAATGCCCAAATCGGCGAGGTTTGTTCCCGAGGAAGATCGTTGAAAAAGCGGCTGGCTCGGTCGCGACATTGCGAGAGACTGTCTTCCTGATATGCTCCGCCCATGGTTGCTAGAAAATTGCGAGCTTACGGGTGGGTTTGACCTCTTCATTGCTGAGGATGGTTGCGGAATGCTAGTATTAAGGTTGATGCCGCCGAGGGTCTACACTCACAAATTAGAAGAGTTCAATGGCCCTGTCAGGCCCGGGAGACCGAAGCTAGGCTTACCTCACGAGGTCTGCGAACGCTCCACAAACCAGTATCCTGCGACATCGCGAAGCGATCAAAACGCCTGCCCTTGTCCAACGGCGCCTAGCTAACTTCGATACTGAGATTGGTGATTTCACGACGGTGTGTTGGAAGATTCCGGTATTCTTTTGTGATGTGGTCTAAGGCGCGGCGAAGGTCGGGGGTCTAGAAATCACGGCCAGGCTGTGCTGTGTTGTTCAGGTAGCACTAGATGTAAACAAAGGCCGTGGTTGCAAGGACGTTGATTGGGTGACAGCAGAGTTGCGCCTAGCAGCCAGCTGGTTGGTACGATAATGTTAGTGCCCGCTTGAGCCGCCCACAGGTATCACGTGCAATCGTGGCTTCACACCGACCGGATCAATGATCTGGAGGCCGGCTAATTGGCGGCAATCGGCATCCATTCCAGATGGAAGTCCCAAAGGAGAAGATCCGATTGTGCCTCGGCTCGCAAGCGGAATCGGTTCAACCAAACTGATCAAGTTCCTCAAAACGGGCATCATTCTTCCTTTCGCTATGCTTCAAATCTAAACACCAGCCCATACTCTCAGCAATGGCGATAAGAGAGGATATTGTCGCGTCTGCGGTTAGTCTTTGCCCTTCCAGTCCCGTTTCTCCTTTGCCGCGAAACTAGCTCTTTACGAACAGCAATAACTGACACCTCTTTATAGGCCCAGTGTGAGCATCGCGTTTTGTCCTTCTCGAATCAACCCCAAATCTCGCCATGCCCGCTAACCCGATGGAATAGTTTTACAGGACCCAAGCGTCGCGTCTTCGCCGGTTGAGAATCGAGTCTCTTTCCTCCGAAATAAAAATCTTACACAAGAGGAGATTGACGCTGCCCTCGGTCGTGCGTCCGGAAGGGTCACAGATTCACATGAACCCAGGGCCGCAGCTCCTGTACAAGCGCCGCCACACCAATACTATAATCAATACGTTCAACCAAACCCATGGCAGCAGCCTCCTCAACCGCAGTCGCCCCGGCGCGATTGGAGAGACTGGTTCATTATGGCCACGGTGATGGGAGGGTTTGGTTATGGTCTTTATTCAGTGACAAAGGTGGGCTATCAGACTCCTGACATAAGACTAGGATTCACACTTCTAATATGTTCTTGACATCTCAGCGATACGTTTACCCTATGATCGCGCCGCCCACGCCGGAGAGGTTGGACCAAGATAAGAAGGATATTTCCGACAAATTTGACAAGACTTTTGCTTTAGTTGAGCAACTCGCGAGAGACACCGAGGCTCTCAAGGCCGCGGAGAAGGATAGGACCGAGAGACTTGACACAGCCCTGGCAGAACTTGAGTCTGTCATCAACGAGCTGAAATCTACTAACAGGCGACGGGAAGATGACGCTCAGAGAGCTCGAGATGAAATCCAGGCTCTCAAGGAGTCCATACCTGCTGCCCTTGATGCGCAAAAGTCTCTTGCCGACAGTCGTCTTAAAGAAGTCAATTCAGAGCTCATCAGCCTGAAAACCCTAATCTCCAGGATGAATGCGCCGAGTATTCCTGCCCCTCAGTCTCGACAAGTGGCCGGAAATTCCAACAACAACGACAATGAGCAGCAAAAGGAAGCTCCTTCCCAGGAGAATACAGAGCTCTCGGAAACTGTCTCCACTACCAAGGGCAACGGTCACGCCTCGCCGCTTTCAGGAGGAACTACGACAGGAAAAGTCTCCATCCCCGCCTGGCAGCTGGCTATGGCTAATAAAGGCTCCGCCGATCCCGGGGCCGCCTCTTAAAGCTTCTCCGGCTGCGTGGAAACATCTTTGTCAACAAAACTTTTATTCTCCGAATCTGGTCTTCGCCAGGCCAGCTTCCTTGTGCTAGACTCCTGGAGGCATCTGATTTCTACTTGGGGGCCGAGCCAATAGATGTATGATTAGAGCACCACCGCTTAGTGACTTGCTTGTGGTATAGAAATTTACATTTGGACTTAAACAAGACAACTAGGCACTTATAATGTGTGAGAATAGGGGACTGGACTCATTTTTGTCGTTTTCCCTAATTCGCAATGCGCGCCCAATACGGGCGGTCCTAACCTAGGGGTTCTCGCCCTAGAATCAAATAGGGGGCGAGAGAGGGAAAGAGAGAGCAAAGTAGCGATGATGTCTGGACGCAGTTTTGACCTAAAACGTCAACCTGAAAACTTGGGCGTTGTTGAACCCTTCATACCTCGGCTCTGACACCACGAGCCTCCGCCGCTGCAAAAATATGGAGCCTCCGTCCACGCGAGCCCCCACCTCCGCAAGTATTTCCCAATTCGTTGAGTCCATGGCTTTAGACCCACATGCCACTAGCTCGGAAAAACATTGACAATTGGTGGAGATGGTCGGGATTCTCATGATTGCCATGAACCGAGCTCAAGTCTTTTTATATATATCTCTATATAATAAGTCTCAATCTGCTGGCGGAGCAGACCGACGAGAGAACGCCGTACTCTCCGAAAGACCAACCGTTGAACGCAGTTTATTTTTCAATTACTATCTTTCATCTTGATCCCGTGAAGTTCTTTGGTCTTCAAGCTGGTTTTGCTCTGGCGCTTGCAAGATGGAGAATCAACGTGTCCAGCTACTGCTAACACTTCTCCCTAAACTTCCTCTTATCCTCCGAGTAGCTATCTTGCATATACTTCGGAGGTCTGAGTCGGCTAAATATCTCGATCTCCGGAGCGCCATCACAGTTTCTCTCCTCCGATCGTTCATTGCTCCAGACCGCCCAACAAGTATATCCGAGACGCAGAAGCTCACCTTGAGAGATCCAGGAATTAAGGGAAGGATATGGGTCAGCAACTACGCTGCACCCCCGCCCCCAGAAACTGGAGTCAAGGACGCGCTGCTGGCGGCCATTCATCATCTCAAACCGACGACCGATATAGCGATACCGAGTAGAAGTCTAGATATCTTACCTGTGGAATCCGAGTGGACCGGATATCGAGCAGATGCGCACCCGAATTCTACTTTGCCGCTAATATCAGAGAAGGACAAGTATGCCGAATTATTAAAGGAGTGCTCAAGCCCGACTACGATTCTCTACTTCCATGGGGGAGCTTACTATCTCCTTGATCCAGCTTCCCATCGCCCAACAACTAAAAAGCTTGCTAAGCTCACTGGCGGGAGATGCTACTCAGTCCGATACCGCCTCGCGCCGCAAAATCCCTTCCCCTCCGCCCTTCTCGATGCTCTCGTCTCCTACCTCACCCTTCTCTATCCATCACCCGACGCGTATCACGAACCGGTGAAATCCGAGCATATTGTCTTTGCTGGCGATAGGTAAGTTTGTTTTGAGGAAAAACAATCTTTCGACTCTCCTACTTTTTCGTCCTTCTCATATGTCCTATCATTGCAGCGCCGGGGAAACCTTGCGCTTGCCTTATTACAGGCGGTGCTAGAAATTCGGCGACAAAACATCAAAATCGCGTGGTTCGGGGAGGAGCGTGACCTTCCCCTGCCGGCTGGTGTGGCTCTCAACTCACCTTGGGTGGATCTCACGCTTAGCTCCCTTTCCTGGGAGAGGAATGCGGAATTTGACTATCTTCCCAGCGTGACAGCCAAAAGTTTCGAAAACCACCTTCCTTGTGAGGCCTGGCCTGCCAATCCTCCCAGAGCGAACCTCTATGCCGACGATGGATTCCTCAACCACCCCTCGTCACTCTTGTTATGGCGAATGACTGGGCTGGCGCGCCACCGATATTCATGTGTACAGGGTGGGAGCTACTAGCCGACGAGGACAAGTTCCTCGCTCTAAAACTAAAACAGGATGGCATCAAGGTTGTATTTGAGGAATATGAAGCCATGCCACATTGCTTCGCCATGATACTAACAAACCTACCGGCCGCTAAGCGGTGTTTTGACGGGTGGGCCGATTTTATTAACAGCGTTGTAAGGGATCCATCGAGCATAAACTCCAAGGCCATCACGATCAAGGCCAAGACTTTACAGGAAGTAGAATTGGACCTAGCAGCCGATCACCTAACAGAGGATATGGTTCGAGAGCGAGTCCAAGCACAAATTAGGTCCCGGCTCACTTCACTAGCATCTAGGCTATAATCGGTCGGTCAGGGGTGCGATTGACGTATGGGTTATTTAGATTCAAATTCTTTAACCAGTAGCTTGGTAATCCTGTCATGTTCTCCCGATACAAATTCGCGGCTTATAGCCATTCGACAAGAATCATGATGTTCCCGTAACAAGATCAATTAACGGGACTGCTACTCCACGGATGTCCTGATTTATAGCGTTCGGGTTTCCACCGCCTGCCTCAGCAGGCATTCAAATTTCAAGAACAACACAATAATTTGAGATTGAAGCTTTAAAAATGTTCAATTTTGTTTACGAAGTAATATTTAAGCCCCCACATTTGCCCCATTGACCATCCAGAACGGAACGTTGGACTTGGCAGTGTGGCACTCGTGAGGCTTTGCGGGAGTAAAAGGGGAAAAAGAGAAAAGAAAAAAATCAGGAAAAAGAAGAAAGAGGGAAGAAAAGGAATGAATGTAATTTCCACATGTCCACATGTCAGCCGAAACCCAAACATCACCCGAAATCCCAAATCGGCAACAAAGTCACCACCTCTGCTTTTCTTCACGAACAAGTCGTGCAATACCTCAATACCTCATGAGGCCGCACCGGCGCCAGTGAGATCGAGAGCGGCAGACTGGACACGTCTCCTTGTGTATTGTATTGAAGAACCAATGGAGCGTCACTCACGAACTGTGGCTCAAATTTCGACCATCATCAAACAGTTCTTCCTGCACAAGACGCCATATCGAATCAATCATGGCTCTACAAACAGCACGCGGCCATTTCAACGTGATCGCGTAGCAACCGTTGATATTAGCTCCTCAACAATGTCCTTGACGTAAACAGATCCAAGCTTACCGCTCTCGTCGAACCAAACGTGCCGATGGATCGTCTCGTTGAGGCCACCCTCTCAAAAGGCCTCATACCCCCGGTCGTCATGGAATTTCCCGGTATCACTGCTGGGGGCGGCTTTGCAGGGACAGCTGGAGAAAGTAGCTCCTTCAAACACGGCTTCTTTGATGATACCGTCAATGAGGTTGAGATGGTGCTTGCTAACGGTGAAATCGTCAGGGCGAGTCGTAATGACAAGGGCGATCTATTCCACGGTGCTGCCGGCGCTGTCGGTACCCTAGGCGTGACAACCCTACTTGAACTCAGACTCAAAGAGGCTAAATCATACGTCAAGACAACATATCGACGAACCCAGAATGTGGACGAGGCTATAAGGATGGTTAGGGAACAGACCCAGAATCCCGAAAATGATTATGTGGATGGTATTCTTTTCTCAAAAGATCATGGTGTCGTTGTTACAGGCACTATGACAAATGAGAAGCCAGCTACACAGCCCGCGCAAACGTTCAGTGGCGCATGGGACCCCTGGTATTACCTTCACGTCGCAGAGAAGACCCGCGATGCCTCTACAGCTGCTATCGTCGATTACATTCCATTGGCAGAGTATCTATTTCGCTACGATCGCGGTGGATTCTGGGTTGGCCGAGCCGGATTCGACTACTTCAAGATCTTTCCCTTTAATCGTTTCATGCGTTGGTTTTTGGATGACTTTCTCCATACCCGGATGCTATATCGCGCGCTCCATGGAAGCGGAGAGTCCGCGCGGTTTGTTGTTCAGGACCTTGCCCTTCCTTACTCAACCGCTGCTCAATTTATCGACTACACAGCAAAAATCTTGACATCTGGCCACTTTGGCTCTGCCCGCTGAAGCGCCCAACGGGACCGACATTCCATCCCCTAACGACAACACCATCAAGATTCGCGTTGAAGGAAGAAGACCCAGATGCCCTTAATATTGGCGTTTGGGGTTGGGGCCCTTCGGATCCTGACAAGTTCGCCGCGAAGAATCGTGAACTAGAAACCTGTCTATGTACTTTGGGTGGAAGAAAGTGGTTATATGCTCACGCGTACTACGGCGAGGGTGATTTTTGGAAACTTTATGGGCGCGAATGGTATGATTCCTTGAGGAATAAATACCACGCGACCTCGCTACCGACAGTCTACGACAAGGTCAATGTCGATGTAAGGTCTAGAGTACGGGACAAACCACACTGGAGTCAGTCTTTAAAGACTTGGTGGCCTGTTGGTGGCATGTGGGGAATCAGACAAAGCATCAAAAGCAAGGATTATCTCCTGCACAGAAATGCGAAATGGAAGGACAGGGCATAGTGAGAACATGTTTGAACCCGTGATGAATGTACATATCATTTCCTACTGCAAGGGCGGTAACATACAGAGCATCAAATATCAAATAAGTCCAGATAGACAACACCACTATAAGCTCCTTTGCACCTATTTATGCTACATCTATGTAGTATTTATCTCCGATTATTAGGTTTACCACCAGCCCGGAACACAAATTCCTTGAAATAATAACATTCGGGGTACGCAAATAGTCGTCTATTGTTGGTCAAAATGCATCCCCCGCCCCATTTAGCTCTCAGATTGAACAGCACTAAAAATAGCATCCAACAAGGCAGTCAGTCTATTTTGAGAATACACCGGCAGAGGCTGCCCCGTGGGACGGCAATCCCCTGTTTGATGGAAAAAGTGCAGCTCTAGCCGGCGGCTGAAGTTCTCGAAGCACCTCCTACGTTTGAACAGAGTAGGTTCGCTTAAACATATCATCAACATTCTCCAGATAATAAGTCCCACTCGTGATGGTCGATGCGTCGCCCTGGGGCTTGTAGTCCTTCTGGAGATGAGCCTTTTTCGAAGATCGCACATCTACTCGCCGGCGATATACCATTAGCAACTTAAACAAGAACGCAAGGAATGACGGGAGTGTTATGGTCACGGGTAAGGTGCCAGTTCACACTAAGCCAGATGCAATATTTGCACTTACAGAGTCATAGGTTTCCGGGGGACCGCCCGTCTTGCCGTCAACCTTGCGGGGATATCGAGTTTCTCCGCAATATCTGAGACGCTGCCATTGACCTTGAAGGACATAAAACTAGCAGCCAAGCCGGAGCCATAGCTAAAAGGCCAATGCGCTTCCCTTCAAGAGCAGCGCTATCGACGTGCGAGACCAAGCTAGCCAGGCCTCCCCAAACACTTGCGCAGTACATATTGCCGCAGAGCGTGGCCACTTGGGTCCCAGGAGATACCCGGTCTTGGAATCTCTTCTTAGAAAGGTTCATAAAGGTCTTCTCGACAACCTTATCGGTTAGCGACTTTTCGTAATCCATTTCACGCAGCTCTTTAGGCACCTCGGCGAATGCCGTGTGATCCACATTGGCCAAGTAGTCGTGGTAGAGCAGCCTGCCGTATGACTTCTGGACCAACTTGCAAGTGGGGGCGTGGAAAGTGAGGTAGTCAAAACGGTCCAGTGGAGTTTTCAGGTCCCCAAAATCGTTGGCACTCCCATTAGAGCCATTCACCGACTGAGAAGCCTCACGTGCACAGTAAGCGCGATAGGCTGCATCCAAAGCTCTCGTATAGCAGGTGAGGGAGAAGTGGCCATCGACATAGGGGTATTCGGAAGTGAGATCCGGCTTGTAGAAATCGTAGGCATGCTGCATATATGTTCCTCGCAAACCAGGTTCGGCAACGATGGGTGCGTTTGGTCCAATGAGCAGAGCAACGGCACCTGCTCCACCAGTAGGACGGGCGTTGCCTTTGGCGTAGAGGGCAATATCCGCAGCGACGACAATAGCATCGCGGCCATCCCAAGCCGATGATTCGACCCAGTTTACGGCATTAAAAAGGCGTTGGTGCCTCCGTAGCACGCGTTCACAGTATCGACACCCTCGATATTCGTGTTTTCACCAAAGAGCTGCATGAGCACAGTCTTCACAGACTTGGATTTGTCTAGGAGAGTTTCTGTGCCTACTTCAAGACGGCCAATAGAGTTGGTGTCGATGTTATTCTTCTTGAGCAGGTTGGATACGACGGTCAAGGAAAAGGAATAGATATCTAACGGAAGCCCACTCTAGCTGTTAGTGGGCCACTTTGATTGTGGGCGTTTGTAAGTGAAGCTTAGCCCGCAGAGATACGAACCTTCTCGATCATCACAGAAGCTCATCCGAGTCTGACCAAGACCAATGGTATACTTTCCGGCGCTGACGCCATCAAAGCTCTCAAGCTCGCTTTGCTCAACATACTAAGTGTGGGAAGGCCAATTAGTTGTTAGGTTGGGAATGTTGGCAAATCCAAAGGCGTCGGTCAAAATGGCGATATCGGGAGGGGTACCACCCACCTGGCTAGGGAAATAGATCTCAATGGCCTTGATGCCAACGTTTTCCGGGCGCGGGGTCATAGTGGCAGAGAGGAAGGCGGCGAGTGCGATGAGGTAGGAAGCGAGTCGATAAAAGAAATAGAGTGGTTGGAACGGGTGCGAGAACTCGAGGGAGACTGGGCAAATTGATAAGGAGCCTCTTGGCTTTATGAGAGGAATTTCACCGCCGTTTTCTTGAGTAGATGAGATGGTTTTTTTCCTCTATATGAAATTAAAAGGTACTCAGGTCCTTTCTACGCTATTATCAACAAGACCCTGAGATCAAGTTATACATGTGCAAGGTACCTCGTCCCTCCCGTTGCTCTCAAGGACTCCTTTCTCGACGGCATAGGTACGAAGTAGTTAGTGCAATGGAAGCCATGGCAGGAGAAAAACCCTTGTGGCATTGCAATTGACAGCATGGAGGGGTAAATTTCATTCAACAAGTCAAGTAGGTACCTTTGCCCCTTTCTGGGCCGCCCCTCCCCGCTCACACCAACCATTTTCTCAAGCCAGGGACTATGTCCAGCAATCAATTTTCTCTTAGGAATATTGATAGAATAGACAGGTGTTCCCAGTCGCTTTCGACTAAGACTCTAACAAAATACCGGTCATCGGAGGAGATAATTGGTGGGCTACGCCCTGAGCTGATCATAGAATCAAAGGGTTTCGGCATCTTAAAACCCTGGCGTTTTCAGACATCTGATGGATCTATGGATCCATCACTTCTGATGGTACAAGTTACTAACGAATTGAACCTCTTCTCTCCGGAGCGGAGAGTGCCTGAAAGGCAAAGGTACCCGAGGATACTTGTTTAACAAGGGTAATAGAGAGCTAAACTCGTGTGGGGGAGGGTTGGAAGGGCCAGGCATCGATATTCTTAACCCCACCATGTGGAAGAAAATGCTCGGCGAATTTGACAACCCATCAATGCACAGATACCATCCGCCATCAACCTCAAGTATGTCAACATAGACCGTCCAATGCTGGAGGAGCCCGCTCCGCAAAGTGCGTCGGAAGCCAACCTTGAAACTGGCTATCGCATCATATTCGCCCAAAGGCAGCCCGACGCCTTCTACAATCAATAATCCTAGACGCGATTTTTCTTCCCCAAAGGTAAGGGCAAAGGGGGAAACCGGTGGGGAGAGGGATTCAATTTTTATTTTATAAAAAAAATGATAAAAATAATAGAAGGAAGGGGAAAGGACTTGGGTTTAGATACAGAAGGAGATTTGAAAGAAAAGGAGAAGCGCGAGTCTATTACCTAGGTACCCGGTATCATACATGCTACATCAATTGATGCATGGATGATTCGACCCGGCCCCAGAGACAGCCCATGAGACCTAAGTCAAGCAAGAAGATTATATCGATGGATCTATCGTAAAACGCCAACTTTCCACACTAATTAGATAGTATTCTACACGTCACCGGGGGTTCCTCCTTCACAGAGGCAAGGGGCGTTGAAACCCAAAGTTCAGCGTTGGGTGGTCTCTCATCTCATCCCCGTCCCGTCCCGGGAGCAAGAGCAGAGACGAAAATTTGGAAAAAGGCGTACATCCATTGTATGTTTGGGGGAAATCTTTATTTTCAAGCTTCCCCCATCAAGCTAGAGAGATTTGAGAGCGGGGCTTACCTCAGGGCGTTGCTTAGACATATATTGATTCCTAGGCTCACCACTTTTTAAATCATAATACACCTAAGGGACCGGATCTCTTGAAATACAGGTCCTTTACATCTAGACACAGGCCATATCTCAGAGAGTCTGTTTCCATCTCTCAAAATTCCACATATAGTCGAGGCCGAGATGTGGTGACGAGCCAGGTCTGTAGTACTGCGCTCCTGTGTCAGCCTCGCTTCACTCTCTATAGGTTCCCTTGACTGAGGGCGATCCGGCATAATACATATTGTCCTGAGTGGGGTTGGGAAAGGAGGTTGTTCGTTAGTGTCGGATTCGGATGTCTTTGTTCTTCTTATCAATCCCGGCTTCGGAGTTGACTGACTATGAACCGAAGCGGGTGGTCAATGTCGTACAAGCAACATGAGTTGTGGTACTAGATTGGATTTGAATTTAATATTGGCTTCCAGTTGCGAGTCATCCATGGACCTTACTCCGCTTCCCTGGTTCCGCCATCGGAGGTCGTTGTCGCGTCCGTGGGGAGAAGACCCTGAAAGTTTTTCTTCATTTTCGACCACCTGGCTTCCCGCATCTCCACCAACCATTCATCAATGTCCTGGGCTGCGTCTTTGGGACAATGTTCTCTTGTGCTTGAACAACATAGTAACCCTGGATTTCAGCGGGGCTTAACTCATGCTCTAGTATAGCCTTTGCAAAATCTTCCGCTAGCACACCTACTTTATTCGAAGTTTTGGGATCAAGGCGTCAGCTTCTCGTTGTGGTTTGTAGTCATTATCAAAATGTGGCCTTCTTGGGAGGCGATGCCGTCTAGGATGTTAAATAGGCCAGAGAGAGGCAGACACCCGGGCATAATGCTTGAGGTGCTATTTGCTTTCGCCGGTGATATATGGTATGGCACCGCGTCGCTATTTGTGATTGTGCCTGACGATTAGTTTGAGTTCGGCTCTGTCGAGCGAGGAGAACCTATCAACGCTCTTGCGGAACTGCCCCGGAGATGCGCTGTCTTGCTTGAGGACATCAATTCAACTAGGTTAACGAACACAAGAAAGTTCCACATGCTTTGAGAGCAATGTAGATCCGTAGATTGAAATGGCTAGCTACAGCAAGACTTAGGGAACTCTTGCCTGTTCTTCGGGAGGGGCGGTGAGGGGATCCGCGGCCATAAGGGATTCCTCTATTTTGATACCACCAGCGAGTTGCAGGGTTCAGATAATCAGCAACACCATCGAGCAGTTTGCTTTTAACTTTCGAACTGAAAATAACTATATCGTTGGGCCGAGTATCATGAGCCATGTTCCGTTCCCAGCTCAGTTCTGTGGATAGCCCCTTGAATGCCCCTCAGTGAATAAGGGTTTTCCGACGTCCTTTTGTATGTATAATCTTGGCTTCCACGAGGAGCCCTTTAAGAATCCAGGGAGTCCCTACAAAAACTTGCGATACAGATTTCCTCTTTCTAATTGCAGACGTCAATGAAGCTAGCACTGTCCTCCCGATGGTCCTAACTCTAGGCGGAGCATGTCTAGGGTTCACTCACCTCACTAGCAGGTACTAGATGCGCCTAGTTAGGTTGTTCTGGTCGCTGAAAAGAAAAAGCGTTCCGCGAAACCAGAACATATCTATGTGTTCGAAACGAAGTGATGTATGAAAGTGACATTTTCTGCCTTGCAAGGGAAATTTCCTCCTCATCAGATTTATCATCTAACCATCACCATGCAGTCTCCACAGATACCAGCTTCGCGACGTGAGGACCGTATTAACCACAAAGCGACGCGAAGAAGTAAAAATATCTATTCCGCTACCCATGCCATCACAACATTATATATCTCATCAACGCGAATCTATTGCCCCTGAAAGACCGGGAAAAAGATATCTAATAATGTGAGATGTGTAAAAGTAGTCTGTTGCTCAGCCGCATGCCGATGGGCGGTTGCTGCATGCACAAGGGGAGATGACATCGTATATATGGTGAAGGTAGTCTGAGACGATAACTGTAGCACAGGTGAACGAGTGGGAACGCTTGATCAATACTAGGAGTCTGTCAGTCACTTATAGGAGTCCAACTCGAATAAAAGAGACTCATTGGAGACTTCGATAGAAGATTGACCATCGAGCGAGGTAAATCCTACCAAGTGATTTTAAACTAGAATTTGCCCTAGAGTCAGGGTGAGCCAGAGATAGCTGCGCCGCCGGATGACGGATCGGTGCACTACGCACCCGCTACCTTCAAGGAATAGTCCCCTTGACTTCGCTGGCGTCGGTTCAAGATCCCATCTCGCCTTAGAGCTCTAGCGGTGAGCAGGCAACCCCGTTCGAGTGGTGAAACAGTCGGAATGATAGATCGTGGTTAATATATTGAAATAAAGATGCCTCAGCAGTGGCCTGCTCCATGTAAGATGAGGCAACAACCTACATCAATTATCAAAGGTGCAAGAGCCTTTACTTTCACAAGTATCGGCTCATTTTCCTAGCCTTGGAGTAAAGCCTTCCTATAGAGTAACTTGCCCGTCCATTTGATGGAGGCGACGAGAATGACGCCTCGAGGCTAAAATTAAGGAATATCCTGGGCAGAGCCAACCTCGTAGGGCTGAACGTCATTGTCGACCCCGTCTTACGCTAATCTCAGCTTAGGCCGAGCATTTTGGGCTGGATAAGCATAAACCCTGTTATCGGCCTCAAGCCTCAGTTTTCCCACATCTACCTCGGTGATCTTGAGGGATTGGGGCTGATGGGTATGTTTGATAAGCTTGTATCAATATCCAAAAGTTGGTAAAGGTAGAGAAAGACGGCCCCTGTAAAATACTGTCGCCTTCCGCGTACACTTAACGTGGCACAGGTATGTTGCCGTAAATATTGGTACATCCATCCATGGATGTATGCACCGTTGATGGTAACAATTGATTGAGAGCCCGGGCTAGCAACCGACAGGGCTTGGAACAAGATTGGGAGCAGCTTTGCCCTGAGGTTGATGGCTTTTATTTCGTGTTCCTTGGTCAACTTGCCCTTGCTAGAATTTAATGTTTGTCTCTTGAACCCCTTGAGAACCCTTCTGGAGGGAATGATGATCAATATTTTCTTCACACAATTTGATTCTTTGTTACAAGTTGAGGCAGTACTGAGGGAGAATAGACGCCTATTCCCAAACGGGCTCATGGTTTGACTGCTTCAGACACCTCATATACTTCAAGAGGGAGAGGGGGCGGGGTGGAGGGGGTTTGGCCTGTTAGCTTATTGGCTTACGCTTCATGGCCGATGTTGCTGGTTGAATTAGGCTCAAAGGGATAAAGTGAACACGCTTTTCGAATTGCCGGGAGAAAGGCGGGGAGTGAACAATTTGGGGGATACAGTCCTCAAATTGCGATTTATATATTTAAATTGGCGCTCTCCAGGCTAGGTTCTGTATTTGGTGGCGTTTAGCTAACTGTCATGGTTAGTAAGTAGGATACTCGATATTTAGATCAACGATGAAATCCACGAATCTGTCCTGGAAAGATGCTAGATCATAATAAGGACTAATGAGAGGGTTTGATCTTTGATTTTGCCCCTCTTGATCTTAAAGAAAAAGATGAAGAGGCCTCGAGTAAAATCGGGATTTTGCATCCTTTAATACTATATGTATGTTTTTCTACACTGTAGAAATGAGAGGTTGAATGGTGGCCCTCTGGGGATATTCCTTCAATATTATCCCGAAACTAGGCCAGTAGCTCTTTCTTATCCGTTCACGGTATGCTAATCAATGCCTTTGATACTGTATGATAAGAGCACACCCTCTCTCATTCTTCAAGGACATCGTTTGTGCTGCTCGGAGATCAATGCATACCAAATGCCAAGTCTCAATCGTCGCACAGTGAATTACTCCTGAGACACAAAGATAGAGTGCCCAGGAACATCTCCCCTTATTACCCCATTCTGCCCCTACCATCCCTGACCCCCATTCCTCGATCTTAATATTGAGCATTGAACATCCATATGTGCGGCGGCTGTTCCCCTCGTCCTCGTCCTCGGCGACACTTTGGTTTTTGATACTTTCCTCCTCCCATCCATCACCTTGGAGAACTCGTTCGGCTCAACATCCACCCAAGGCTTTTTCTCATCAAGACAACTCGTTCACATCCCAGGTCCATAATTCAAAGCCAAAACTGGGTTTCAGGACGTCGATACTCTCGCATTCACCGACTCAGATCACCATTGACTCTACCATCACACTTCTGGATTTTCGTCGTTGCCACACAGCGCCAACGGCTCGCTACGCCTTGATGTAGCGAACGGCGCTGCAATCTCCCCTTCAAAGACCGGACGGATATCTTGAACCCGGACCGAAATGGACAAATCCAATGGAAAATACGCCGAACTCAATCCCCGTGCCTCCATGGGCCCCTCTATGCGCCTATCTATCGTTGGCGATGAGGAAACCTGCGATGCCCCCATTCCAAATACCTTAGATGTTCCAGGACGTTTGTCGATAGTATCATTGCCGAACTCCGAAACAATCTCGATCTCATCTGCCCCAAGGGAGACTCAAAATTATCGCCACAGCTTTGCTGTTTTTGACTCAACAGTTAGACCTCGACCGACAACTGCCCCGAGTCGGCCCTCAAGCATTGCGAAGCCACGAGTATCTGATGCGTCAACCCAGCCGATTGATTCCGCCCCTCACCTTCATGTCGACTCGACCCTCGGATCACCCCCATCAGGAACAGCATCCTCGAACCCTGCCATTCGCGTCGAAGCTCCCTACGAGGGACCATCCGGTCCTTCCCACCCTTATCAGATGTACAACCAGAGGCCTGTCAGCACTTCAACCACATCAGCATCGCTAGCTGGTGCCGATCAAGCATATTTGGGGCAAGGTGGCCCGACGTACCCGTACACGATGTATCCCCAAGCCACCTCAGGATCGGGCGATGGCCAGTCTTCCACCATACCCGTTGGATTCCCCAGTAGCGCATCAAATGCATATCAACAAACAGTCGACACTCCAACCAATGGGTCTAGCTCTTTTTCCGTAGCGACTCTTACCCATGCTGAGGAGCTACCTCCATACTCTAGATATCCTGTGAATACTTTTGCGCCAAAACCGGCAGAAGCAGAGCAAAGGGCCAACACCCCAAGTTCTGTAACCATAGAGCCGTTACCAGCCTCTAACTTAACACCGCCGTCAACAAATGCCCCTTCTCCCGTTGTATCGCCTATCCAGGGCGCTGGTGGCCTTGGTTTGGCTACTAGAGACCCAGAATTCTCTTCAACCTCGTCTGACTTAGACTCGCCACGGCTCTCCACCCGTAGCTTTACCTCCGATGGGAGCCAGCGCGAAATACACTCGACGCCTCCCGAGGAGAACGAGAAGGAATCTATGAAGACCTGGCAGAAGCGGGCTATGAAGAAAATGTGGGGATCGTGCCGTACTGGGCCATCGGGTTGCTGGCCATCGCACTCGTTTTAATGGGTGTGATATTGGGTGCAGTCATCGGGACATTCTTGTCCAAGCACCGGAAAGGCCCGCCCCCCAGCCGTAGGAACCACCTTTCTCGCTTTCTCCCCGCTACTTTAATCTGCAAGTCTCGAGACTAATACTGAGAATTTAGGCCTCGTTTCTCCGATTCCAACTTTACTCTTGGAGTTGTCCCTTTGGAAACCCTTCCATCCGATCTACCAGAGCTTGATATCGGCGAATGGAGCCTGGCTCCTTTTTTCTTAGCTAGTCTTGCGCCGAGTTCGTGTTTCACTAACCCTACTCAAGCCCAGGCATGGACATGCAATACTCCCTTCAATATTTACTGGATGGATGTTCAAAGAATAGTCGACGCCCCTCCCACAGCATCGTACGAATTGAAATTCACCACCTCAAACAGTAGTAGTACCCCTTGGGGAAGTATGCGTGGGGAACACGGCCACCGATCATACCAGATCATAAACGTTTGATCCTAGTCAATGATACTCGTGAGCTTGGCTGGGGCCCAGCCTGGTGGCTAAACATGACTTACGACAAGACAGTGGTTCTTTCGGAGGACAAGTTCTCGGCCTCGGCAGAGAGGCGTGGCCTTTTTCGGCGCGTATCCTCCGAATCAACAACGAATTCGACTGAACAGCCTGATGTCTCGGGGTGGAAGGATGAACCCGATAGTAAGAAATGGCCTAGTGGCGGCTTTCCACTTCCAGGGGCTAAGGATGGTGACAGGCCCTGGATCTGCACTTGGCCAGAGACCGTTCTTGAATTTTATCTATATCCTGCCCAGAACAACAGCTACATGCTACACCCTTCCCCCACCACCTACCCCCTTTCTCTGGCTTCCCCACGGGGTTTCCGACCGGCTTTCCCACGGGGTTTCCGACCGGCTTTCCACCCGGCTTTCCAAGTAGCTCTTCTAACCTCGCTCGGCCAACAACTCCTACACCCTCCCCTGTTCCGTCTGATATATCCGAGCCCTCCGCCATGGCGGGAGAAGAACTTCCCTTGGAATCTCCTAAGACCGACCTCACCGAAGAACGAACTGATAAGGATCGCTGGCCCATGCCTAAAATACTCCCGCCCTACCCGAAAGTTATCAAGATCTCCGAGCGTCGGATCCCCGGGCCTTCCAAAACTCTTGCTTCCTGTGAGCAGGTTGAAGTTATTGATGGCGGCCAAGATTCGAGGCCGGTCCTCGATGATGAGGGAAACCCAGTGCGCGTCATCATCCCAGAGAAGGCCGCCTGGACACCCGCTTTTCCAAATGACAGACGTTGGTTCGTTGATGATAGTCGAATATCCAGCCGGGACACTCCAAAGGAAAATAATGAATGTGGATGTGTGTGGATGTTCGAGTAAATCTAGCCATGCTGCCTGATTGGTTGGTGTCCATATCTTGGGCTTTGGATGTGATTCCTTCACCCGACCGCTCGCTGTCCCCAACCCAATGATTGATGCACGACCGACCACCTTGGGAGGCCACAAAATCTCCGTGTAGGATACGTATGGGTCGCCTTACCCTCATATCCTATTTTTTCTTATTCTTTCGTCTCTATTCTTATGCATATACCGTGGCGTTTAGGGAGGTTACTGGAGTTTTTAGCATTCAGCGTCCGCGAGTCACTTTGTATGTTCGATTATGATTGCATATGTCCCGAAACATGAGTCCTCTTACCGCGCTGTATGTAGTTGGTGGTTTTTGTATACACTATGGGCGCTTAACACGTACACCTGGTCCAGGGTCAAGCCAGAGGCATGTGTTCCTAGCTTTCAAGTCCATTTCCGGCTCAAAGACATAGTCTAATGTTGGAAGGCTTAGAGGTTTAGATTACAAACCTTACAAACCTGACAAACTGAATATCACCAGGATAGAAAAGAGGCCGTGTATTTGATCCACGGAATGTAATATTCTTCAATGTTCCTGCAGACGAGGCGTGAGCACGACACGTCAATGCTACATGTCATTGGCAAGCGTATCTAAAAATGAATCCGCCATCTTCTTAGCTTTCCTTTCTTCAATCACCTGCTTCCGTAACTCAACCTGCTGCTGGCGGGTACTCTCCGGCTGTTTATCTATGATTTGCTGTGCCTTCGTGGAGCGATGCTGCTCTTGTAATGACCGAAGCTGAGCGTTTCTCAACTCCTTGTCCTTACTAAACTTGTAAAAGCCGACACCCTTATCACGGAGCTCGCCATCTGCATCGTAGAAAGCTTCATCCGGTGGCGTAGCACTACGGTCCCGTTTCCGTGCCAACTCTTTCATTTTTGTCGAGTCCTGGGGGTTGAACGCCATAGTCTGTATGGTATCGCCGTGTATGAGTGTTTGGGGGTGTGTGGCCGTGCCGCAGCATTCTCAATCTCTTCCGCCTCGAACAATGACTTCTCATGCCAGGCTTTTAGTTTCGCTTTCTCTGCCCGGGTCCCACGTCTTGTTCTCCCAAATTCATCCTCGAACTCTATAACATCGTCATCCCCACTTTGAAAAGGATCTGAATCCGAGGTTTGGGGTTCCTCGGCTCTGTGAGCTGTGTCTGCCCACTTCTTGTCAAAGTCTACAAGTGATGTCGTCTCACTTGACTTTGACACCAATACGCCTCTCTTAAGGCCAGAATATAGGCGGGCCTTCTCTTCCAGCTTCTCTCGCGACCGCTGCAATTCACTACCATCGCCTCCCGAGGAAGGGGAGGTTTGTGTTTTGGCTGTATTCGAACAACCATAACGAGAACGATAGGTTCCAGATCGGCTCGCAAAGCTTGATTGTTCAGCACGCCGGCGTCCATTGGTGTCCTTTGCTCTGGGTTGGTCGTTTGACATTAAAGCTGTCATCTGAGCTGTGAAATCAAGTGAGCATGGCTGTTCTGTGCCGCGTCTCTGTTTTTGGGTGGACGGCCATAAAGATTATTAGACGCTAGAGACATTGCGATTGCATATTGTATGATAAATGGCAAATTGCTGCTGCTTGATGCGTATCGCGGCAGGCGATGGTGCGATTTGAGCGGAGAAAGTCATCGACCGTACTGTATCCCCAGCGTTGCTTGGATGACGGGATGATGCTTAAGTATTACTAATATTGGGCTGTGACGTTTAATGAATCCACATCCATCCATGTATAGTGAAAATGTTCATTTTGCACGGTGGTGTTGAGGAGGTGGGGGCGGGGTATCTGAAGATTTGAACCATTTTTCCTGAAGGGCGAGGCATTGATCAACGGACAGACGTATTCACAGACTGGCCTTTTGAGAAGATCCCTGAATCGCAATGGCTTCGACACAAAGTGTTTCTATAGCCGTAATCGGTATGCCCTTCTATTCACTCAATACCCTTTTGCATCGTTGACCTTTTTTTCATTTACCTAGGCGTTGGCGGGGTTGGAAAATGTTTTCTTCGCCAGATCCAGACACTTGCAACTCAACGCCCGACTCTGAACATCGGCGTTTTCTACCTGTCCACAAGTAAAAAGGCTATCTACAATGAAGACTACTCGTACCTTACGATAGAAAATTCTATTGAGGCTCTCGTTGAGTCACCGAAGAAGCCACCGTCCCCTAAGGAGCTCTTGGAATACATTTCTGCGGCCCCAGGCCGCATTGTATTAGTGGACAACACAAGCTCCGAAGCTGTTGCTGAGAGTTATCCATCTTTTTGAGGCGCGGAATAAACATCGTCACACCCAATAAAAAGGCTTTCTCGGGGTCGTATGAGCTGTGGCAAGACATAGTCACCGCGGCTGAGAAATCCGGCGCCAAGGTCCTTCATGAGTCATCGGTTGGTGCTGGATTGCCCGTTATTTCAACTCTGAATGACCTTGTTGCCACTGGTGATAAGGTTAAGAGGATCGAGGGTGTGTTCAGTGGCACAATGTCCTTTCTTTTCAACTCCTTCGCCCCGACAGAGGGATCAGGGGAAATGGTCAGAAGAAGTGCGAAAGGCAAAGGAGCTGGGCTACACGGAGCCTGACCCAAGGGATGACCTTAATGGACTCGACGTGGCTCGGAAGCTCACAATCTTAGCACGACTTGCAGGCTTGCCAGTTGCCTCACCCACATCATTCCCTGTTCAGAGTCTTATACCTAGGGAGCTGGAATCCTGCGCATCGGGGCAAGAGTTCCTTGATAAACTCGCTGAATTCGACCATCAAATGGAGCAGACAAAGAAGGATGCCGATGCTGATGGGAAGGTAGTTCGATTTGTTGGCAGCATTGACATCTCCACCAACACCGTCAAGGTGGGACTGGAAACCTTTGAACGAGGGCACCCGATAGCTTCGCTCAAGGGAAGTGATAACATTATCAGCTTTTACACAGAGAGGTATGGCTGCAACCCACTGATAATCCAAGGTGCTGGTGCCGGTGGTGAAGTTACTGCGATGGGTGTCACTAGCGATCTCTTAAAGGTTATCACATAAAGACATTATCATCTACTGGCCACTTTAGGCCTTCGCCATTATATAGTCCTGACAGAGTAAAAAGACCGAGTCGTACCCTCATCAACTAAACTAGCAGGATAAGCTTACGCTTGTAATCTGTCTTGTGCTGTAGTTCGCTCACTACCTCTCCTTTGAGCCCGCTTTCCTGAAGCGAATGAAGGAACGTGATGGCCGCTCTGCCCCTCATTAATTGACGTACTATGAGCGCTGCTGCATTCAGACTGATCCTGGGTCGGTGATCCATGGGCCCAATAAGTTCTCCAAAGCCAAACAATAACATCAAGGACGAGGAGAAGGGCGACGGGGAGTACGATCAACCCCGCGATAAGTAGCTCAGGAGGTGGATGTTAGCAGCCTCGAACCGAAATTTCTCTCGACAAATGAAAGAAGATTCCAAGCAGGCACACTTACTGATATCCACGACACCGACTGGATGAAGAGTGATGAATCATCGGGGAGTGCCTGGGTTGTGGGAAGCTGGGGATCCATCAAGACCTCTCCGATGGTGGTGACAAAGGCTCACGCACCGAGCTTGAAACAGGGCCAAGAAGGCTGTTAAAGAAAAAAACGTTTGTCTTCCAAGAAGGTACCTTTGTGCTAATAGAGTGAGTAGTACGGGCGTGTTTACAGGCTTGAGGCGAGCTTACATGGCGAGCGAAGGTTTCAGCTCGGGCGGGAACAATTTGGCAAGCGATCGGCGACACCCATACGTTGTTGTTGAGGTTCCTAACAAAGGTCTAAACTAGTATTTCGAGGCCCCTGGCTGTTTCCAAAGTTGGATCCAGTTGAGGCGGCCAATACCGAGGCCGACGGTTTACCTAACATCGCGAGCAGTCGATCCCTCAGACCACCCTGTCGCCTCTCACCGAAGTTAGGTAAGCCAAAGGACGAGCCTGGCAACTGGCAAGGGCACAAAGCCTAAGCAGTCAGGTCGCTTATTAGTTTGTCGCGCCAGTGCTTCTTCTTGCCAGCCAGCCATTTTATGTATCTCTCATAATTTTTTCAAGAAGAAAAGGAAGAAAAACCCTCCCAGAGGCAAGGGCGTCAAGGAATAGAGACGAGACTTTCCTCCTTTTTCTTCTACTTTTTCCCACTTGCTATCAACATTTTCATATGGGAGACTCGGTTTTCGAGCCATATATATCCATCATGCCTGTGAACGTTAGTAGATCTGCTGATGAACTACCATCTCGCCCCAAAAGAGGAACTACCGCCAAAGAGCGCACGCGAATCCGTTTTCCGATCATGAACTAGTCTAGTATGTCGTGTCTACAACATCTCTCCCCCTGCCCCCGGGCCTTCCACTGCTAACATGTTGCGAAGCCCAAAGTGCCCCCAGGCAATGGACTGGTCCACACACTATCCAGTTTTTCTTGGAGACGCACCCATCTGCGCTGGGCTCGACAATAAAGAGTGTAACAAGCCGGGGAGGTGCGTTGAGGTGCTCGATATTGGCTGCGGGTTTGGCGGGCTCTTGATGGCTCTTTCTCCGGCCTTGCCTGACACGATGATTCTTGGTGGGCTTACTCCTTATAACTGGACGCTCAGAATGCGAGCTAACATTCACGCCCGTGTGCAAAGGAATGGAAATACGCTCTAAAGTCTCTCAATATGTGCACGACTTGATCGAATCCTCCAGGGCGACTCGCATGGCTCCCGGCTCCTTTCAAAACGTTTCGTGTCTGAGGGCAAACGCCATGAAATTTCTTCCAAACTTCTTCGCAAAGGCGCAGCTATCGAAGATTTTTATCTGCTTTCCAGATCCCCACTTCAAGGCTCGGAAGCACAAGGCTAGGATTGTATCAACCACTCTAAGCTCAGAATACGCGTACATCCTCCGGCCAGGGGGATTATCTACACGATCACAGACGTGGAAGATCTCCACCTTTGGATGGTTGAGCATTTTGAAACCCATCCTTCGTTCAAGAGAGTAGGGGAAGAAGAGGAAGCAAAAGATGCATGTGTGCGGCTTATGAGGTCCGAAACGGAAGAAGGTAAAAAGGTTGAGAGGAATAAGGGACCAAAATATGTGGCCTTGTTCCAGCGGCTGCAAGATCCTCTTTGGTGATCAAATCTTTTGGAAATTGGACAAACATTGGCTGACTCATCAATTTCTTGGCATTTCTGACTTATGTAATGGACTGATGAGACGAAACTTCACCAGAGCAGCAGCAATCCGTCAATTTCCACGAACTGATCCATGCGAGCAATCTGTGATATGCAGGCGCCAGCTCGCCACGATTGATTATGGGGTCTCGAAGAATTCACTTGCTATCTGCATGTGTGTGCGCCTTTTTCGCCTGGGGCTATGCCGTCCATTGGCTTCCCGCGCTCCGCTGGGTTGGGTACTCGTTCAATTTGGGAGTTTGCACCGCACTCATACTTGTGGCGATCCCGCTTTTAAGGGTGAGAAAATCTCCCAACACGAGAAACTTCGATCCACCACGCGAAGTTGGCCTGAGATCCCTAGGCTTGTCGGCATGGAATTCCGAGTTGAGGAGACTTCGATCCAGTCAGGAATATAGCCCCCCTCTACACCCAGACTCTCCTCGCATATCAGCTTCTTTCGGCGAACTTCTTCAGCTCGTCATTCGAGACTTTGTTGCCTCCTGGTATTCGCGGATCAGCACAGACCCGTCCTTCGTTAACGAAGTGGATAACGTGATTCGAGAACTGCTTTTAAATTTAGAAAATCGGCTCCGAACCATTGACCTTGGTGATCTGATAGCCGCTCGCCTCATCCCCATCTTCACGGCGCATTTTAGGGATTTCAATGCAGCCGAAATCTCCGTACGAGGTCGCAAGCTTAACCGCTTGGTGACGGAATCCGAAGAGCTTGACCTCGCCATCGCGTCAAAATATCGCGATGGGAAACTTCACTCGGCCGTGTCCCTTACATTCTCAGATCCTAAGCTAATCCAACAGGACTACCTAAGGTCACTCGTTGTGGCCGTCCTGCCGAAATTGGTGCCGAGTCGCTTTCTTACCAGCGGGGCTGTGGCCATCCTGGTAAAGGAAATAGTGTCATGTGCAGTTTTGTGGCCCATTATCCAAGGGTTATCGGAACCTGATACATGGAATCAAGTAATGGAAAACTATGGGCGTAGTATGCTTCAAGACAGATCAACGGTCCGCAAACTTAGAGCGGCTCTCGATCAGCACGCCTCGCCTTTGCCAGCTTCGACCAGGGCCACCGTCTTCCCCAGGCTATGCCCTGGCGATAGCGAAAGAAAATTCGAGAAGTTTATTCGGGCTATTAGGAAGACAAACAATCTATCAGACGCTAGGCGATTTCGAAGTGAGGTCTCAAGCCAATTTAAGAAGGATTCTCTAGAAGATAGCGAGGACCAAGTGTATCTCCGCCGATTGGAGATGGGCAAGAGAATGCTGGATCAACGAGTTTACCACTTGGCAGTTGCAGGCCATCAGTCGGCCTCTGTCCCCGTCCCGCCTCGTTCTACACCACCGCCAGTTGTCACCAAGCTTGAAAATGCAACCTTAGTGAATCTCCTGAGAGACTCTTCGGGTCTATCATATTTCATGGAATTTATGGACCGGCAGGGCATGATGACCCTCGTACAATTTTGGCTTGTTGTTGATGGCTTCCGCAATCCCTTAGAAGACGATGGCCAAGACGATGAACAGATGATACCGGCCGCGTTACCAAAATGGAGCGACTCGGATCGCAATGATCTACAGCAGATAGCCGATACCTATCTGTCGAGGCCAGAACTTCAAATTTCGAATTCGACAAAAACCAATGTTAGTCAATTTTTGTTGGCGGAGAGGTCTGCAACACCACTACAGTATTATAGAGCCCGAAAGGCCATTCTTGCCGCCCAGTCCGCCGTTCTGCATAAATTAAAGATAGAATATTTTCAATCCTTCAAAAATCGGACTTGTTCTACAAATGTCTTGCGTCCCAAGAAGCTTCAAGCAACCAAGTTCTATCTACTTCGAACATGGATGCCACTACCAGAGCTTCTTCGCGCGTCTCACATCAAAGCCCACTTATAGATATCCACAAGGCCCAGCCCGCCAGCATGGCTGGCCGAAAGCCGCCGGCCATGGATGGCCTGTCGGTAAATTCGACATCAGACCTTAGGACCTCGACTTCGGACGAGGTACTTAGCATTGACGCGCACCTAGACTCCCGGATGGAAATCCACACGGACTTTTCTCAGATGAGGACGTTGAAGTTGACGAAATGGCTGATTCAATGCACAGCCTTGATTCTCGGCAGGCCGCCCGGTCGGTTCCAGACAGGCAAATCGTCCAGGCGGTTGAACAAGCGCTGAACACTATCCTAGAAGATGAAAGGCCCCAGACTGCAGAAGACCTTCGTGCTTCGCTCTTTGATAGCCACGACATGAATCCCTTCCCTATTTCACCTACGGCTGAATCTTTAAAGGACTTCCCTATCTTTGGGAGGCCGTCCCAACTAGCTAAAGAGTCTGAGAAACCAAGCCTTCAGTCACTCGGCTTGGTAACCTCGAATTCACGTATTGGGGTTTTTGTGGACGACGACCTCTTTGCAGAAGAAGACTCGTACCTACCTGATCACTCCGAGGAAGCAAGCGACGTTGACGAGAAGAGCGATGGGGAAGGCGTCCATGAAGCCGCACCTGGTGACCTAGGTCTCGCCGAGGCAATAACGTCACTTACGAATGATATCGACAAGCTCACCACTCAAGAGGCTGTGGTAGACTCACTGACGAAAAAGGCCGAATTGACCAACAACACAGCCGAGTTGAGGATCTTACGCAAGTCAAAAGCCAGCCTGCAGCGTGAGCTACGGCGTAAAGAGTTGCAAAGACAACAGTACGTGATACAAGAAAGCGACAACAGTTTGTACGGGAGATCTACTGTAAAGATCAAATCAATTCGTGTAGGCAAGGAAGATGACGGCAGAGAGTACGCCTTATACGTCATTGAAGTGCAACGCAATGCTGGAGAACAAATGCCAGCCGCAGCGTGGAACATAACGCGAAGATACAGCGAATTTCACGAACTACACCAGAAGTTAAGGTCAATGTATCCCTCTGTGCGTGGCCTAGACTTCCCTCGACGACGTATGGTGATGAAATTCCAGAGCGAATTTCTTCGAAAACGCCGGCTGGCCCTTGAAAAATATCTTCAAGCTCTGCTCCTCCTCCCCGAGGTTTGTAGGAGCAGAGAACTTCGAACATTTCTCTCGCAAAGTGTTATTGCTCAAGGGCATGAGCTAGCCAACAACGATAGTAAGCGGGACATGATGACTCGACTATATGACTCAGTTGCCGACGGCGTCGAGGATATCTTAGGGAATATACCTGTCTTAGACCAACTGTCACTAGCGGGTCAAAACCTCATCGCTGCGGCCACGAGCCAATTACACGCTGTGCCAAGTGAGCCTGGTGTTGGGGGTGCTGTCCCGACAGAGGCTGAGGCAGAACTGAACGCATTTGAGGATAAAGAGCTAGAGCCATTCATCAAGCCGATATGTGATATATTTCTTGAGGTTTTCGAACTGAATCGCGGCAATAATTGGCTTCGTGGGCGTGCTGTGGTCGTTGTACTCCAGCAACTCCTTGGAGGAACCATAGAACGCCGAGTACGAGAAAGTGTCAAGGCCCTCATTCAGGAGGACGCAATTCTACGTTACATAGCAGCGCTGAAAGATCGTCTTTGGCCCAGTGGAGACTTGGTTCGGGACAACCCACCAAGGACAAATGCAGAAAAGAAGAAATCGCGTAAAGAAGCTAGCCTCATGCTTGCCACTCTTGTTCCAGATCTAGCTGGCGGAGTTGTTGGTCGTCTCAATGCACAGGCGGCCAGCCGGCGAATATTCGCCACTCTAAACAACCCCCGACTCAAGTAAGAAGCTAATACTCCCTTGTCCATGCAGAGGTCGAAAAAAGTTCGTTATTAACTTCCATTGGTATCTCTAGTTCGCACCTAATCTTTACACTTCTCGACGAGCTTGTGGAGGTTGTATTTGTGGAAGATTTTGGAGGGTAGTTACGCATTTAGCCACTCACTATAGCTCCTGCCTCCCACGGCCTGTCCTAATAAAATAGCACCACATATCGCTTCTGGGACCTTCTCTTTGCCATCACTTGTGCCGCCTCTATTTCGTACAATGAGCCGGCCCGAAATTGGGTTTCACCAACGCGCATCGGATGGGGTCAACATTGCCGTTTACTGGGCCCCTGGCGAGGCAGGTGCAGCCATTAACAGCATTGAGTACGTGCCTGAGGCAGAAACCATGGACGCTAACCATCCTCGCTTGTGATCAACTTTTGACTCAAGCCTTCTCCCCGCCCAGCGGAATCAACCATTAATAGTCACCTCCTCAAAGCGTGCATTCTTTTGTTGATGATATACGTGACTGAACCTCTGCCTCTGCTCACCCACACCACTACCGATAGCCATCAGCACCTGCACTAATCGGATCAGTCAGGACCTCTTGGTGACTTGAGTCGGATCCACCGACCTAGACAGCTCGGACATCAAACAATCCATTACCCGCAATCATGACAGAGGTTTCTGCAACGCGGCTCTACCTCGGAAACCTTCCCCGCAATGGTTAGTTGCAGCATATGTCCCCGGATTTGTTCAGCAGACCTGCTCGAGGCGGGTCCTGGGTTCGCCACACTTCAACTTGACGATCCGGCCCCTCCTACCTTCCCCAAGGACGCGACTAGACGCAGCTTAATCTGGCCGACTACCTGCGACCTACAGTCCGCCGCTAACTAAGAGCCGCCTGAGCAGTGACCAAAGCGGAAATCGAAGCATTCTTTTCCAACCACGGGAATGGAAAAATTACGGAGATCAAACTCATGAACGGCTTCGGTTTCATTGAATACGATGATCCGTTGGATGCCCGCGATGTAGTTCCTGGTGAGTAGTTCAAGGTTATCGCATCGCATCACTGTTGAACCCGTCGCTGACATCCCCTTTAGCTTTTCGTAAGTTTGCTTAAGCCAGTCGCCCCCAGCGGAACTTCCTCTCACTTTGCCTCGACATTCTATGCCACCCACTCATCCCTTGGCTCCCATTTCTAATATTAACAACTACGGACTAACAAACAAACAAAGATGGTATTGACTTCATGGGTGAGCGTCTCACCGTCCAGTTCGCGCGTGGAAATCGCAGCCGTGAAGGGCTCAACAGCAACGAGCGTGCACCCCCGACCACGCCGTACTCCTCACCGAATGCAAATCACCGGGCTCCCAACCGACACTAGCTGGCAGGTCTGTTTTTTACCACATCGCCCTTTTCTTCATATCCCTCTTCTGGATTCCAGGAATATCGGTCCCTCTCCCCTTTGTCCGTTGCAGGAAACACGCATGGTTCCGCTCCCGGCTCCGTTGTTTTCTAGAAGTACCGTGGTCCATCCCCAGGTGCTGATCCGAATACATGGCTCCTATGGTTTCTCCCCTATTGTGTCTCGTTTCGCCTCTCCCTTGGATATGACATCCCACCCTACTATCATTGGAGTCAGTCTTAGGACCTGTACACAAGCTCTAGGCTTAGTCCTACCGCTCTTACATTTGTCTACAGCTTGTCGAACGCCCTTGATTATTTGGCTTTGCCATCGTACCTTACCCAGCAACTTACATTGGATATCTGGACATAGGACCTGAAAGACTTCGCGCGACAGTCCAACCTTGATGTGGTTTACTCTGAAACTGGCCGCGACGGAACTGGACGAGGGTACATACGACTTCCCTATATTTTAACTATATATCCACATACGTGCGCCTGGCTAACATACCCTTCATAGCTTTGTCGAGTTTGAAACCGCTGCTGACTTACGGACTGCTGTGGAGAAGCTCGATGGCAGAGAGTTTAAAGGAAGCTCCGTTAATTGCATCGCAGATGTGAGGATTCATTAAGCCCTACTGGGATTTCTGGATGTGGTCGTTAACCAATAGGAAAAACAGACACAACCTGATCCGCCTACCCCCGGGAGAGGGCACGATCACGTTCCCCTGGGAGGCGCCCTTACCCCCCTCAGGAAGATTATGATCGTCGAGGTCCTCCTCGAGGCTACAGTCCTCGTCGAGACGGCTATCGAGACGGCTATCGTGAAAGAAGCCCAGGCCGGCGTCCACCGCCTCCTGATTATTACGAAGACCGTGCCCGGGGTTATCGATCACCGCCTCGTCGACCGCTTGATGAGTATCACTCTCGCCGTGGATATGAGGACCCCTATCGCCGCGAGTATCCTTTAGCGACTGATCCATATGCAAGTGGGCGGCCGTATGATCGGCCTCCAAGAGACTTTCCCCACGGGACGGTGGGTATCCGAGGGATGGATATGGACCTAGGGACTACGAGAGGGGTCGATACTAGTGAATATAACCCATCCGCTGTTAGCAGAACCGTGCTTACTCAACATTCTAGGCACATCCACATGAAAATGCGCTTTGTGTGACACGTCTCGTTTGCGAAGCTGGTAGTTTGAAGAAAGTTAAAGTGCAGCCCTAACTTTAAGTCTGATCTAAAGCCTTTAAGGGCCATAGCATGCAAAGCCTTCTGCATTCACTATAAAATGGGTCGGCCACATGATCTAACGAAATATGTTTCCCTGCGAGCCCTCCAAAGAGCGCTAGAAATTCGTGATGCTCGGTCATGTTTTTGATCATATTCTCGCAAGTGTGACATTTCCTTGGGGGAGCGGTTGAGGATAATCATGATTTCCCCGAGGAGGCGAAGGAATCCACCGAATAGCAAGATTGTATGACCTGGTGTTGCGTATATATTTGGTTCATTTTCTTGAAGGATGGTCGGCCTAGAGGTACGCCTGAGTCCCCCGGCTTCAAGCAATTCGTCCCGTGTAAGACGCTACAGCCCATACGCCGTAATGAAACCATATACACCGACGGTTCTACCATACAAATTGATACAACAAATAATCCATACAATACTACCCACAGGCTGCTTCTGCAATATGATGCATTTGGAGGCTTCGAGTCTTAGGGGAAAATGTAGTCCACTAGCTCTGCGTAGGCCCGCGACCACCATCGCGAAGATGGCATCGCCATGGAAGGTGGCAGGTGTTGTGATGCTTTCACCATGTGTATCAAGCGGTCTTCCTCCATTGTAGCTGTAATCCGATCAAGCTGCTTGCCGTACCTGCTAATCCAACCAAGCCATCATCAAGACCTACCCAACCCATTGCTGACGTAGGAATTGCCAGGTCACACAAGTCAGAAAGTACCTGGAGCTGGCTTGCTGCTCTCTCGCTAGAAAAAGATGAAAGACCGTTAGACTAGGACTAGATTTTAAGGGTTGATATAGGTGACAGATAGGAAAGGAATCAATCTCACATTGCAATCTTTTTCCCTTCTACTACACCTTCACCATCTTTTTGTCAATGCGAGCCTCGCGTTGGCGCAGGAGATGCAAAGTATAGAGCTGGGCGGAGAGGCTAAAAACTATTCCAATTGCCCAGAAGCGATAAGCTTCGCGTTGGAATGCTTTAGCCCTTGGAGACTTCCGAACCCCCATAGCATCTAGGAGGGTTGCCAGGTCAAACGTCAAGTAGCCAGCATACCCAAGCTGACGTCCAACAGTTGTGTAGCGGAGAATCGGATCCATGGCTTTCGAGTCGGCAGCCACCGCTGCGGCCTTTAGGTGTTCCACATTCTTCCCAGCGCGGAAAATCTTGCGGGCCAGGCCAAACTGTCGCTTGAGCGCATCCCAGGAAGCAATCTCAGTCTTCGAGCCATTCGTGCGGAGCAAGTACCAAGAATAGAATCTTGCAAAATACTGGATAGTGCGAAGGAGCTTGTCGCGACCCACCGTTGTCGCGACGAATTTGAGATAATGCGAGACTGTGGGGTGGTAGACGAGGGCGTCCGCGACCATGGTGAGAGCGGTCCTTAAGGATGAATGAAGTTTGCTAGGAACAACGTGTAGGGAACAATGGCAGCGGGAGGGCGCGGATATATTTTACGCTTGTCCTAGCTTCGGGTGGTCTGGTGCTCTGAGAAGGGGTGCATACCAGGTATAACGGGAGCAAATGATTTTTAAGGGCGAATGCGGTTGAGGTGAGCACATGCATCTTTGTGCCGAGGTACTTGGTCGCATCTCAGCTAAGCTTTTGTTAGAAGAGCTGATCCCACCGATTACTCCATTTCTCCCGTTCCTGTTCCCCGCCCTCCGCCCTTCCTTTTCCATTTCTCCCTTTTCCTACATGTACCTTAACCTGCTTTCTTCATCGCCTTTTTTCCTACTAAAAAGGAACAGAAAAGAAAACGGGGTTCTCTGGAAGCAAACCAGTATCTTAGGGAATAAGCCCATGAATATTAGCCATGTTATCAAACCGCTGCAGCCTCACAAGTCCAATCGAGAGAGGGTCTGCGCTCACGTGGGATGACTACATAAACCATCGATAGACTGTGCAAATCAGCATTTTTACCATAGTTGCGAAGTATTTTACAAGCCGATGTGCGGAAGATAGCATCTCGCTTTATATGTGGGATGATGAAACCGGATACCCCACATCAGGCTCCCCTTCTCGAGGCAGCACTGGAGAACACTCCTGTGGCACGGCGAAGGCAGGAGAAATCGAGGCTTGTAAACAGGACGCCAGCACCCTTACTCCCGAGGTCTCGGATGCTGCCGGCTTTCAAACCCCGACGTCTTCCGGGAAATCCCTTTACTCAGTCTCCGACCTCCACTAGTGCATTCCCTAACACTGGGTACATCGTGCCTACCGAGCTTGGCCCACCCAATCCAACCCTCTCCCTTGTCCCTATGCCGGGGTATTGCCTTACTAGCCTCCGATAGCCGCCACCCTTGAGTCTGAGATGAGCAACTCTCCTCGTATATCCGGGGTAGGCCATCAAGAGGGGCACGATGGTCGTTTTTTTCTAAAATAGAGGGAAAGACACCATTCTCCAATGAGTCGAACCACCCCCGTTCCTCTTTTACCTCACCCGGCGTTCGCAGACACACTCTATTCACATCTTTTTGCTCATTTAAAATCACCGAATCAACTCGCCAAAGCTGACGAGGGCAGCAACTCATCTCGGTCTTAGTTACCAGAAATACACCTCACCCCAACCTCACGCAAGCCTTACTGAGGAACAAACACTCCTGTTCACTGTGAACATGGCCAATCTTAATGATGACAACTCACCTGCTTCCAGCATGACCGAGAAAGTCAACACGAATATCATCACACTGACACGCTTTCTTACTGAAGAACAAGCTAAACATAAGGAGGCTACTGGAGATTTCACGTATGCTACCCGCATCCTTAGCTTTCACTTGACGTTGTTATGCTGACCCTTCCGCTTGTTAGGCTCCTATGCCACGCTTTGCAGTTCTCCTTCAAGTCCATTGCGTACTATATCCGCCGCTCAACACTAATTAACCTCACCGGCCTTGCCGGCTCCGCAAATATCACTGGAGATGACCAGAAGAAGCTTGACGTCATTTCAAATGATCTTTTCATCGAAGCAATGCGCTCTTCGGGAAAGTGCGCACTGCTGGTATCCGAAGAAGAAGAAAACATAATCTTTTTCGGGAAAGTTCCGGTGCCCGGTATGCTGTCGCATGTGACCCTATAGACGGCAGCTCTAATTTAGATGCCGGTGTCTCCGTTGGCACCATTTTTGGCATCCATAAACTTCCCGATGACTCCAAGGGAACAAAAGAAGACATTCTCAAGCCTGGGTCGGAGCTTCTGGCTGCCGGATTCACTATGTACGGAGCATCCGCCCAACTCGTGATCACGATGAAAGGCGGAACCGTGAACGGCTTTACACTTGACAACGGGTTGGGGGAGTTTATCCTTAGTCACCCGAATATGAGGCTGCCTAGCTCGAGGGCCATTTACTCTGTAAATGAGGGAAATTCTCTTTATTGGGCCGAAGAGGTTAAGTCGTACTTCAATTCGCTTAAGGAGCCGCAGAACGACGGAAAACCATATAGTGCCAGGTACATTGGCAGCATGGTAGCGGATGCCTATCGCACGCTCCTTTACGGCGGCATTTTCGCATATCCGGCCGACAAGAAGAGCCCCAAGGGAAAGCTCCGGATTCTCTATGAATGCGCGCCGATGGCAATGGTTTTTGAGAATGGTACGATATCATCGTAATATTTGAGTCAACTGCTACAAAAGCTAACTATTTTTGGTATCAGCGGGCGGCCAGGCTGTTGATAGCAACATGAAGAGGATGCTTGATATTGTTCCAGCAGATATCCATGACAGATCTGGTATTTTCATGGGAAGCTTTGACGAAGTTGAAAGGGTCAAGACGTTTCATAAGGCCTAGAGATATGTCGAGCGCAGAAATCGATCAGACTGGCCAACTCGTTCAACCGAGCGCACAAAATTATGAGACCCCCGTACATATATTGGGGCATTGTATCCGATAGCCCCCAAACTACTTCAAAGCACCTGCTATTCCTCGGTGGATTATTAAAAGCTTCAAAGAAGGCTGAGATGTTCATACGCGGGGACAGGGTGGCGGTGAAGTGAGATGAAAGAAATAGGATATATCTTCCAACAGGCTCATGTTTTCATCCTGTCCCTGGCTAGGAAAATGGAACAATGTGGGTAGCCTCTGTAATTTGTAGTCCAAGCGACTCTGAATTTGGGTTGAAAAGGGTTAGTATTAAGCGGACATGACCCCAACATAATTTAGAGATGGATAGATTTTTGGCATCCGACATCCTTAGCAGTGGCCTCTGAATGCCATTGTACTGTGTATCTTTCAGCATCAAATGAGACGCAGGTGTCTCTTATTTACTCTATTATCAACGCCGAAAAGCGGCGCCTCCTCTGAATAGAGTCTAAGAGAGTGAAGAGAACAATTGCATTACCAACACCCAGGCTGTGATGGCCCTTAGTATCAATGACTGTGACTCTAGCCGAACTATATCGAGGGAACGGAGATATATATAAGGAATTCTAATATCATTAAGGGTCATAATCTTCATAAAACCTGTGCCATGATTTGCCTGGGATACAAAAGGAGTGATAAAAGCAATTTTCAGCTATAATTGCCGCACGTGCGGTAAGGAGTACCACCCATCGCCACATCCCCAAGGCCGCTTACGAAAAATCACCGGGTCTTAAGCACGATGTCTGCCCGAGACATGGTGACCCAGGCATTGATAATGGTGTAGTTGGATAATCATATCCAGCTTCGGAGCAACTGGCTGAATGCTCGAAGGAATGGGTAAGTGGCGGTGTCTATACTTTAGAATTAGCGACTCGATGCAGGGACTATTTGGTTTCTGATTTAGGGTTTAGCCTACGTGGGCACCAGGGCTGTCATAGCTGAGTGTGGTGCTGATGTCAATTGTCGGAACTAGGCCGTAGTCTCCATAGGTTGCAAACGAGTCACTGGGAGGATAAAACTCTCGCTTTGATTCATCCGCAATATGAGGCATGGATGGGAGGTTGTTGATGGCGGACATGGATAGGTAGTCTGGATAAGCCTCCACCCCACTGATATTGTGGTAGGACTGAACGGGAATAAACGGGGTCATGAAAGACTCGCTTGGTGGGGGATACGAAGAGGCGGCATGTAATGGCGGAGTATGCGATGCAGACCTGCCGCTCCACGTTGGTAGAGAATCATGGTGCTGGGTTGATTTCTGCTGCTCCGGGCTGATTGAGGGTGATAGTCTTTGGCTTTTCGGCCTGGCTTGGGACTGTCGTTTTTGGGATTTTCCAGCAGTACATGTCGAGCTCTGCTTTGACACTACAGGAGAATCGTCACTCGCACGCCTCTCGAGGTCTTCAAGGCGTTGCTTTAACTTTTTGCCTGTGTGTGAAATAATTTTGTGTTAGTTCACTCCAAGCGACAGTCGGCGACGAAAAGTAGGTGGATCTAGGTTGAAAAATCGCGAAGACTTACGATAATTCCTCTGAGCGATCCGATTTTGAATCCTCCTTCTCTCTGCAAGATCAGATATCTTTGTCCAATCTTCATCTGGGTTTGCGGAGCTGCTGAAAGCACTGCTTGTGCCATGCTGACCAGTCGGGTAAGGTCTTTGGCTTGGCAGCGGTGGTGACGGGTACGAGTACTGGTGCTGAGGCACCATAGTGGGCATTATATGTTATATCCTGGGGATCAGCCTCCACACAAAATGACTAACTCAATGTTTGTGGAGCACGGTCGCTGGAAAAGATTGTTTCTGGTAGCTTAAAGGCTGGAAGAGGGTAGATGAGGTAAAAGCAAGAGCTGGGAGCACCGGTCAGTTTTATAACATGCCGATCGAGCTTGGCTCAACCCAAGACCCGGCCCTTTTTGTTTAGCCCCTCTAGCCCTATATTCCTTCGGTTCTTCGGAAGGCCCAGCAATTCGAAGTCGTGGGACTGCGATTGGCGGATGGTGCAATCATCCCGCATTGAAGAGGTACCGCCCCAAGACCGAGCCATCCTGGACGCACAAGCAGAGTAGGATTGAACCTGAAGGTGCAGCAGCGGCCGAAAGAGCGCCATTCCCTCGTTTACGGACAAGGGGGTGTGCAAGGAGGGGTCAAGGGTTGTGCGTTTATTGACGAGCAGGTCGCCCTCTAGAAGGGAGGGTGAAAAGGGATGGCATGACCAGTTGTGACGCGGCGAAGCCCCGGCGATAAATTAATGCTGAATACCCCGGGAAACGGGGGATGGGTTTATGGGTAGGGGATTGAAACGGAAATTTGAGCGACTCGTAAATGTCAACAGGCTTGATATTTTCCTGAGAAGGATGAAACGACTTGGCTCACATATCCGAAAACACTCTTCTCGGGGTTCGCGACGCGCTGGCAAGCAGTAGGCTTGACATCAAAAGTGTAGAAACGAGGTCTGGGGTGACATTCAAACCTTCACTCTCAGACCGGTTTGACGTTGTTCCAATGACCTGGCGGAAGAGATGGAGCGATATTAGGGTTGGTTGTAAAGGATTGCACTCATTTCGGGATCGTGCAACAAGGATTTGGACGTGATGACTTGTGGGGCAGAACGGCCTCTCCGTTCGATGGAGAAACCTCATAGGGCTGTGAGGTGTGCTACGGACGTGAGCCAATGAAGAGATCAGCGTTGACAGCGGCCGACCCTTGTTGACCTGCTGTTAGGAAGCTCGAGGGCGGGAAGAGGGACGGTGGACCACCTTGGATGATGATTGGCGAGAGCAATTGACGTGGTGCAAGCACAGCCAGCATCAAGTTCCTTGGAGGGAGGGGTGGGCTGGGAAAATTTGGTACCTGTACGCCATGTCTCCTCTACACCAACAAGCCGGTCAGTAATATGAATTCCAGCGGGTGGTATCAACTCTGGTTTGGATACCGGCTTCGGCCCAAGACTCTGCCCTTTCGAGAGCGAGCTGAGGCACCGAGTCTTCATACTCGCGGGCTGTCAACTCGAGAGAAAGGTTCATTACGTGCTTGTATTTTTTTTTAACCACTGCCCAGAACCCTCACGAGAGAACCCCTCATACCACGGGACACAATTAGTCAACTTCTGGTCTATTCCCCGGAGAGAGGGTTGAAAGGCTGATGCTTGCTTTTATGTTCCTCGGTACCTTGGTGTTCTCAGCCCTATCAGCGTGGTACGAAAACCTTGCTAGTTCGTGGTTTGGAAATTGTCCTATCGACCCCAGACAAAAAGCCCCTGGCTTGGCGTATTGCATGCATAAGACACAAGATGCAAAGGTGAGGACGATGCCGAGGCAGTTTACTTTCGAGATATGGCCCCCTCATGGAAGGGGTGAATCACAGATGGATGCGCCTTGGGTCTATTGGCTGCCCCAAAAACGAATGTCGGGAAAAGGGGGAGTGGCCAAGGACTCATGATTCGGTCGGTTTTCGAATGGCCATGTCCCTTTTCGGCCTGGGTATCGTCTCTTGTAGCGGTGTTGGGTGCAGATTTCAGATTTAAATGTACTCTCTACCTAGCGTGACTATAGGGCTGAGCTGCTTGGATTGAAAACCCGAGACCCTGGGAGTGGTTGTAAACGTACCTCTAATAACGTTCTATGTTAAGTGTCCCATCCCTGTCTCCGCCACTTTTGGCTGGAAAGCAGCAGAATTGTTTGGCAAAAGGGCGGACTCCAGTTGAACCGTGCGTCTGTCAACCGCCAACCAACCGTCATTTTTCTTATTTTTCACCTTGTTCTTTCTTCGTTCCCTGAGCTCGGCATTCATTCCAAATACTTAATTATACATGGAGGGTAGATGGAGACTTTCGGTATATCTTTGAAGGAATACCTAATTTGATAAAGGCACCAGTGATGGGTATAATGCATGCTATACGAGATATGTGTGGAATGGCAAACTACATAGTGAGGACACACCATGGCATCAAACACTCTCCACTCTCCCAAACCCGACGGGCGGCCGCCCCTCAAAGGAAGAAAAATATTCGGATGTTGCGGAAGAAACCTAATTCTCCATTTATCGCTACCCCATATGTTATATAGATATTAAATGATTGTCACCCAAGCAATAGATTTTCATGTCAAGGGTGCCTCTTCAGATGTATGTGCGCCTGTGAACAATGACTTAGAAGATTCTATCTCTGTGCTTGGTAAGCGTGTCCTCAGTTGGACCCGCGTTATATGTTGCCCGTTCAGATGCATTTTGAACAAGGCAGTATGAGTAACACTACCGATGTTACAATGGTCATAGACCTGGATGATTCCCGCTACTGTGGTCGATGACGTTGTCCGACAAATTTATGAGTAGTTGGGCAAGACAACGTTTCGTTGCAGCGTCATCTCGCAACACAGATGAAAATGTTGCATCGCGGAGAGGCTCGGGAAGACACTGCCTCAATGCCTCACGGGCGCGGGCATTATCACTAAGCCTATGTGGTAGAAGCGAAGGGCTATGAGTGAGCTGACCTGAATGACGAAGAGGAATATGGAGACATACCGAAGAAAACAGCGGACCACGTGCTTCAATAACCGAGCAGTCTGCTGTTCGACAAGTTGATTGACCATGTTGCTGAGTACAGTGCCCACGGCATAGAACCGCTCGTAGGTGGCACAGATATAGTTCAAGCCATTATCATCGAGAAGTATTTTCTGAACGATGAATATGGCGACAGTTTTGCTAAGTTCAGAGCCAGTTTCCATGATTCGAAGGCAGAGAGGGATAATTTCAGTCGTCAGCAGAAAATTTATCACCTCAGTAGAATCGTTCTTCACGAGAGCCCCAATAACACCCAGGGACGTTAGACGGAGGTACTCGAAGGGTCTAGATTTCGAGGTCGTGTTCAAGAAGGGATACAAGAAAAGGGGGATGTGGGCTAAGGAAAATTAGTACGCGGGCGCCATAGTTTTTGAAGGTGCCCTCTTCATACCATTGAGAAACAAAGTACGGGTATCATTGTGAGATGCAACGCATTGTAAAGAGCAAGCGCGTTACAAACGCGGTTTGATGCGGCCGCGGTGAGCTGAGAGGGATTCAAGAGAGTATAAACTGAGATGATTTCCTGAAGTAAAGATGTCATTACTCCTAAACCTAGTTAGAAAATGAGCCATGAATACAGACAGTCAGCAACAAACCAAATGAGTGCCATAGGATTAGCGCCAGTTCCGGAACTTGCTCTCGCTTTTTGCTCAGTTCAAGAAGAGCGGCCTCGCGGGTGTTCTCGTTTAGCAAATCCGCAATGTATGCCATTGTCCTACGGTTATCTTCTGAGATTAGGGGCTCGTGGCTTGCATCGTGGTTATGTGGTGCGGTCAATCCGCTTAGCGAGCCGTGCATAGCAGGAATGCGATTATAGTGTTGTTGTTGGGCAGCGGAGGCAGCCGCGACTTGATGCTGCTGGCCAGTTTGCATCCATGAGGCATCGCCATGGGGATACAGTTGATGATGCCCGTAAACATGAGAGGGCATCATGTTGAAGGGTAAATCTTGTCGCGGCAAGTGGAAGGTTACCCTGACTGACGCCTTGCGCAGAGTTTGGAAGGTGGAATATAGACGACGTGGGGCGCTGGTAGGATAGGCTTTATAACTATCGTAGTTTCTGAATCTCCAAGAGGCCTAAAGAACTTGGATCGAGAAGTGGGGAGCCAGAATGTGAAGATTGGTGAGAAAGCAAACCACGGGTGAACCAGGAGAATTGATTGACAGTTCAGAACAATGCGAGGCTCAAGCGGGCTATATTTCGGGTAAATGAAAGTGCTGACACACGATCCTGATACTTTCCCCCACGCTCTGTCAGCACTCGAGACAGTGACTATAATACTACTATTCCTGAACGATAGAGCGGGACGACATAATATCAAATATTGTATTCTCTGTGCTACGAATAGTAAATTGCCAATCCGTTAAGGTAGATGATCAAATCAAAGCCTGACCTCACGGAGTATTTGATCCGCCATGCTCTTGTATTGCCACGTGTTTCCAACCATGCGTTTGAATTGAATGCCATGAAGGGAGAGTAGTGGGACTTTCACAATAAAGATTTCGAATTCCAGCACCATGCTGCCACCGAGGTCACTTTGGACATGGGTTGTCGTTTCTCCTGCTGCCCGCCGTGCGGAAGTGGTATTTTCTGGCGGGCCGCTTGTATCTGAGATATCAGAATTCGAGTATGCTGCCTCGGCATCACCCCGGTGAGGGGTTCGTGGTGTGATAGGAAGATTATCAAGCTCGCGAGACTCATCGCGATCTCTATCGTTACCTCCTCGAAGACCACCAAAGCTGAACCGTCTTCTGTGGCCCGGGGTGTGGACCGGTGGGCTTGTCGGATGGTCGACAACCCTCCTTAGATCGATGCTTGGGGTGTGACGACAGCAAAACCCACCCCGAATTTCAGCATACTCAACTCCGAGTTGTGTTAGGACCCTTTTAATTCGGCGCGAATTTCCGGCACCGACTTTGGGGATGTCGTCGAAACGCTAAAGAGGCCTTTCAGATAAACCGGTTTAGCAAGATCCGAACTATCAAGTCTATCGGTAGAGAAGCCGCTATGCTCGCCATTTTCCTGGTCTGTCTCCTCCAAAACATTTGCTTCTCTGGCCTCCTCTCGAAGTAGCCTTCGACGCTGGATGCTTTCGCGGCGTGCATGGCCCAGAGACTTTGCACGAACTGAAGACGATCGTGGCTTGAGGTCAGGGCCGTTCTCTGGATGAATGTGTCCGTAGTTTGTAGACCGAGGTGTTCCGCTTGCTGGGGGTCCTTCGTAACCCGAGCAGAACCTCGCCGTCTTAGGTCAGCCGAATTTACACTGGTGGACCTGCCTAGCCCGGATCGAGGCGGGCGGCCTCCGCCCCCAGAGGAGAGTGGAGGGCTAAGGAGGTCGCTATGTTGGGGCTGGCTTCCGCCCGTGTGAAGCGCGGTATTAGTGTATTCATCGCGGTCTCTTCTGCTTCGTCGAATGCTGAAGCTCTTACGAGGTGTGGGCGGTGGTTCCATAAGGACCGGCGAGTGGACATGCACGACTGGAGGATGGGAGCGGTCTTTGTCTAACCGCTCCGGCTCTTTGCGCTTTCTAGTGCTGAAACGACGCAGAAGCCCTACAGCGGGACCTTCCTTTTTTGACGAGCATCAAGGTGACCATCGACTGGCTGTACCTTTGTTGGCGACGCGATCGGCTTGGCTGACAGCCCTGGCAGTTCATCCTCCCCGTGGGTGCGCGCCCTAGGGCGTGCGCGGCCGCCTGTGGACTTTTCACCGGGCATCTCGTAAGCCGCAGTGTTGATGTGTGCCTCTCTAGGCGCAGTTATCTCGGGGGCTGCAACAACATCCTTAGTGTTTAAGGGGTGGGTGGTGCAGAATGGGGTATTGGTGAGGCACGTTCGCGCTCCTTTCTTTCACGAACGAGGTAGTAAATTGAGATTAGAGGGTTGAAAGCATTTAGTGGGTCGCTCCCAAGCTGCAAGCCTTCTGAGCTCGGGGTGGAGAGATTATCTCGGCTATTACCTGAGTTCCGTCGTCGATAAAAATCAAAACCAAAGCCCCGTCTTTTTTCTACTTCTTTTGAAGGCTGGAAAAGGTCTCTGTCACGCTGGTACAGTCGAACAGCCCTCTGATAGTCTTCAGATTCTATTGTTCGCGTTAATTGCGTTTTAATAGATTCTGGAGAGCCGAAATTGAATCCCGTCATAGCGTTGATGATATCAGGATCTAGTGGTACCGTGAGGGGCTCCCTTAAAGGAAGGTAGTTGTCTGGCGGGCTAGTATAGCCTTTGGTCATCCAGACATGGTTTGAAACCTCGTGCATAGTCGCTCTTTGCTTAGGATCGGTAACCAGCATTCGCGACATAAGATGCTTGCAATCTGAAAACTATTAGTCATATTCGAAAGATAGAGTCACGTTGCTCTCTCAACCTTACCAGAAGAAAGCCAAGACGGATAGTCCACAGCGCCCTTTTTGATTTTCGCGTGCAACGCTGGCATACTCTGGTCATCAAATGGAACTTTGCCACACACAAGGACATAAAGCACAATTCCAAAACTCCACACATCAACCTCAGGCCCAGTGTACGCGCGGGCTTGGAGCAACTCAGGTGCCGCAAAATAGAGGCTTCCGCAGAACGTCTTGAGATGGGCACGAGGAGAAAAGAGATTGCTGAGTCCGAAATCGATAATTTTGATATCTCCAGTTTTGCTGATGAGAATGTTCTCGATCTTCAGATCCCGGTGGACGATGCTATTGCGGTGGCAGTAATCTAGAGCGCTAGCAATCTGGCGGCTGAATTTCCGGGCCTGTTTTTCTTTTAACTTCCCGTGGGATATTATATAGTCAAGCATTTGACCGCCGTTGACAAACTCAAATAGCATATACCAATGATAGTTAGTTCGTACGACGTCCCGCAAACCACAGATGGGGGTGGTTAAGCAAAGTGCCGATAGCAGCCTCCCGTGCTGTGCGAATCTCCTTGGAGTGATCAGCTCGTTCTTTGTCGGCTCTGCTTTGATGTCCCTCATCCGTTGATCCTCGAGGAATTATCTTACAAGCAACCTAGAGCGTGTTATTAGAATCTGCTTCGGGATAAATCCCGATAATCGTGTGTGTGGGTTGACGAACCTGTTCTGTTCCATCTTCTTTTCGAGCCAGCTTGACCTTTCCCATGCTACCGGCCCCTATAGTTTTGCCTAATATCCATTTTCCAGACTGGGTGGGGATGGTTGTTCTTGATCGAGAATGCTTTGCAGCCGCTGCCGTTGGACGGCTCTCGCCCGTATGAGAGGGAAGGGGTCCAGTGGACATATCACCAGAATTCCCCGATGCTTCGGCCGGGTGATGTTGTTGATGGTTGTGCGTTGACTTGGCGCTATTTCTTCGAGTCGGTCGCCCTGTCTCGTGGCGGGATGCGTGAATTTGATACGCGCTGCTATCCGTGGATTTGTTTTGATTCGGGCGCGATTCGGGCTCACCAGCAACCTCATCATGCTCCGAAGCAGAGCGATGTGTGGATTTGTGCCGAGAATAACTTGCAGGTCCCGCCGAAGTTGGGAAAGGACGAGTCCTTTGGGAACCTGCTCGACCAATATCGGGCTGCTGAGAATCCAGGCTACTCATCATGTAGGATAGAGGTGAAAGCTGAAATGAAATGTGACATTCGTGGGTTGAGGACACCAAATTCAACTAGCGGGAGGAGACAGGTTGGGCATCTCAAGGCCCAAACGCTTATTATTATGAAGAGATGAGATGATGGGGGAATGGGTCCATGTGACGGAACCCAGACCCAAAACCTTGAATTGCGTTCAATTCGAGGGGCTCCCAAGCCACACCGACTTTTGTCACAATGCCTTGACGGAGATGTACATCACAGTGCGCGATTCGGAATAACCGCGGACGGTGAACCCTTGCTAAAATTTAAAAGAGAGCGCTGAGGAAGATACACCTATCAGGCACTGTATGAAGGTACTTATAAACTATGCCAGCAGGCGCTCATAGTGTGGCGTAGGCCGCTGTTAGCCACATATCATGAATTAATTCTGCGAGTCTCAATGCTTCCTTCCAGCTTCACCAAATCTGTCAAGACTTAGGATACACTACAGCCATGGCACCTAAACGTTCTCATTCTGCGTATGAGGTTGACTCACAAGCTACTGAACCTCTAGGGGTCCGATACGGCACCCCAATCCGTATAGGGGGCTTTTCTCCCATGAAGGGAAGTACATCCCGCTCCATAAGCAGGAGGTGCGTGACAGCCATGGAAGGCGACGTCTTCATGGTGCTTTTATGGGCGGCTGGGTCGCAGGGTAAGTTTCAAGCCATCCACCGAAGGCGTTGCCATCCTGACCTACCTTCCCACCAGATATCACAACACAGTTGGGTCCCAGGAGGGTGGGTACCATCTCAATTTTTGTCTAGCCGGACCAACCGCAACAGCGTCTCGGTGGCAAATCGCCAGTCAGATGCTAAAGATTTCATGGATGATGAAGACTTAGCAGACGCTGCGGAAGCTGAGATTCTTCACACAACCGAAAAGTTCACGGGGATCGGGTATGCGAATGGGCCGTCACCTCTCCCAGATCTAGATAGCATCATTGGGCCCGTTTCCAGTTCCATGGGCTCGGCCCTCCTTGGGAAAATGGGCTGGAGAGAGGGCCAGGGCATTGGACCGAGAATTTGGAGAAACCCTCGCGTATGCGCAAATAGAGGCAACAATGATCTAAGTATGAGTTCCGACCTGGATATACTATCCTTTGCACGGGATGATATCCCTATCACCTCATCACGGCAGAAGAGTAATCGGGTTGGTTTCGGTGGCCAGGATCAAGAAAACTGCCCGCGGAACGCTAAGAATCGCCACATCCAATCACTTGATGCAAACACATTTTCCCCGACTGCAAGCTTTATCGAAAAGTCCAGAAAGAATGCGCAGCTGCGCGGGGGTATACGGGGAATTCGATACACCATGAGAGCGATTCTGATCAAGACAACCTTGGTACTCTTGGACCTAGATTGATGCTCGCAGCTACCAGAACTCGCAGAAAACGATCGCATAAGCCAAGGTTAATACCGGAAGGGCCATCTCGAGTATCTCAGGGTGATGCTTTAATTCAATCATCAAAGGTGATGCCCTGTGACAAGAGCCCGGCTTTAGCTGGATTCATCCTTTCCCCTCCTCGATGCTTAGAGGTGAATGCTATTAGTGCAATTTGTCGATACCCCTATCCTCTAGTCACTCCGAAAGCTTGCAAGCCTGCTATACAGAGGAAGGATATGCGCTCTACGTCACCGGGATCTTCCACGTCACAACCGCGACAAACCCTCACCCCCACAGTCATACAACTCGGGCGCAAATACTTGGCGAGCCACAGCTTCCCGGACGATCAGTCTTCGATTTTATGACCTCTTCCGCGAGAGAAAGCCTCATAGCTGCATCCAAAAACGCGATGTGTTAGAGGCAAGCAGTTCATCAACGGGCCGAATCTATCCACTCCCATACACGATACCCCGCTTAGATTTGGAAGTAGCCCGAGACGCACTTCTTAGATGCCGCACAGGTAGCGGTCCGTATAGGGACGATGATGCAAAGAGAGCAAGATACGAGCAATTCCTAGCCTATAGCTGCGGGCTTCTAAATGAACCACTTACAACACCGCAGGGAATCCGCGAAGAGGATTTCCCGGTTGAACTTCAAGAGTTCTTTGAGTGTGCAAAAGTTTTCCAATCCACTACAGGTCCAATTGCCTCCCGCTTCACCATATCAAGACCAATCCCAAACCCTACCCAAGTGAGCGTCCTTTCGAGGGATGGGCTGGCGTCGGAGGATGTGGCATCTAGCGCTGCAAAATTAGGCTCATTCGGCGCAATTACAAGATCACAGGTCATGTTCACTCCCGCGCCGCTTCTCTACAAGAGATTTAAGGTAGAGTCCCTCGGAGAACCAAGAGAGAATAAAGTGACGCTAAAACATGCAAGCCAGGTTCATGCAGAACCTAACCGCAATCAGTCTTATTGTTCACCGATCGGCGCTCAAGATACGCCAGTCTCAAGCTTGGGCAATGGAAGAGGCCTCGCAATCAAGCGACCTACGGAGCGGGTTTTTGCAGCCATATTCGAATCCTCTAGTGAGTGATCAGGATGATTTTCCGAAGCTTGCAAAAGGATCCCCCTCAGATGTTGGGTGAAATGCCCTAAGGTTCCTCCAACTGGGTTCTTAATGAGTAGAAACTTATCTATTTTTATGATGTGCCACTTGAAATCGAAATAGAATCAAAGTCTTGTTCTCAGATGCTCGTTATCGTCTTCCCGCCAATCTGATTTCCGAACTAAGCGCCCACGTTTTCCCGACAATCTACCGCCATTATTGATGTTTCAACTATTAGCCCCTGATTTATCAGTCGAGCTCCGCAACCAACTTTGTCGCCACCTGAAATGAGCTTTCTCCACTGTCGACAAACTCCTTGATAGAACGTTTCTTACTCCATATTAAATAGAGCGCCGCTTTCTCCTTCCCTCAAGTGCGCTTCAGCTAGAATAGTAGCCACGCTGTCATCGAGACAGGGATCCCGGAAGGGGCAGTTGGTGACGCTCAACCTGGCACACCGCTCCGAAGGTGGTGAACTCAGGATTATTGAGTATCCCGCGATCTCATCAAGTGGACTGCGAACCCTCCCCCTGTATACTCAAATCCAGAAGCATCATCCTCCACCCACCCCCGCCATTCTCTTCTTTGTATGAAACCGAGGAGATTGGTGATACTGCTAGGCTGGAGAACATCGTCCAGTCCCTGGACTCCAACCGAGACTCCCCTGAGAACAACCCTCTAGTTCTTCCTCTTGTACCAGCCTACGATAATCCGGATTCCCCTAGCCCAGCAAATTTGCCCACTGCGCCGAGGCATAGTAACCCCGACTCGAAACAGGACGGCTCTCGTTGCCCCAAAACCCTTTGTTCCAAAGAAGAAGAGCTTGAACCACCACCAGCTTATTCAGAAGGGCCCAGTCCCCTTCTATCATTTAATTATCTAATGGCGAGCGCCGGAGGAGCGTCAAGCATAATCACCCAAGTGCAACAGGGTGGACCACCCACAAATGCTCTCGGAGGTAACGTCCACCTCATTACAGGCTTAGGATATGGTGACCTGACCAGCTAACATGAAATCCTCCCAACAAAGATGTTGGCGCGGACGAAACAATTACAATGGACCTAAGGTAAATACAGCTCACTCCCAGCGCCGCTACCTTTCTCGGCACTGACCCTTAAGCGAAAAAGGGGAACCAGATTCGTTTTATCAAGAGATGAACTTCTCACTCTACCTGAATTCGTTCTTCTTTCTCTTTTCCCGAATGGATTGTTCCCCGAAGGTCATATGGGTGGTTTCTCTGAAGGAGACGCAATCCAGGTCGACGTAATATCATCCCCCTCCCGATCGAAGACCGGCATCACTAATCTGCCCTCTTTAGTATGATCCGGCGTCGCTACAGTATATGCTAGATTTTTTCCGAGACGTGGCTCGTTCTATCCCGGAAACGCAGCTCCCTTCGCAGGACGGGGATGGCTTAGCGGAAACAAGAGATGATTCGTCTCGAAGAGCTGGAATTATTGTCCTTCGGGAAGATCTTGACTTCTACGCGATCCCACCAAGAGAGGATATATCCCCGCGAGAGATGGTAGAGGTAAAACGAGCAGCGTCCCTTGCGCTTCTCAAGCAGAATGGCATCTTCTCCGGACTAAAGCGGAGTGACGAACCCGGAACCACAGAATCCCATTTGATAGAAATGCTCACAGCCGGGTAAGTTAGCTAAAGCTACAAGTATCTCATCACCCAACGACTAACAATCCAGTGAAGCGGCTTCAATCGCGAGGATAAGTGGGGCCATCGCGCAGGTGAGCCCAACAAGGCCGTTGTATGCAGTCTAGCCCTCGCGCGTCTTCGTAGCGATATACGAGGCACAGAGGTGGGTGGTAGTGTTGTGGGGATGGCTCAAAAGCTCCTACTTTTCTGGCGAAAGCCTGCCAGAAGATGTTGGTGGGAGGGCCTAGAGCTTGACAATATTGAGGGGGTTGACGGCAAATTGAAGGTGTGGATTCGGCGAGTATGGACTCTCGAGATGAGCGTGATTGGTCTTCAGTGAGGTAAAAGGAAGCAGGAACTGCGTTGAATTCCCTTGCCTCGCCTTCGTATCAGCCCCGCCTATAGTCAATAACCTCTTACATGGCGGACATTGTAACCTGCAGGAACTGCATACATTTTGATAATTATCCCTCAAATGCTCTGCATGGTGCCACACTATGTACTCTAACTTTCTCAAGACCTCATGTGGCTAAGGTACATCTAGCTAAAAGAATAGAGTTTGTGCCCTGAGAAAGCCCACCATGATAACGGCATGAGAGATAGAGTGTAGGGTCATTCAATAGCATCAATTCCCTACTACTCTTCAATTGACTTGATACATTCCCATTCTCCGCTTAGATTTTCCTTCCAGAGGGTGACTTTATTATCAGCACCGCTGGCTGCAAGGACATTGCCACTCAATGACCAACTAACTCTCCATACAGGGGTATCAAAGGCCAACGTCTTACACGCCCATGAGCCACTAACACCCGAATCCGATGTCCAGATCCGAACGGTCTTGTCTTGGGATGCAGAAGCGATATAGGACTTTTGTAGGAGGGATGGTGACCAGGCAACATCTCGGACCCAGTCCGAATGCCCAGCAAGGGGTTCAGACTCCATAGTATAGGCCTGGCTGGCAGGGTCATGTACCCAAATCTTCAGAAGATTGTCACAGCCACCAGTCACGAACCGTCGGGTTCCAACAGCATCTAGTGTAGGTGTGCCTGCCATCAAGCTACCAGGGTTGGTAGCGGGTGCCCATGAGACAGAATTAACCCCTAAGCCATGAGCAGGAAACGACCTATGATCAAAGCTATTGTCCTTGAACTCTAAAACACTCGCATTACCATCCGACGAGGCGCATGCAAGGAGGCAACCTGATTCGTGTGGTGACCATGAAACAACGTTAACAGATGCTTTGTGCAACGCAAAGTCGAAGATTTTTGCCACTGGGAGTTCTGTTCACGCCAAATGAAGACCTTTCCATCATACCCAGCGGAAGCCAGAATATTGCCATATTTTGGATGGGCCCATGATACACCAAACCGCACCCTCGTGACTAATTCGAAGGGTGAGCAGATAATAATATTAAACGTGTCAGAGAAGGTAGCACTATACCCTTTAAGCGTCTCCAAGAGTCGCTGAGAATCGCCATCCACCTCAAAGATTTTTATTGTCCGGTCGCTAGAGCAGGTTGCTAGTCGACGGCCATAGTAATCCAGGACCGCATCATGCTATTCGGATCAAGTTAGTTTCTAGAAAGAGGACGGCTTGTCTAGACGCTGGTTATCCTTACAATCATTTCATCGTGTCCCGAATTGGGCAGTGTGGCTGGAGCAGACTACGATTTGGTCAGAATACAGAGACTAGCAGAGGGGCAACAAGATAACTGACCATCCTCAACATGAAGCCCAGAGCAGTGAGATAGTGAATATGGGTAGAATAGAGGCAGCAATGTGGAGCGAAGGGGAGAGCAGCTCGATAAATAGGGCCTGTGCACGATGGTCGAGAGGGTGAGCTCCAAAGGTAGAGGGTGACAGAAGAAGCCAGTTGGCATTAGTTAGCTAATAAACTCCATAACTTCTTTAAAATAAAAGTAGGGCCCTAAAAGTAAAGAAGAATAGCGGAAATTTTTAAAAATTATAAGATAGAAATATATTATATATATAAGCTATTTATATATAAATAATATTTATTATTATCTTAGGTTAAATATATTTATATAGAATTTTATACATATTATTAAATTTTATAATTTAATTTATATATTTTAAATAAAACTTAAGAACTTTAATATTTTATAGATAACTTAAAATTATTTTATTTAATAATATTATTTATATAAGCTATAATTATTTTTTTAATTTTTGAAAGTAAAAGCTTTTATTTAATAATTAATTATAATTATTATTTTTAAAGAATTTAATTAAATAGAAATATTCTAAATATAAAGTTATATATAACTATTAAGTTTAATATAATATAACTTTATAATATAATATTTAGAAGATAAAAGGTATTTTAATATATAGAAAAGTTCTAATATATATTACTATTATTAATATATATATAAATAATAGAAGCTAATTAGTAAATATATTAATAAGTAGATAAAAGGATAGTTAATAGATAAATTTAGTAGTTAGTTAGCCTTATCTATATAATATATAATATAGAAATAAAAACTAATTTTTAATAAAGTTCTAAGGCTAGAATTAGTAGTTTTCTATACTTTATTATATAAATCTTACTACTAGAATATAAAAGCTAAAAATAGAAAGGTTATATCTTTTCTAAAATATTTTATATATTAACTATTAAATAATAATAAGAGTTAATTATAACTAGTTATATTAATTAAAAACTATAGATTATAAATAATTTTACCTATAGTAAACTTTAGTTTACTAAAATAGCTAATAATATTAGTAAAAGTTCTTTTATTATCTTTCCTATAATATTTCTATAAAAACCTACTTTTATTAAAGTTTCTATAAAATATATACCTATTATAGTAATAAATAAACTATAATATATTATCTAAATATTTTAATTAACTTTGAACTATAACTTATAAATATCTTTAAAAGTCTAAGATTATTATATATTACTTTAAATCCCCCTCTAAATTTTATAAAAGAGGATTAATATAAAAACCTTATAGATAAATATACTATAGGAGGTAGATAAACCACCCTAAAGCTATAATATAGCTATTAGAGATTAACTAAGGCCTATAAAGCCTATAGTTAGAAAGATAGCCTAGCTTATTAAACTAAAAATAATAAGAGAATATTAAGATAACTATTAATAATATAAAAGAAAGAAGATCTACTAATATAGAAAACTCTTTAGATTAGAGATAGATTAGAGATTTCTAAGCCCTCTCTAATCTAAGAGGATTTATTAAAGCTAAAGGAATAAAAGCTTTAGAGAGTAGAGAATAATTATAAAAATAATAGAAGGAGAGCTAAGAATAAAGAAGAAGCTTTTTAAGTTAAAGTCTAATCTATAATCTTTCCTCTTTTTTATAATAATAAAAAGCTTTTAAAATATTATAACTTTTATCTATTATTATCTATGAATTTTATAATATTTTACTATACTTTTACTATATTTTAACTTATTATAAATCTATTTTTATTAATAATATATAATTATAAATTTACTATACTTTCCCTCTTTTAAATTAAATAATAATCTATTTAAGATTTTACTATTATATCATATTTATTATCTTTACTAATATTATCTTTTTCTCTTCCCTTTTATTATATATTATTTTAGCTTTAATATCTTACTTTCTAATAACTTTATTATAACTCCTATTAAATCTAGCTATCTAGTTATTAACTTTAATAAAATATAATTAACTATATTTTCTATTTATTTTAAAATTATAATTTATTTAAAAGCTCTTTTTATAATTATATTTTCTATTAACATTTTATATTGTCTTCTCTTTTAAAAAATTAGATAACCTTTTTTATTATTATTATTATTATATATTATTTTTCTTTCTATATAATATATAATCTTTCCTCCCTTTTATAATAATAAAGTAAAAGGAATTACAAATATTAAAATTTTATCTATTATCTACTTATTTTTATATTATATTTATAATATTTGGCAATATAGATCTACTTTTATTAATAATATATAAATATAAGTTTACTATATCTTCTCTCCCCTAAACTAAATAATAATCTATTTAAGTTCTATTATTATATTATTTCTATTATCTCCTTTATTATTACTCTTTTATTATATCATTTTAACCTCTAAACTTTAAATTTTTAATAACTTTTATTAAAATTAACTATCTATTTATATATTTTAATTAAATATAAATAGTTATAACTACTTTATTTTTTATATCTTCTATTTTTAATTTTTAATTTCTCTAAAAGTCCTCTTTTTTATAATTATACTTTTTATTAATCTCTTTATAGCTATTCCTTTTATTAATATTTTTATAATTACTTTTTCTATTAAACTCTTTTATAACTATATCTTCTATTAATCGTCTATATTACCTCTTTACTATAAATAAGTTAGATAGCTTTTTACTTTTTTCTATCTCCCTTATCTTTTATTCTCTCTTCTTTTCTTTTCTTATCTTCTATTTTCTATTTTTATTTAATATTAATATCCCTATTTTATATAAAATACTTTTTATTATTTAAGCTTTTTTTCTATTTTTTTCTTCTAGATAAGGTAAATCTAATCTTCCTATTTTATAACTTTTATAACTTTATAACTTCCCCCTTTTCTCTTTTATATAAATCTATTATTATTAACTTATCTAATAATTATATTTATCTTTTATATAGTAAAAGTTATTTATATAAATAAACTTAACTTATTATTTTTAGTTTTTATAATTATAATAGTTATAATTATAATATTTATAGATATATTATAGATATATAAACTATATTCCCCTTATAGTTTTTAATTCTCTACTTTTTTTCTACTTATTATTTTTCTTTTAGGTAATAATAATATTAAGAATATAAAAGTAATAGTCTTAGTTTAGATTTTAATAGTAAGATTAATAGTATCTTTATAAATATTACCTCTATTATATATACCTTAACTATTATTATTATTAACTTATCTATCTTTACTATTTTCTCTATATTAAAGGCTAGCTATTATTATTAATAGAGGGGGCTATTACTAGTAGAGGGTTATTTATCTCTATAGGGGAAAAAAGACCTTAATTCTTAATATA